GAAAAACCAGGGCAATAATTCCAAAATATGACCTTGTTCCAAGATATAGTTGTTAGGGCTCGTATAACCACACAAGTATCTTAATGGAGTTAACTCGCGTGTATTGTACAATATTTTATCTACGTGTAACTATAAAAACACACAATGAATTTTAAAAATTATTGTACTTATCTATATACCTATCCTAAAAATCAATTACCTTAATACCTTTCTTCAAATAACACCATGCATGGCAATGTCAATATGACAGTAAATAATATTGATGTCACGAGATGAGCGATTCGGAATCAAATATCTATTTACAATTTTTGTTTATTTTAATTAACAAAGTTTGGATGTGACAGCTTAACATTTCTGAGAGCAACAGTAATTGAACTTGTTTCCGTGGCTAACTAAGTGAAATTGTTTAACAATGATAAGAATTGGCTATAACTCGAAAAAATCATATTATTGCTTATATCGCTAAAAAGCTTAAAAAATGGCGCTTTTTATGAAGTCATGGCCAACTATGGTTTCTATTTAAAAAAACATATGTTTGTATTATATGTCAAAAATGACAGGCTTTAGAAAAAAACGGAGGACACAATCTCATTAAGGATGTGATTATCTACAACTTTTATCTGAAAACTTTTTGTCTAAAATAGATTATAATGGAATTAGGGACAATTTTTAAAATAGCCGAAATTTGTTTTTTTTTTCGAAGTATCTAGTAAGCCATGAACTTTTTCAAAAATCTGAAAGGCGCATATTTATGACCCCACAAAACTGCAATTCTTTCCTCATTTAACCGGCTCTCTATCTCCAGTAGTTTCCAAGATACCCGTAGAGAACATCGTAGGAAACTCACCCTGTAGGTCCGATTCTGCTTTGTTTCGTAGCTAAAGAGGATAAAAGTCTTCAATTTTTTTTTTCGATTTATTATAATTTTCTTCCAAATACTTTTAGCGATTCGAATGAAATTTTGAGGGTAAAAGTGTGGACATATTCACCAGGGACGTGCATATGGGTTATTACTGAAATATTTTTCTAAAAAAGAAATATTTGCGCCACTGACTTTTTTTCTCTTGTTAGCAAAATTTAGACAATTTAATGCCGATTCAAAGTTGTATATGTTATCGATTTCGATCTCCTTGCTGAGATAAACCCAATTTGATTAATTTACCTTAATCTAAAGCGGCCCATACATTACCAAACAAGTTGCGCGATGCGCAACGTTCCGTTGCACAACTGCATCACCCATGCACTTAGTAAAATTTTGATCAAACTTTATTAAAAGTTGTGCATTGTTTGAGAAACAATCATGTCCTCAATTGCCATTGCGTCAATTATTATCGTATATAACCTAGATGATGTCAATGATAACAAAAAAAACGAAAAAGAAAACAAACAATTTGGATAAAAGAACTAAAATATTGCACAACGAGTGTTATCTTTGATGAGTGTTACCTGCGTAAAAGGGTTAAACTGTGACGGTTATGCTGCCGCACAGTTTGGCTGCAACCACGCTGCAACTGTAGCACGGGATGACTATGCACAACGAAGCGCAACACACACACACTTCACAAGGCGCTGCGCAAACTCCTGTTGCACAATACAATTGAATTAAAACATTCTAGAAACTTATCAAACAATAAGTAACTTCTAAATTAAACAGTAACTGCGCGATAATACGAAGATTAATGGACCAATTGTCTCTGGACACCATTCGAATTCTTTACATCGCCACTTCACAATCCTTAATTATGTATAGCGTTATGTTTTGGGGATCTTCGGCTCTAGCAGAGCAGATCTTCAGGGCCCAAAAGAGAATGATCAGGTGTATGTTTGGCTTGCATCCGAGGACATCTTGTAGGCCATATTTTGCAAAAATTCATGTCCTGACTGTGCCCTCTTTATATTTTCTGTCCCTAGTGATGTTCGTTAAAAATCATTCCGCCCTTTTTGCTACGAACTCGAGTCACTATGGTCCAGATATGGAACGGATTACCAGGGGGCGGGATGATTTAAGCATACCTCTGCATAGCTCGTCTTTTTTTCGGAGGGGCCCAGACTACAGGGCGGTCAAGGCCTTTGAAATGCTCCCAGCAAATATTAGGGCTGCAGGTAGCGATTACCACTTTAGGGGGTCGGTGTTGGAATTTTTGCACACACGCGGTTTTTATAGCTTTAACTTTGAATTTTAATTATGTCCTTTGTCTGAATATTATTGAATTTTTATTATTGTTATATTTGTGTATTTATTACTATGTTTTAATGTTCTAAGATAATATACTCTGTAATGGGATAATATACTCTGTTCTGTGACGTTGCTTTGTGATCGGGAAGATCATTTTGTCGGCAATAAAGTATTTGTATATTTGTATTTGTATTCAATTGCGCAACGCATCAAACGTTACCATACATTGGCAACTCGTTGCGCAACAGCCTGTGTTGCGCAATTTGTTTGATAATGTATGAGCCGCTTAAGTCTAATAGCAACTTTTAAAAAAATTTAATGTCATTAACTGATTAAAGTATTAAATATAAAAGTTAGGTATTAAATGATTCATCCCTGATGAAAAAATATGAAAAAAGATCCTATAAATAATTGTTGAGTGACTGATTCGCTAACACCACACCCAAGTAGCATTTTCACGACTTGCGACCACATGTTTACTAAACACAACGTTGGATTAGTTACAAAAAATAGTTAGCTCCGTACCTTGGGTATTAAAATAAATGTAAACGTTGTTGTAACGTTGTGCCGACGTTGAACTAGTACTACAACAAAGTAAACGCTTCTGCGACGTCGAATAAACGTTGTCTTGTAACCTTTTTTGCTTAAGTGATCTTTAGGTGATTCGGACAACGTAGTTACAATGTTGGGCAATAAAGAGTTTTCCGACGTCACTTTCAGGACCTATTCCAACGTTATGCAAACGTCGTCTGTTTTACTAATTCCAACGTTGTTTAGATTTCCATATTCTTACGTTGGTAGGACGTCAGGTCACTACCTTTTTGCAACTGTATTGAACCATAACCTTAAATCTTAAATTTTCACTTCATTGTTCTGTTCAGTGAGACAGTTCAGTGCTGTTTTTGTTTTTATAAAAAAAAACTTAATTAAAATGGGACGTAAGAAAGGCACATATAAAACTAAATTTAAATATACTTCGACATATTACCGATACTTTATCCACTCCCTCGTTTATTTAGAATATAGAGGGCGGCACAAGCTAGACTCTAGGATGACTAAATTAGGCAATCTTGCGACTAGTATACTACCTGTTAAGGCTGAACTCCGACTTTATTAGTCCAGTATGCGACTACTCGAACTACTCCATCTTAATCTTTAAAACAACAAAGTGAAAGCCGCCATGTTGTTGAATAAGAAAATGTTTCGTTCCTAAAATAGGAATTCCTGCTTTTTGAATACATTAACTTGAAATATTTGACCCTAAACAACACGCGGAAACAATTTTTTTTCGACTGCGAATAAATTATTCTCATTTTACTAAAAAAAAATCAAGAATTTTTTTAAAACTTCTTTAATTTTAAGGCCCATTAGTATTTTTCAATGTAGAAACAATACATTTATCAATAAAGTTGTTTGCGTTTAACTTTTTTGCCTCGTGTAACTAGTTACAGAGTTGGTTAAAGTGTTTCAACACACTTAAATACTTTTGTTTTGTTTTCCTTTAGTGCCATCTGGCATATGTCTCTAACTAAATCATAAAAATAATATTTTTACTATAATGATCCCAATTTAGGATAAAACCAATAAAACGCGACTTAGACGCCATATTATTATAGTTTTGTATTTCTGTGAATTAGGATTTTAAACAACGTTGCAGTTTGTACTAAATTAGGCTGCTAGCCAACGTAGGTATCCAACGTCGTTTCGACCCAAAAATTATTCTCCAAACTAGTGCAGACTAGGGTTGGCACGAGGTTGTGCCGACGTTGCGCCCCGACGTTTGGTCGCGTGACACAACGTTGTCCCGACGTCCAAATGCTGCTTGGGCAGGCTAACACGTAGAAAATACTAGCTGCCTATACGAATAAACACCTAAAAAATTATCTTTAGAAATAAATACATCTTTGAACTCTGCTAAAAAAATGGTTCAAAAAATACCGAATATATCTAAATGTGGAGTATTGTTCTAAGTAACTTTATTTCTAATATACAACAGATGCATCAAAGGAAGTATCTATATTCCCATACACCCGATTTTGAAAAGGAAAATTAGGAAATTAGGAAAAATATGTAGGCTTTTAACGATCATATATAATTGAAACACATAAAAGTGAAAAAAACTACAGAAAACATGCAAAACAAGGGGTACTTACATTTTCAGGAGATTAAACAAGCCTTAAGGAACAGAATACACTCAAATAATGTACAGAAAAATCACTTTCCTATCAAAAATTCAGAAAAATTGGAAGACCGACATAACGACGCGTCGAACGGAAAATATCGCAGATTCAACGTTGTCAGATTGAGCAGATGTAAAGTAAAATATCAATTTTTTGGGTACACAAAATGCTGTATCTAAAAAAAATATTATTTATTCTACTGAAATAAGGGCCATATTATGTGTTTATTACTTTTATCACTATTTTGTAACGGTGCAACATTTCTATTTAGTTCCTTCATCTTTGATCAAAATTTAATAGCTACAATCTGGCTACATCCACGAGGCGCGCATGCGTAGTGTTTATTTATAGTACTTATGAGCATCTTATGAGATGCTTATGAGTTATGAGCCATGAGCAAGTACAGTAAATACAATTACACAAGTAAACTTTTCAACCTTAACGGTTTCAACCAAAGAATATACTATGGTTTCAACTTTAGTTTCAAAGTTTGAACTATGGTTTGAACAGATTGATCAGCCACTTCATAGACAGCAATCTTTATCAGGCAACACAATTAACACAGTGTAAGTATTTTGGGTTTCATACTCTACTAGAAATAAACTTCATCTGTGGCCGTTTATTGACATTTAAAACAGCTGTTTAGTACATTTGTAAACAAAAAGTAAACTCCGGACTGTTTGAACATCTGCAACTGTTTTACCAGAACAATATGGGAAAGATCTTACCAAACTTAGTTTAAAACCAGAAATCCATAATGGCCACACAGGAGAAACTACAGAAATCTTTGGAGACTCTAAAAAATCTGTCAAACTCATCAAATGCATCAGAACAAACAAGGTAAAATTAGTTGAAAAATGTTTGTCATTGTGTGATATTTGTCATTGCAGGAAAAAGGAAATAATACACCATTGCCATAATGTTACTGAAGCCTTTTCCAACCCAACAATTAAAGTGTCGACGAATATTCAAGTTCTTTTGAGTGTTACAATTGACACCCTTTTAAAATTATGCGATGATTCTGAATCAGATATTCGTATGCTTGCTGGTGAATGCTTAAACAGGATTATACTCGTAAAAATTATCTTTACATATATTCTACTATTTCTTTATTAAAAATATGTTTAGGCTGTTAGTGATGGTCACATAAGGAAAGTCCAAATAGAATTACACGAGCAAATAAAGAAAAATAGTTCAGCAAGATCACTAAGAGCTGCCCTGGTAAGGTTTGCCCAGTTAGCTCATCATATTAAACCACAAAAGGGAAAAGCCTATGTTAAAAATTTATTTCCAAGCATCATTAAAATATCGGAATGCAGTGAAGAATCAATTCATGAAACTTTAGCTAGTTGTTTGCCAAAAATAATGAAAGTTTTAGGATGTTTTGCCCAAGATGGTGATATAAAGGTTGGATGCTCTAATTAGTGTTTTAGCAGTACTAATTTTTGTTATTTTAGTTGATTTTAAAAGCTTTTTTGAAAAATATTTGTAGTACTTCACCCGTTATAAGAAGATCAGCTTCAAACTGTATCTTAAATACTTGCATATATTCTCGAACACCATATGTATTATTAACCTATTGTATCAACATTATTTTAGGTAAATTATGAAGTTTATTAGTTTATATTTTATTATAAAAATTAATTATTCTAGATATGGTGCTTCCAGTAAATGATAACCAAGACAATTATGCAATTCTTGGAACATTATATTGTTTAAGAACTTTGTTACCATCACTGAAGGATTCAAATCCAATAAATGATGGGTTTAGCTACTCCAAAGATATTGAAATAATACCACCTTTAGCTCTGAACAAATTTCTTCAAGTAAGAATTTAGAAATATCAAAATATATATATTTTTTCAATAATATACATAGATATGTGTTTTCTGTATTTATATAGCAAATACCATACAAACTTTGATTATTTTTATATTTACAGTAACTATGATATCAAAATATATTGATCTTTTTTCTTCCATCTCTGTCATATGGATGATGTTTTCTATAGGATGTTTTCTATTTTCAACCATTATTAATAGGAGAAAAAGTTGAGCGGTTTTTTAATAGTCGTAAACAAGATATTATATATTGAAATTCTTTAGGTTTTTCCAGTAATAATCTTACGTTCTCCTGCATTAATATATGAACATAAGTTATTATGCCTCATTAGAAGTATACATGAAAATGCTTTGTCATGGATAAAAATACAATCCATTTCTTATTAAGTTTATAAAAAAAATATTTTTCATTGCTATAAACTTTCTATAAAAATATAATCTACACAAAAAAAATTGTGTGCTCTATGTGCGCATATTTGAAGTGAAACGTCTACTAACAACTAGGTATTAAATTGAAGGACTTGAAGGACATGTTTGAAAAAATGTAGTTTGAAATGTTGAAAAAGTAATAAATTAAAAAAATATTTTTTTACGCGTAACAAATACTTTTTTACACTTAAAAAATAGTTTTTTGTGGGTAGCAAATAGTTTTTTACATGTAACAAAAAATGTTTACACTTAAAAAATAGTTTTTTACGTGTGACAAATAGCTTTATATGCTTCACAAATACATTTTTACACGTAAAAAATTGTTTTTTGGGTGTAACATTTTTTTACATGTAACAAAAAGTTTTTTACGCGTAAAAACTATTTTTTTACGTGTAACAAATAGTTTTATATACCTAAAAAATGTTTTTTTACCTGTAACAAGTAGTTTTATACGCGTAAAATAAAAATTAATAAATAATTTGATTCACTTTCACAAACTTTTTATTAAAATATCATATACCGGGTGCGTCTCAAAGGTGGCTCACCCCTATAACTTCTTTATTTTTGCAAATAAAAAACGAGATTTGGTATGTTAGTATATGACATAAATTTGGATTGATTGACGTATTCAATTGTTTTCGGTAACTTCCTGTTTCACCGAAAATGACAACAACTTTTGATTTTTAAATGGCACCCTCGGTATTTTTTAATTTATTCGATAGAAAATGTAACTCTAAATAGAATGACATATCATACCTCAACTTTTGACTCTCGCTTAAAAAATTGTATTTTAAATTTCAATGTAGAGCACCATGGCTGTGTTAAAAACACTAATTTTTAATCAAGGAGCCTTGGAAAAATAGACTTGATGTTTTTAATTCTTGTCCTGGTCGGTTAAAAGATGCCCAAATCGTATTTTTAATCATATCTCAATTTTTTCAACTGGAGCAATGGTAGCTTATTAGCATATTTGGAAAAAGCATTTTTTTACGAATAATTTGGTACCACACACTTGATATTTCGAGTCAAATTGTTGTTATAAACCACATGTTACAAATTCAAATAAACCAGATGCGAAAATGTCAAAAGTTGACATATGATATGTCATTCTATCCAGACTGTCATTTTCTATCGAATAAAGTAAAAAAATACCGTGGGTGTCATTTAACACCAAAGACCATTACATAAAATGTGTGATAAAGATTTGTTAATTAGGCTATTTAAAAAATAAAATAAAAACATATTGTAAATGATGCGCTGATTTTTTAGATTTATGAATTATGCCTGTATTATCTAAATAATTCCGATCACAACATCGTAAATGCCTCTTTAGAAGCACTAAACAGTTTACTATCAAATATAACAGATGAGCTGAAGAGCAAACTGATATCTTCCAGTGGAATTGACAAGTGCAGAATACACAAAAGCCAATCATTTAATAACATAAGGTCCCCTAGTAAGTGTTCAATTTCTTTAGTTAATTGATTTTGTTTATATTTGTTTAATACGTCTGTTTAGGCCAGTTAAGTATAGCAACCAATGTAACTTCTGAAGATAATTTATTTGCTGAATGTGAACTTACTGAGACTATACATGCAGATATTGAAAAATGGATTGGGGAATCAAAACTATCTGTAATGACTATGTCGCAAATAAATGTTAGTGAAAAAGCGAACGTTTTAGATAGTCATCCTGGGCCAAATCTAAATTTTCAAGATTATGGTAATATTTAAAATTATTAATTACCTCTTATATCATATTCATTATATTGTCAGACGTACAGGGTAACTCAGTGTTCTGAAAAATATCTATATCAGTATTTCTAGTTGACATTTTTACTCCATTATTTTTTACAAAATATACCGGAGATATACAAGGCTATTAACAAAATTACATTTATGTTGTAGTTTTTTTAAAGCTCATAATCAAGGAATTTAATAATCGTTGAAATTCCCATTACTAGAATATAGTATTTCCAAAGTCAATTGGAAGTACTGGGATTCTTAATTCGTTTGTCCCGACGATGCCGACAAAGACAGTGCCGAAATCAAGACCAAATCACTTTTTCTTCTTCACGTCTTCAGAAAAACTACATATTCTAATGGATTTAAAATATTATTTTTAGATATTTTTTTCTACTCATTTAAAGCTCCTTAATTGTAAAAGAAAAAACTGTTGATGATTTTTTTGTGTCTCCTTCAAAACTGTTCATACAAAAACTGAATAATTTGCTTTGTAATTTACATTACTCCAAACTAAATATGTGTTTCTTATTTATAGATGGAAATTTTCGGTGAACAAAATTTGCCTTTTGCCTTTTTTTAAGAGTGAGCATATGTCGTTAATTCACTTATCTGCAACAAAAAAATTAACTATTCATGGAAGCCACGCCACTTGATGATTCAATAAATATGATTTATAAAAAATGTCTATACCTATGTGGCGAATTCATCTCTCCAAAAAATCTTATATGGGTATTTCGCCACTGCAAGAAAATCTACAAAATAAAATAGTTATTTTTTGTAAACACTTCTGCGTTAATCCAAACGGAAACTACTTGTCAGAAGTGTACGCAGAAGTGTTTACAAAAAATAACTATTTTATTTTGTAGATTTTCTTGCAGTGGCGAAATACTCATATACGATTTTTGGAGAAATAAATATGATTTATTGTGCTAATGCAGTTAACAAATATTGCAAAATAGAAAATTAGGAAATAAACTTGAGTTTTGTATATAAAAATTATTTATCAAATCATAAAGTTCGGTAAAACTGAGTTCAATAATATTCCATTCACAGCCATTTAAAATAATAAAGAAAGATATGAAGGGTCCAGGGAAAAACTTGATAAGCGCCAATTTCTTAATTTTAGGGTTTGGCTAGTCCCTACGAAATGTAAAAACTCTGCAGGGTAATAAGTTAATTCATTTGATATATGCCTAGTAAAAATATAGCATGCACGAAAAGAACCTGATAACCACCAACCGTCCAGTGCTCTCCTGTAAAATTAGTAAAATGACGCTTATTATGTTTGGACCTGGACACTTCATTGGTAATATACTTTTATCTTACTCTGTATATAGCATCTAAAATTACGAGCATACAATTATTCTGAGAGAGCTCTAAATGTGCAGAAAATTTAGTTTAAAAAGGCTCATATTTTAAAAACCACAGAAATCGGTATAAATTATAACAATTTATTTGTTATAATTTTTTTATTATTTTTTTTGGTATTTTTACAATTGAAATTTTATTGCAAATTCACTGGGCCAAAAATAATAGACAGAGTATTCTACTTTTAAAAATACTCTAGTTTTAATGTGAAAATATATTTGAATCACTTTGTATATTTAGGAAATTATTTGTAAAATCTGCCCTACTATTATCCCGACGTTTAAAAATATATATTGAGATGGAAATATCAAATCTAAAATACCTGTATCTTCGGCCTGTATATAAACGGTAGAAAAACGTATTAATAAGAATTTTTTTTCAAGCTAATGTTTCAAGCCAACCAGAAAGATATGACTTGGAACTAAAGAGTAAAAGTATCGGTGATAACTTAGACAAATACAGTGAGAATTCTTCAGAAGAAAGTGTTACAGCTTCAGAGAGTGTCGACAAATTATTATATCCAGAAGTAGATATTCAGGTTTGTTTCTTTTATTTGTATTATTAACCATTCAATATATATGTTGTAAATGTTCGAAATGCGGTAAACCCTAGGATAAGCGCGCTAAACCTAGGATTTACCGAAAGCATGTGGTACAAGCCCGAAAACTATTTATTTTGCTTCCATTTCGGACTTTTACCGGACCCAAACAGTAAATCTTAGGATTTACCACACCACATTGGTAAAAGTACGAATAAGCAAGTGCAAGTTTTACCACTTGCTTTTGGCAAATTCTAGGTTTCGCGCTTATCCTAGGTTTTACCCTTTGGTTTTACCGCATTTAGGATAAATAATTCTATAATTATTTTTAGGAAATCGATATTGGAAATTACTTGGATAAATGCCCATCTCTTTTGTACTGCACCAGACTGATTACAAAATCGTTTTTACTAAATGGCTTACCAGGAAATTATATTTCTGACAAACTTGTGAGAGTATCTGTAAAATCTTTAGCATTAGCATGCCTATCCTCCATATTTCGAATTTATCCTCAAGGATTCTTTAAATACCTGGACAAGAATTTTTCTGATGCAAACAGAGGACAGTCGTGTAGGATTAGTAGTCAAGGAATATGTGATATAATGTTATTTGCCGATCACTCTGATCCCCAACTAAGAGGGGCAGTGAGGGGAATAGTATCTAATTTAGTTTATTCAGTTCTAACAGAGAGCAATTTGGATTTTGATGGTTGGATGTTAAATTTGCTTTCTACAGAAGGAAATGTTTGTAAAAATGGAAAGTATTATAGAATTGAAGATTTTATTTCAATATTATATAAGGTAAGTACGGAGTTTAGAAAAATAAGTTTTGTGTGATTAATTTTTTAGGGTTCCGTACCCAAAGGGTAAAAACGGGAACCCCATTACTAAGACTTCGCTGTCCGTCCGTCCGTCCGTCTGTCACAAAAGTCTATCTTATGAAACATTATAGCTAGACAGTTGAAATTTTCACAGATAATGTATCTATGTTGCCGCTAAAAGAACAAATACTAAAACAGAATTAAATAAATGTTTATAAATAAAAAAGTACTTTCACTAAACATTATCTTTTAAGTAAGAATTTTACAAAGAATCTTTCAAGTCCTCGGTGGCCGCGTGGTTAAAGCGTTAGGATTTTTCGCTGCTATGACGTTGGAGCCCTAGTAATAAGGCAGGTTCGAATCCTAGTCAAGGCGACTTTTTTTAATCGTTTTTTTTTTATTTTTACATATTTATTTTTACTTTTTACATATTTATTATTGATTAATACAATTTTTAGTAATGTGTTTCTTCATTTTTTTTAATTACTTATACGCCCATTCAAAATTTCAGCTAATTCGGAAACAAGTTTATAATAATATAGTGTCTAATGTATAGATAATGAATGGTACGGAACCCTTCGTGCGCGAGTCCGACTCGCACTTGACCAATGTTTTATTTTTTTTATTTGAATAAAATTTAGTTGGACTGAATTTAACTTAATTTATGTATTTTACTTTTTAATAAATTTGATTTTGTATATTCGAAAATAGTTTATAAAGCATGCATATCTGAAGATTTCCTTTTCATATGACTGAATTTATTTTTCAGGGTTTACAAGATGAGAATTCTAATTGTTTGAAACATACATTGTTAAGTGTAAATATGATTATTAATTTGTTATTGGAATCAAGGAGCTGTTATAAAGTTAGTCCTCTTTTAAATGTTTTACCACTTGTAGGTAATAATCCATATTGGTTAGTTAAGGTAATTATATTTTCATATATTTTTAAAAAAGTTGTTTAAATTAATTTAGTTTATTTGATATTTTTATGGTTTATATAAAAATAAGATGATATTAATGAAAACACAATTATATAAAATAAACTACAATATGAGTGTTTTTGGTTGTTACTGCTTTTATTCGTATATGTTTTTATAGCGTGCTGGCAACTGTTACTTTTTGGTCAGTATTTACATGTGTGGAAGTAAATCGCATAGGGATCTTATAAAGTCGGAGTGAGAGAAATGCTACGGTGTGCTGTTGCGGCGTTGTCGGTACGCCTTTCCCTAACAAGTAAAGTAAAATCACCATCGCAAACCGCTTATTTTTACAAGAATTTTTTTTGGAAAATATAGATTTCGAGATATTCTCGATAGATTTAGAGATATCGATTTTTAAATTCAGAGTTCTAATAGCGCGACCACTGTCGAACACCAACTCAATTCCACTTATTTTTACCAAGAATACAAGTGTTTCTAACTTGCACTTAAAACTTTTCAAGCTATAGGGAAAATTACAACGACTCGTTAATAAATAAACACATAAAGCATCACGAAACGTAATTAAATCATGAAGCTGAACGCATGATGTACACATTTCTCTGGAACTTTAAGAACTGACAGATGTACTGATTGAGGCGACTGGTCGACTGCGACAAATCTGCTATATCCCCTTCCACGTCTCTTAACGATGTGCACAGTTTCTTGGTTTATTTCATACGTTTGGCAACGTGTTTACTGTCCTCTTTTTGTTCAGTACATTATAAACGCATTGTACTCTTCTTACATACGGAAATCTCGACCCAAGACTAACCTTTGCCAGCCCTTAGTATTTAATGTCTTATATTTCTTAGGTAACATTGTGTGAACTCGTTTCAAAACTGTCATATGTAACAATTTTCTACATAACAGGAGACAATATATTTCAAAGTAAAATAATACACAATATTTTGCTAGAATTTTTAAAAGACAGTGATCAAAGAATTAGAACTGCTGCCGCCAATGCTTTAGCAGAGTAAGTCAATTTTAACAAATAGTTATATTTTCTTTATCAAAACACATTTTAGAATAATACCAAACTTATATTTCGAGGAATATCATCCAAAAGAAAGTCTTACAACAACCAAAGCTCTTAGTAGCGATTTTAAATTTTCCTATGACGAATCTGAAACAAACTTGTACAAAGAAAATTTTATTGAGTCTATGCCGTTTCCGTACTCGAAGATCGGTACTGATATTTCAAAGCAAGTCGACTGTTCTTTGTCAAAAATTATCATGAAACTATATTGCAATATATTGTCATCGAATTACAAATATTTTATTGTAAGTATGGTAGAAGATATTTTTAACATCTGAAATACATAACATAAAATTTTAGTATGGTTGTATTGAGGCACTTTCTATACTTTCAACATATTACCCTTGTACAATATACAGAAAGTCTTGGTGTGATTATAAAAATTATAAATATAGCGAAGTTGACGTTTCCATGACTTATAGTACTGAGGATCTTTTCACTTTGTGTGTCAACCTATTAAGTAACTCAGTGCATATTTATGATATACCTTTTATCACCAATCTTATGAATTTAGCTGCTAATTTATATGCAGGTAAATATTTTCTATTTTTATTTTATATTGTATGTTTGAAATAGCAGGTTTAGTCGTGACTAAGTTAAGAATAAACTCAAAAGTCAAGTGAGGATGCAGTCAATAATTACCACGTAGGCTAATAAAACTACTTTATCAATTTGTCTTTTGACAAATTGAAAATAGTTATTTATGATATAAGTGCTAAAAGTGGTTTTAAGTGGGTGAGAACTATTTTTTCTACAAACAAGTTTATGCCTGTATATATCAAGGTATTATTACTTTTTACGTTAATGAATAATTCATAATATGTCATTCTGAAATCATATTCATATCAAATCATATCAAATTAATTATGAAGTTTATGGTTGCTAGCGTAATTGAAAGATTCCAAACATTCAATCATTTGTTGTTAACTAATGTCAAATTTGTGCCTCAACTCTTGTAAAATGATGGAAAGTGATCAAGATTATTATTATTATTATTATTACCCAGCAAGTCCAAGGATCAGTACGGGTTTTTATATAATCAGTTTTTGAAATGGTGTGACCTAAAAAATGTTAGTGGCACTGGCAAGTTCAGTGAAAAAGTACTTTTAGCATACTTCGAAGAAAAGTCCAAAATATGGAAATCGTCAACGCTTTGGTCAAATTATTCCATGGTCAAGGCGATTATAAAGATTAACAATCTTCTTGCAGAGGCGTCGGATGAAATATACCTTATGAAAAAAGTTGCCGTAATTTTCGGCATATTTGGAGCGTGCCGTCGTAAAGAACTATGCAACTTGACATTAAATAATATCGAGGATGTAGGAACTTCATTAATCGTTGCATATTCCAATTACAAAAACTAATGTGGAACGAACATTTGTTATTACTGGTACATTATATTTGAATTATTACAAAAAGTACATAGCTCTCCGTCCAGCGACCATCAACCATTCAAGAATATTTATAAAATATATTATGAATAAATGTGCTACGACTCCAGTTGGAATCAACACATTTGGTAAGATGCCTGCCAATATTGCTAAATTTCTACATTTGTCCGATTCTCATCTTTATACTGAACATTACTTCCGAAGATCTTCAGCTTCCGAAGATCTTCATCTGATTCTGAGTATTGCAGGCCAAATTTTATCCAGAACCTCAGCGGATACTACCATTGCTTCTAATCTTGGTACAAGATTCACGTCAGAGATAACTTCTACTTGTACTACAGCTATAAATGAAATTGGCCATGGAATAACTTATTCCAATTATAATTTCACTAATTGTACATTTAATTTGAGTAAATAATTATTAACGTTGACTTGATTTTTCTTATTTTTTTTCAATTATCGCTTCAGTGTTAAAGGTAAATCACGGGACTTAGTTATAACACCAGTGCTAAAAGTAAATGACTTTTACCATTAGTGACATAATGTCACATTTTAAGCACTGACAGCATGCGTTAAAAATTACATTTTTACTGACGTTTGTAGAAAAAAGTAGTTTTATTAGCCTACGTGGTGCTATTGGCTATATCCTCACTTGAATTTTGAGTTTTTTGAAAGAAATATATATATGGTTGAATAAAAGCGGCATCGCAGTAGGCATAGAATTTACATTTCACTTTAAGTTTTCCTATGTGTTCCGCTGCATTTCTTGGTAATGATACTAGTGCTACAAATTGTTGCTATTGCGGCAAAGATTCGTGTAATGGCACATAAATATATTCTAATATTACCACATATTATATGTTGTTATCGCCTGTCTAGTAATAAAATCAAGTTTCATTGAATGTGTTAGACAATGATTCAGTATTAAAACTAAAAGAATTTCGGACTTCCATTGTCTTTATTTTTTACACAACGTTCCGGTCAGATCGAAGTATCACTGACCGATATCAAATGGTTGGAAGCCCGGGGTGGCCAAAAAGAACCCCATTGGAAAAAGCGCAAATTTAAAAATGCCGTATTTATTTCTGCTGAACAGTCCATTCAAGCAATCTACCGATATTTCGTTTTCAGTTCTTCTAAAAATGTCTGTATTTAATATACCCGTAAAGACAATCTTTGAGTGTGCTTTGCAGGAAGAAGCCGTTCGGCCAAAGATTTTATGGTCTATTCCTACTATATCCCCAATAGGCGGGAGTTAATATATTTCTTTTCTTCAACATGAAGAAGAATATTCAAGTCATTGTTGTTTTCTCGATTATTTTAATTTTAAAGTAAATGTTTGCAAATAATTTTTAAATGGCTATTCAAAATAAAACGAAATTCTAGACAAAAGTACAACTTTAATACCTCTTCAGAAAAGTCTAATATACCTTTTGTATAAAATTATCTGGAGATGGAGAGATAATATTTGACCTTTTCAATATTTACATGGGATTTTCCAAGAACGGTAAACTAATAGGATTACTCATCCTCATAAGACGTACGTTCGTCTCTTCCCGCGCTTGAACTGACAGTTGTGACGTCATTGTAGTCCTTGTCATGATAGTGTGTATTCTAGTGGCCTATGGTAAACTTATCAAAATAATAGCTGAGAAATTTTGAGTTAATTATTTTGTCAATTTTAAATGGGAAAAAGGTGTTTTTAAAGTTTTTAGAGCTATAGAGTGTATAAATACGTTCATTTTGTGTTGTGGATTGTGACAAAGTGCTTACTAAGTGCCTACGATATTGTTTATTAATTATTTTAAAGCAAAATATAGAAGTACTCTAAAAAGAATGCTTGCAAAAGGTGGTGCTGGGAACTGCTGTTCTTAAAAATGCATTATCCGAGTATTTAATACGATTTATACAGTTACTTTTCTATACTGCATACATATAGGGTGTTTAAATAAATAAACTAAATAATGAACGTTTTGCATTCGGCAACCAATAATGCACGTGTGTGTATTATTGGTTGCCGGATAAGGACTAATAACCATAACAAGGACTACAATGACGTCACAAAGCGAATAGTTTTCGCATGCACCTGGCGTACACTTTTGGCTGAATGAGCAGTCCTATTAGGTTAACTGTTCTTGGGGATTTCCTATGTCCCCGTGTTTCGATACCACCACACGGTATATCAAATGAATGTCCCAAATTGGAATAGAGAACCCAAAGGTGGTATTCTTAAAAGGGTACTCTATCAATTGACATAACTTGTAATGCATGAGCTAGGCATACTGGTAACAAATGCAAAACTGTCTCAGGCTGTTTTTGGCAGATCTTGCAATTAACATCCCCAGTGTTAGAAATTCGAGTGTGGTAACCAAAAGTGTATTTATTACAATAATGGAATGGTTGCAAAACAATTGGCTAAAATGGCCTAGTGTTTTGATGTTTCATATTTCTTAAAAAGCGTGTTGTAAGTTGTTGATATTCCCTAGCAAAAATTGCTGTTATTCTCCTGCTTTGATTTATTATTTCATCCAACCAGTCGTAAATCTGTAAACCCTATCTTAAGCAGCTGTTCTTGTTACCTGAAGAGATATTCTCCATTGTCGACGATATCTTGACTTCGAACAAGCTGCAGTAGAGTATCGGCGATGTTGGCATTCTTGTATATTGTATAAATTACTATTCGGCCATATAGATAATCCCAACCCGAAAGACATTGATCTCATGGCTGATATTGGAGATAAAAATGCACTGGATTGAATAGCGATGACGAAACTCCAATTTATCTGCATCATCTGGCGAGTGTCTATATTTTTTAAAAACGTTTTATTATTAGTAGCATGTGTATACTAAAAACGAACAGAAATTATATTTTATACCCACTGCAATGTCGTTTCTATTCTAGCAAAGACTTAACACATCAATAAATTTCAAAGTTTACCTCAGAAATAAAACAAATAATTTTTTTTAATTTAACATAGGCCATGCAACTTTGTTACTAAAACCGGTAGACTTATCCGATACCAGCCACCAGACCTGGTCAATGATTCCCAGTAGTTCAATTAAACCGCTCTCGGACGAATATCTGCTTCACACCGTCAAGCTCCTCAACATTTTCCATTGCGCCATCAACGACATAGTACCGGTCGTGCCGCAATCCAAAACAGTGTTGCCTCATTTGCCTTCTACTGGAACACTGTCGCCGATAAAACGAAGAAGGAGCGAAGATAAAAAGTCGCCGGCCGTTCCAGGTCGGATTGTCATTGAAAGAGACGAGAAAATCGATAAGAAGGAGCATATTAAAGCGGTGCATGTCGGGTATTTTGCCGGATCTCAACATTACATGAAACTTTTTGAGGTACTTCGCAGTGCTTTTGTTAATTATAAGGTAAGTACATCATTGCAATGCCATCACATACTTGGAATATACAGTAATCGCAAAACATTTTCCGATGCACATCATCAATCATATCTAAATTGACATAAAGCCTATAAACCTGAGTATGTAAGTATAACCTAAAAAATAAAATTTTGCCAAAAATGTTTAAATTAGTTGTATAATTTAAGATACCTAACAGCTCTTCATTTTACTTCATAGAGCAAATGATTATACCAGATATTTTATTTAGATTAAAGCTGCAAAAGTTAGTTTAAAGCGATTTTTATTATCGCTATGTTGGTCACATTGCGCCGCAATCAGCAACGTTGTCGTTTATTATTTGACAATTATCATAATGTCAGTCATTATTTTGTATAATATCGTGTTGTTGAATCTTTGGGAGTAATTCTCTTTTTTTGCCGATTTTCATAGTCTTTTTAAAAATCAGGCAACGGCCTAGCTACGTTGAAGCACCTGTTCCCATTAGAACACCGAAGTTAAGCGACGTAAGGCGATACTGGTGGATGGACGGGTGACCGGGTCGAAACTCTGTATCGTGCTGTTGTCCAAGGGAAAAGTGTAAAATCTATTGATACACACTGCTCATTCACGCCGGTTCGAGGCCGGATGAGATGTTGAGATAATCTCGTGAGTAAGAGTTAATTTAGACACTTCCTAAGTCGGTAGGCCACTGACCATGATATGGCCGAGGACCGCAGTTCGGATTCCGCGTAAACAAAGTAGACCCCGTCCAGATTAGCCCTAGCAGCAAAAAGGAGACGTTGACTGAAATCTTTACTTTTTTTTTAAAAAAATTGTACTTCTAAGCACAAACAGTTCTTCTAAGAACAAAATTCTTGAGTTTTTGTATTGCATTTCTTGAAATTGTGTGTTGAAAATATGCCGAAGCATTTAAACAGTCGAAGCAAAGAGCTTTTAGCTTCCCTGATAAACTATTTTGAACGAGAACGTGACAATAAAGGCGCTTTATTACCCTTGATTGCAGTCAGAGAAATAAGTTTGATTGGTAAGCATATTATACCACTTTCAAAGTTCAACGTTAGGTCCAATTTCTACGTTAGTTCTTGGTATATTCTGTGACTATTAGTTTTACATTAATGGCACCCTCTTAGTTGTTATTACCACTTGTGGTGTTGTAAGTTGTGTGTTGTGCATCAATAAATAAATAACCCATAATAACGCTTAGAATAATCTTCATAATGGACTAGTTTTACCAATATGTAATTAGTAAAATAAGCTATAAAACAAATAAATCAATTATTAATATTAATTATTAAATTAAAAATAAAACTCTCTTTAAAAATCTTTAAAATATGTTATAGTTACTACTTATAGTTTTATGATATATTCCATAAATCTATCACAATCTGACAGCGCTGTTGCCATCGCTTGTCACTTAAAGTAAATCACGTGCATCGGAAATTGTTTTGTGATTACCGTACATTACAACATTACAGGAAGCTCCTAAGGGAACGACAGTTCGTATTGAAATCAAAAGTTGTAATTACTTCCGGTGAAAGAAGAAGTGACCATAAACAATTGAATACGTCAATTATCCTAATTCCTAATTTATGTCATATACTAACATACCAAATCTCGTTTTTTTATCTGAATAAAATAAAAAAGTTATAGGGGTGAGCAACTTTTGAGACGCAACCTGTATATTAAAAAAATGTCTCTAAATTAACCTATGTTCCTGTTTTATTTCAATACAAGCTGTATTTTTGGAGCTTCCTCGGCGTATTCGAAGTGCCACTGTATATTTATTAAATAGTGTATTTAATTTTATTTTTAGCCGACCATACTAATAGGTATAGTAGGATATTAAGCAAACCAAACCAAATAACTCACTTATTAAGATCGGCAAAAAAAAGTTTTTTTTAATTTCACTCAAAATGAGTTATTTGGGTCATAAATGACCTAAATACAAAATATTTTCATGGTGTCTGTCTGTCCGTCTGCCGTCTGTAACACGATAAATCAAAAACCGCTAAACCGATTTTAACCAAATTTGGCACAAAAATACTGTGGCACCCGAGAATCTGGCCATTAGATTTTGGTGGGGGTGGTGGGTTGGTAAGGGGGTATGGGAGGGGGTTAAAATTTTTAAAAAATCGTAACTCCAAAATTACAGTAGCTAGCGAAACGCGGTTTTCAAATTAAGATTAGGAATAATATTTGCAACAAAATTTGTAATAACATCAAAATCAGTCAAAGTCGCAGTTTTCGAGATATTAACATATTTTGGTATGGGCGGCTATACGTGCCTCCCGGCGCCAATTTTTTAATTTCTTATAAGGTGTATTAATTTCTTTACAATTTTAAACCCAACACAACTTCTTGAGGTTAAGAGTATACAAACTCGCATTTAACACTTCTAATCGATATCATTTAAAACTAATTACATCACCTTCAAACCACTTTTAGACATCGTTGGATCCAAAGGACTCTGGAAACTTTCTGGAACTACTAAGAAAAACGTTACGGACCCTATCTGTAATGCTAGAAGTTGCAACATTAAATGAGTTTGGACGCATTTCTGAAGAAATCTTATCATATTTATTGTCAACCTTTAATTTAGAAACTACCATAACTGTACAGTGTGTCCAACAGTTACTTAAATGTCTGTTTGGAAGCAACTTAACATCGAGTGTGACAGATATTCTAAATGAGAATAAAAAACAAAACGAAGTACTTATATCTATCTTTAAAATAAAACAATATTTTAGTCAGATCCTTTTAGAATGAGAATTATAGCTTCTATTATAATATTTTTCAAAAACCCAGTGAAGAAATGTCGGTGTGTGTAAACTCTTTAAAAAACATCAACAAAATTGAGTGCGATGGAGACAGTACAGTTATGGGATACTTGCACAGGCGCGACGTAAAGAAACCGATTACTTTTACGAGAGCTTCTGATAAAACTTTAGCAAACTACATCAGAATATTCGAGCCCATGGTTATTAAGTCTTTAAAGGTAAGTTTTTTATTTTACATACTTGTTTTAAAACTGTTAAGTATGTCCAGTGATAGGTACCCTTAAAAAATAATCCTAAGGAAGCGATCTAATGGCGCGTTCTCACGACTCGTGTACTTGGCAAGTATTTTTTATTGGCCTACAGGGTCTGGCGGGAGTGCGGCGTAGTTCCGATAATAAATAACTTATAAATTCTGTATAGATGCTCAACGCACCGTGTATACCCTGTATACCAATTACAAATGTTTGTCAAGTACACGAGTCGTGAGACTGCGCCTTAATATATAGTCTGTCCAACGATAAAATCCTTGACAGCGATGGATTTATCTGTCATTTTAATTTCAAAGTAGTTTATTTGATTTAAAAAAAATAGTTGGTACAATTGCAGGCATAGCAGGAAATTAATATATTTAAAATTTGACTGACAAGTGATTCACACAAAATATATTGTGAAAAAAACTGTATAAAACTAAAAAAATGTCATCAAGTTATTTTATTTAAAAAAAATTGTTACGGTATGTGTTAATACAAAACAAACAAGAGTGTATTTTAAACACCACATACCAAAAAAATATAAAAAATAACTATTCCTTACTTTCAAAATTCAAGAAACTTCCTACATATATTATTGTATTTATTAATATAACTTATGTACAAATAAAAAAATTGAATATTGCACAGGAATAAATAAAATACAACATAAAACAAAATATTTTATTAATAATGACATTTACTGAAAGTATACCTTAAAAGTTGGTTAATTTACTTTAATCTTAGTTTTTTTAAACCAGTACCTTTTGAGATTATATTTCTGCATTACTAAAATCTATTATTTACCTATCGTGTGATATTGCTATTTTACACAGCTATAGTAAACGCCACGAATGTTTGGGAGTGATTCATCGGTTGCTACCATGTGAACCAATCTGTTCAAGGTCACATAAAACTTAATTCCAGTGCCGTGTGGTGTTTCAAGTCATATAATAATCAATATATAGTCTGTTGTAATTTGTTGTTTTAACTGTCAAAGTCTTGTCAAAACATATATTTGGTTCTTTGAATAAGAAGACTAAGGAAGGAGCATATCAAAAATCTTAGGTACACCGCGATGGGCCTCAAATATGGCCGACTTAAATTCCGGTTTATCAGTGTCGTTCTAATTTTATTTAGAAAATGTAAAACTATGATGTAGGGTAGACGTGGGGTAGACTCAATAATTTGTTGTTTTATTTTACGTTGTGTATAAATGTTGGTAGTTATTAAAATTGTTATAAAAATATATAATTCTAATAAAAATAGATAAGTTATAATAAGTATTTATTAACACAAACATCCGATACGCTACTGAAGCAGGTAAGTCAAATTAACGTATCTAAATTCTTTGACATCTAATCTTTGACAAGTAATAAATAAAAGCTAAAATGCAAAGAAAAATATATAATTTAGTTAGTTTAAGTGAATTTCATAAATGATCGGTTTACTACACGTATGTATATTATATAGTCACTTACTAGCGAAAAGTTGTTCCATTATTTCACTCAATTTTTGCCGAGATCTACCGCACGCTACACAACCAACTATTTTAGAGTCTTTTTCGATAAATCGCGATAGTGTCACTGTTAATTTAAGTTCTGCCACAATTTCCATCTAGATTTACTACCTTTATACAACTATCAGTAGTAGAATAAATAATAAATAACATAAAATAAGCTCCATAAAGACTGACAAATCCACAAAATTTCAAATCAAATTCAAATGTGTCAAATGAATCGTCAAACAGAACTGTCAAGGATCCCCACCCTAGAGAGCTTTTGTGGTGCCTTTTCCGCCCACCATGCATGAATACATGGATAGCATTATGCTCCTTCCTTAGTCTTCTTATTCAAAGATTTGGTTATACATATAAATTGGAATGCCCCATTGGTCGCACTGCAAGCACACCAATGGACTGACGCACAAAAACGAATCATCAAAGAAACGCGATATAGTATCGTCTTTGTCAATCACGCTAACATCTTACAATAAATAGGAGGAGCGCAGGCAGATGATTAGACTGGGCTTTTAAAAACCTACGTCTGCGGTAAAAATTTACGTTTTTAATGTAAAAATGATAGCGCACGTGTCGATTCTAACTTCATCAAGCGATGAATCACTCCCAAACATTCGTGACGTTTACTTTACAAGTACGAAATGGTATACAAACTTTATTGATGGTAACATTATTGTGTATAAAACTCTCTATCTGGGCACCGAAAATTAACTATAAACTGTGCTCTAAAATCAAAACGCATCACCTTCCAAAACGCAGATTAGTTGACATAATTTTACACAAATTTATTGTAATTATAACCTATAATTTGGCAAGACTTTGACATGCCTCAAAAATCTTAAGTCGAATTCATACGCATCTGCATCTGTGCATCGTTCATCGCTCTGTCACTCAAATAATATTAAAATATGATCCATTTTTAAATAAGCCAATAAAACTGGTTAAAAACAAAAGACGACGCAAGGTGGATTTATATATAAACCCATGGTACAAAGAAAACAAGTGCGCAGGTTGGTCGCTACGTCACAGGTGATAACAGGCGCCATTGGTCAGCACGCTCTGCGCGCCAAATCAAATTGCCAAGATATTGTAAGGAACCTGTTTTTTTGTTTATATACCGTCATTGAACTATCGCTAAGCAAGCTACTGTGGAGCAGTGCGTGAAGAGTCAGGTTAGGAAGCGACAGACCGGAGTTCGAATCTCGGCCGGGGCATAACTTTTTTATTTAATTTTTTAAATACTGTTGTATTCTATAGTTTATTTTTGTAGTATAAAAAAACTATTTATTCTGTTATTTTTTAATCTCCGGTATTAATATAAATTGATTGTTGGTACAATACCTCATTTAATATAAAATAATATTCTACTTTTTGAAATGTATCGGGCCCTATCGTACCTAAAAGTAATATATTTTTACAGTGATATACCATATTGTAAACTATTTAATATTTCAGTCACTTAAAAAGTTAATTTGTATTGAATAATTGCCTACCATTAAAGGAAATTTGAGCTATAATCCTTGATGGGCATATTCTGGGCACAAAATAGAAATCAACCAGAACGCCGACTCTGCCGAATTTGATGACGTTTCACGAATCGCGACGCCATATTAGCAGCGGGTAACTCTCAGGGCCGGATTAAAACGCTTTCACAGGCTGTTGTCAGAGTTATATTGAATAAGTATTTTTATTATCTGATATGTGATTACCGACTGAGCGTAATACGTTATTTCGAAAGGTAAAGTTTGTATAGATAACTCAATGGACTCGACGCTACGAATAGCTGCTGTCTTCTGCGATAGTCAGAATTCAACTAAATCCTGACCTGCCCTGACTAAACCGATAACGCCGCTACATTGACAAATGTTACCCGCTCATAATGGAATTTTTAGGTTAGCCACCGTTTCGCGCGCATTTTGGGAGTCAACCTTCTGGTTGATTTCTATTTTGTGTTCTGGGTATGCAAGTACTTCCTCTAAATTTTGGTTTTCGTTCAACCGATTTATTCTCAAAACCTGAAACATCTACATATAAAAAGAAGCACAGGTCATTAATTATAATAAACTTTACCCTTGGAATTACTTCCACTAATTATAATAAATTTCACCCTTCGAATTACTTCTATTACAATTACAATACATTCACCTACATTGGCATTTTCTACTTTTCGATGGAAAACAATCAACTTCCCAACATTTTTTAAATGATGTAAGAATTCCTCTTGTGGTTACTTTTCCATAGATATCCTCATCTCTGTCCCATAAACATCGCAAACTAAAAACCTAATAAACAATTGTTTATACCGAATATAGAAATAAATTTAGTATTCTTACCTATTATCGTCCAAATCCATGTTAATAGTTAATTATCTATTAACATATTTTGGAATTTAAACTTTTATTTTTAAATATATTTTTGGAACTGCTCGTTTTAGTAATTATTAAATTAAACGAATTAAATAAACAATTCCCATGAAACAATTCTTAACCATAACCCCAAAAATACAAAAAATGCAGATCTTCTGTCAACTTTCTTTATTTTTTATTTATTCATTATTTTCCTAGTGATGTCACAGGTGGTATGCGCGAACTGAACGAAATTGGAGCCGCTATCGATCGATCATACCTTGTATTCTTTGTACCATGATATAACCCATCCATAGTTAACTTAAAAAATATTAGAAACTTTTTTTAGTGAAATAAATAGGTTGAAATGGACATCATCTGCTTTTTTCTGTTATCGTCTGTCAAAATCTTACCAGAGAAAAAAAAACCAGAGTACTATATCGTTACAGTGTACTCAGAAAGTTAGTTTAAAGAAACTCTTGAAAAAGGCCTAACTAACAAGCCGAAACATATGTAGAAAAATAAAATTATTCTCATTAAACTTGAAACATCTGAAAGTGTGTTTTATTAAAATACTAGTATTTCTACGATGTTTCGCAAATAACCAACCACAAACTCAGTACTATTTATTAAAAGATGAAACATTATTTTAGGAATATACTGAAACTACTAATGTAAAGCTGCAGTGCGCAGTTTTGCAATTGATAAGTCAGTTGGTTCAACTAGGGGTAAATTATTGTTTACTCGATTCCGAGCAAGTATTTAAAGGTGTCGTTCTAAAGCAGGTTGAGTATATAGAAGCAGGCCAAGTACAGTAAGTGTTCGAAATGGTTAAAATTCAATGCCTTCTATTACAGTCGTATTTCAGACATTCCGAAGAACTCACCGCGAAGATTTTTCAGTTTTTAGTCCACCTTTCTTACTCCAAACAACACTCTAAAAGTATTATAAACATTCCAAAAATTATACAACTTTGTGATGGGTTGATGGCAAGCGGACAGGATCCGAAAACACACTGTATACCTGCATTAAAACCAATTGTTCAAGATGTATTTTTAATCAGAAATAGGTAATGGGCAATATTACCGGGTGTTTTTCTAAAGTGGCTCACCCCTATAGCTTTTTTATTTTTCAGATAAAAACGAAATTTGGTTTGTTACTGTGACATAAATCGGGATTGATTGACGCACTCTATTACATTCGTCGTTTTAGTCACTTCCTGTTTCACCGGAAATGACTAAAACTTTGGATTTTTAAATGGTACATGGTATATTTTGCTTTATACAGGGTGTCCCACTTAAGATGGATACAAGCCATTATCTTGTTTGTTTGTCGAGCGTTCTTTTTCATTTTTGGCAGGAGGCTGTATGGCTATAAGACGTACATTTTTCCCAGGGTAAGAAATGCGATACCTCATAGACTTACGTTTTAATGGGATTTGATATTTTTCGAGTCAAGAGTAAACTACCCGTAGGACAGTATTTATTTCAAATCTGATAAATTATATTGAATCCTCCTTACCCAAGATACTTATGTTCTAATTTTGATAAATATTGATACAGGGTGTGTTATATTAAAAAGACATTTTTATTTTTATTATTTTTTTAAGTACTTACGACGCCACTGGATAAACAACTGGTTTATTATCAATAGCCAATTATAACCAATTATCAAATAATAATCGATTTAAGTTTTCAGATAGCTTCCATAATAATTAAGATACGATACAAAAAAAAACTAAATATTTTCAATTTATTTTGTTTACTTTAAAAAATTGTTTTTTAAGTTTGCTAATACAAATGAATAAAATGAGTTACAAAATAATTTAAAACCCCAGTTTTCAATGGAATCTGAAATATGATTTTTATTCGTTTTATTGAGGAATATTTTAAAAAATCCAAATAGTTATTTAAAACAATCACAATTAACTTTGTAAAATATGCTCTAAACAAAGATTTATAAAACTATAACGAACTAAAAGTAAACATCTTCGACCAAACCACCATCGATTATTAATTGATAATTGGATATAATTGGTTATTGATAATAAACCAGTTGTATCCAGTGGCGTCCTAAGTACTTAAAAAAAATAATAAAAATAAAAATGTCTTATTTTAATGACACACCCTGTATCAATATTTATCAAAATTAGAATTTAAGTATCTTAGGCAAGGAGTATTCAATATAAATTATCAGATTTGAAATAAATACTCTCCTAAGGGTAGTTTACTCTTGACTCGAAAAATATCAAACCCCATTAAAACGTACGTCTATGAGGTATCGCATTTCTTACCCTGGGCAAAATGTACGTCTTATAGCCATACAGCCTCCTGCCAAAAATGAAAAAAATCGCTCAACAAACAATCAAGATATTCGCTTGTATCCATCTTAAGTGTGGGACACCCTGGATATAATAATAACATATGTCAACTTTTGACATTTTCACTTAAAAAATAGCATTTTAAATTTCAGTCTAGAGTGACATGGCTGTGTTAAAATCACTAATTTTTAATCAAGGAGCTTTGAAAAAAATAGATTTGATATTCTAGATTGAAATTTAAAATACTTGACATATGATATGTCATTCTATTCAGAATGTCGTTTTCTATCAAACAAAGTAAAAAAATACCTAGGGTACCATTTAAAAATTAAAACTTGTAATTTTCGGTGAAACAGAAGTGACTCAAACTAATCGAATACATCAATCAATCCTGATATATGTATGTCATATACTAACATACCAAATTTCATTTTTTATCTGAAAAAATTAAAAAGTTACTTTCGAAAAACACCCGGTATAAAATCTATAATCTTTTAATTGTTACATTTTAACTTAGGACAAACACAATTGATATGGAAGAGTTAGAAACAACAAGGGAAGTAATACTTTCCATGTTGCTACGTTTATTAGAATACAAGGAAGTGATAGACTTGGTATCATTAGTACTGGATGACAGCAAATACTGTACCGATGACGCAGAAAAATGGTTTAGATGGTCCGGACAAGTAATGGTTGTGTTTCTACAACTGTTGAAACAAAACAAAATTAAAATCGACAGCAAAGATGTTTTTGTTTCATTGAAAAAGTTTATTTTCGCCATCAATCCTAATGTGTTTAAACCTGCAAATGAGTTGGTTATTATGCTTTTCCAAACACCTCCATCAACGGTATTTAAAATTATTCACAGTCGTTAATATAATTTAATATCGCAAAATTTTCAGGAAAATAAAACAATGTTGAATAGGTGGATCTCCAGAATAATTCTTCTGCTTCTTTTACTATCTCCATTAAAGGAAGACGATCTCCATTCAATAATAAGAAATTCCAAAGCAAAATTTAGCCCCGCTTCTGTTTTTGAGAATATAACCACTATAGCTGATCCACTGAACGTTAAGAATGATGCGGAGAGTTTCGAGAATATTTCCGAAGAAGATATAATTGCGAGAATGATTTTTAGAGCGATAACTATAATATCTAAGGAGGTTTTAGAAGCTTTGAAAAATGCAACGAATCATTTTCTAGTGAGCCAATTTAATGAATTTTTGATGTATTGTTCGCATATGTTGCAATCAGGTAAGGAAAATATTCGGTATGTATTGATAAAGTTTGTGGTCGTTTTCTTAAAAAATGCTTCCGGTAACTTTATGAAGAGCGTCTTTGAATGTGGTAGACAATGACTTAGTATTAATAATAAAATAATTTGGAACTTCCATTGTCTTTATTTTAATTTAACGAACACGTTTTTCAAATATATGAGTGACCATTGTCAATTGTGTCAACTAATCTAAACGCGCACTCTCACGACTCGTCTACTTGGCAAGTACGCCAATATTTGCGTACTTGGCAAGTATCCCCACCAGTCCCCACTTTGTAAACAACATCGGCAAGTGTGGCGCTCACACGACGTGTCCATTTCAACAAGTACGCCAGCACAAACATTGTTTAAATTCTTGGCAAGTAAACACTATAGTCGCATCGATGGATACCGGTCGTCCCGAAATTGTTGTTGCTAGTGATTTTTTTTCTGTTTTCTTTTATTAAGTTCTTTTAATGTACACTGCAATATGATTTCTATATTATTTATGTTTAGCTATCTATGTGAAGGGCTCATTTTCGTATACATCCATAAATTCCAAAACAACATCATTTGAAGACTACACGGAAAAACCTAGTTTTGTCCATTTTAATTGGAGCCGAGAAAAATGCAATTTAGTGTTTTTAAAGAAAAATGTTATTTTCGGTTGAATAATTAGAAAAATATAATTACTACCAATTCTGAATTACTAATATTGTGAATTATCGTCATATTCTGAAATACCGAAATAAAAAAGTCAAAATGCAAAACAAAACAGGGGAAAACCAGAGATGTCCAATTAAAGGTTGTATAAAACCTAAATCTAAACTATTATTTTTTTGTTGTAGGAAGAAAATTAATATTTAAGTAGGTTTTTATTACCTACAATACATAAATTTATAACATATAATACTAATTGCAAGACGCATGCTTGTCGCCCATGCGTCAGTACATCTCTGGTTTTTGCCATTTACGCGTGGGCTACTCTGGTTTATCCTTACTACGGCAAAATAACCAAGCTGTAATATCTCTGGGACTATTACTAAGCGTATTATTGCTTTCTTTTTCTCGAATGACGTTGACCCCTATAATGTGACATATCTGGTTTTTCCCGTGTAGTCTTCATTTGTCCACTCCATTTATTACTGAAGAATGATTTAGGTATGTCGCCAATATTGAAGTTATTAATGTAAATTTGATATTATATAATCTAGTATTGTTTTAACGTTTTAAATTATCCGCGATTAACTCGAAAAACACTACGATCTGGAAATAAATCGGACGCTATAACAGTACAATTATTTGCGCAGTCGTTTTTTTGCGCCTCGGCAAGTGTAGACAAGGCTGGCCAAGTACACTTGGCAAGTGTACGATTGATCGTTTGACTCGGGCTATGTTTACTGACAGAGAGTGGGGAGGCGACGAGTGACCAAGGAAACCGTTCTCACGACATGGCAAGTATATTCCAATAATAAATGTTTGTCAAGTACGCCAGTCGTGAGAATGCGCCTTAATTCTTAGAACTCCTGACTTTTTATTGGGTTATCCACTGAGGACGCCAGCATTAGAACGTTTTATAAAGGATTACCGTATTATAAACATTTTTCCTACGTGGATTACTAAAGTTGTTATTATTATCTATACTAATATATAAAATCCTTAAGTGACTGACATACTGATTAATCACGATCCTGCTCAAACCACTCAACGTAAGTAACTCAATTTTGGCATACAGGTTGATTCTAGGGTGTAGAGGTTCGATAAGAAGGGATTTTTCGAAATTCCAGTTCCAAGAGGGTGAAACCACCCCTCAAATATTACAATATTTTTTATTTAAAAAACGGTCAAGTTTCCGAAAAAACGCTTAAGCACGTATATTTTATTTTGTTTTTTTACATATTTTAAGATTTTTTAAAAATGTATACAGGGTGTTTCGAAAAATCTGGTCATTGATTAATCACGATCCTGCTTAAAGCGCTTGACGTAAAAAGCTGATTTTTGGAAAACAGATTGACTTTAGGGTGTAGAGGTTCGATAAGAAGGGGTTTTTCGAAACTCGAATTCTAAGGGGGTGAAACTATCCCTCAAATATTAAAATATTTTTTATTTAAAAACCGGTAAGTTTTTCGGAAAAACTCTTAAACACGTATATTTTATTTTGTTGTTTTACATATTTTAAGGTTTTTTAGAAATTTATACAGGGTGTTTTATAAAATATGACCATTGAGTAATCACGATTCTGCTTAAACTGCTTGACGTTTAAAGCTGATTTTTGGCAAACGGATTGACTGTGGGGTGTAGAGATTCGATAAGGAGGGGTTTCTCGAATCTCAAATTCCAAGAGGGTGAAAACGCCCCTCGAATATTACAATATTTGTTATTTAAAAAAAGGTTAGTCTTTCGGGAAAACGCTTGGACAAGCATAATTTATTTGGTTTTTTATATATTTTGAAATTTTTTAAAAAATCATACAGGATGTTCCAAAAAGTTGGGTAATTTCTTAACCAAGATTCTGCTTAAACTGCTTGACGTAAAAAGCTTATTTTTGGCAAACGAATTTTTCGAAAGTCAAATTCCAACGAGATGAAACTACCCCTCAAATATTACCAAGTTATATAATAATATGGCCATATTGTTTTTTCTCATGCTGACATAAATGTGAGAAAATTTTATCCAGTTTGTATGTTAATGGAAATTCTTGCTTTGCTTTATCATCACTATTGCAAATGATTAATTCGACGCGAACGAAGTCGCTGGTACACGCTAGTTTGATATAAAAACGGTTTCTTTAAATTTACGCTTTTTCCAATGAGGTTTCTTGTAGATAACCCAAGTTTCCGACCCCTCTGTGTTAGTATGATGAGCGGAAAAAATGGACAAAATGCACCTAGAAAGTTTGCTCCTCATATGTCATCATTAACAAAAAAATAAACATCTTGACTAGATAGTTATTAGACTGGAATAATACATTTGTACCAAAAATTCAACAGAAACTGTTTTATTATACATTTTTATAAAAAAAATGTGCATGATTTAATGTATTGATTATTTCTTTTTGGAATATACCATTCTTCGGACAAGATATATACAGGGTGTTTCAAAACAAATACGAAAAACTTCAGGGGGTGATTCCTTGTTCAAAATAAAGGGTAGTTTGCTCCATAAACGTTGGGTCAAAAGTCAACCATTAGGGAGATATCGCGGTACAAAGATGGCGGAGAAATAATGTTCTTATTTTTTATCTTGAAAACGAAAAGAGATAGACTAATGAAATTTTATGGAAGCATTACTGTTATGAAAACACACTTTCAGGTAATTTTTTTACTTTTTTAAAGTGAGTGGAAGGGGTTGAAATAAACTACCTCTATCATTCTTGTTAACGAAATTTAAAGAAAAACCTTATCAAACACATGCAAATGCTTTAATTTGGATAGTTTAGTTTGTTTAGAAACTTTTTTATCTCTTGTATTTTTTTGATAAAACTCACCGATTTGAAATTAAAAATAAAATGTAAAAAGCATTACATGTCAGGACAAAAACATTTTTTAGATTAAGAATCTAGTGATAATAACGATAATAATAATCATCTAGATAATAACGTATTGCAGTAGAGTAATGTCAAATAAAATAATATTAGGAACATCCTAAAAAGTAACAGCGGCCGACTAGATTTTTTCCTAAAAAATTACAGCAGCCTACTAGATTCTTTATCAGAAAATGTTTTTTGTCCTGACATGTAATGCTTTACATTTTATTTTTTAATTTCAAATCGGTGAGTTTTATCAAAAAATACAAGAGATAAAAAAGTTTCTAAACAAACTAAACTATCAATTAATTTTTTTGCATGTGTTTGATAAGATTTTTCTTTAAATTTCGTTAACAAGAATGATAGGGGTAGTTTATTTCAACCCCTTCCACTCATTTTAAAGAAGTGAAAAAATTACCAGAAAGTGTGTTTTCATAACAGTAATGCTTCCATAAAATTTTATTAGTCTATCTCTTTTCGTTTTCAAGATAAAAAATAAAAACATTATTTTTCCGCCATCTTTGTACCGCAATATCTCCCTAATGGTTGACTTTTGACCCAACGTTTATGAAGCAAACGACCCTTTATTTTGAACAAGGAATCGCCCACTGAAGTTTTTCGCATTTGTTTTGAAACACCCTGTATATTTACATTTTAACACAACACCTACTAATACATCTATTCAATATTAAACACAAAGTCTGTATGTGACTAAAAAAGTGTTAAACTTGCAAGGGTCTTGCAGCATGACCAATAATATAGACAATGGAAGTTCGAAATACTTTGAGTACTATATGAATAGCTCTAGAAGCAATCAGTATTCAACATATATTTTATTGTTTTCAGTTATTAGGTCTTTAAATTGATTGTATTCAATTTTAGGAAGTCTTTGTAGAGTTTCTCAAGCATCTGATTCGATACTAAGCAAAAAGAATGCGACTGACATAAATGTAGAATTATTAAACGAACGCTTTGCGCTAATTGGAAGATGGCACCCGACACTGGCGTTCCAGTGGAGTCACGTTCTAAGTGTGTTAAATTACAACGATCTGACATTTTGGAAAACGATAATTAATACTAGCCTATCTACTCCAATCAACGAAACCATAATCAACATAGGGAGTACCATAGTTTTTTGTGATTATTTAGTAAGTTATTAGGATAAATAATTCGAAAAATGTGCAGGATATTGGTTTTAGAATGAAAATATCTCAGAAACTAAGCAGTTATCGTGGAATTTATCGGAGAATTCCGATAATCTCGTGAATTTAATAGATGAAATACCTGTTTCAGAGTTTGTAACGTTTATACATCGAAATGCAACATTGAGTCGGGTTTTAATACAAAGTATTGCTCAGAAGTCGCCGGGTAATCAGAAAGTAAGTATATATTTTATAATACTGTAAAAAATATCTTCATTTTTATGTTATTTGTCTCTCTTCACTTTTATATTTTATTATTTATTTTGTTATACAGGATTGTTCACCACATACGACACGGAGCAGGGAGTATTGTAGCTAAACGATTAGATTTTTACAAATTGTAAGTTTTGGTTTGGGGTTCGTTGAAGGACTATTAGAGCTACAATTTAAAAATATTTTTACAAGATACAGAGTGTCCCAAATATGTAAAGAATATTATAGTTGTATTTTTTTAAATGGAACACCCTGTATATTATTCTATTTTTAAATTCTACGATTGAAATAAAGGGAAATTTGATTAGGGGTTCCCACACTTAAACCTTACCGTTTTTGAAATATTTTCAATTTTGTGAAATTGCAGTAAAAAATGTAAGGCTTCATTTCTCAAAGGGTATCAAATCTTTTAATACTACATATTTACTAAAGATTATCTATTGGTCAGATATTGTGTTGCAATAATAAAAATATACTTCCTTATACAGAGTGTCCAAAAATTTATATTATATAATTACTAGCTTTAAACGGCAATAACTTATTTAATTTAAATGGAACACCCTGTATATTTTACGTGATTCAGATGCATAACTTAATTGTCTATCAATTTGTATTATACCATTTTTTACCTATCTCTTCAAGTTTTCGTAGAAAATGCGTTTTTTTATTTTAGATTATTTTTAAAGATGTAACAAATTTTCAGAGAGTACAGATACTAATATTGTCAATATAGTTTGTTTATTTCATTAAAAAAAATAAAAAAAGACTGTTTAAATATTATATGTTAAAGAAGATCAATTAATATGATCCTAGTATTCAAACTACATTAATTGTCTGTTTACGTTGAATAATAATAATTGCTCCACATACTAAAAAACTGAATTTTGTTTGTGTATTAGACAGTGTGGTAAAAAATAACACCTCAGCTATGCATCTGGCGAATCATTCAGTTCTTAATTCCTTAATTTTTTGACAAATGATTATTTATAACAAGAGACGTTCATTTTCGTAACTTATTATTATATTGATTTCTGAGTCAAATCCACATTTACTTAGAATAATTTATTAATTAAAACAGTATGTAATTAACTAATTTTTGGACGGAAATAATGGTGGTATTCATTTCTCCAAGTTAATTGCAATATTATTATTTTTACCACCTGTACATTTTGTACATATGTTAAATGTAAAATAAAACACTAAATCACCACAATACACCAAAACACTTTTACTTTTACACTGGACGCGCGTTTCGCTAACCATGTTAGCATCATCAGCAGATGATTATAAACTGTTGTTGCTTTAAAAAAATCTAAAATTTCAATATTCCATGGGTATATAGTGATAAATGAGGTCTAAATTACAATAAAATGCATTTTCTACGTTAACTTGAAGAGATAGGTAAAAAATGGTATAATACAAATTGATAGACAATTAAATTATGCATCTGAATCACATAAAATATATAGGGTGTTCCATTTAAATTAAACAAGTTATTGCCGTTTAAAGCTAGTAATTATTTAATATACATTTTTGGACACTGTGTATAAGGAAGAATAATTTTTATTATTGCAACACAATATCTGACAAATAAATAATCTTCAGTAAATATGTAGTATTAAAAGCTTTTATACCCTTGGAGAAATAAAGCCTTAAATTTTTTACGGCAATTTTATAAAATTGAAAATATGTCAAAAACGGTAAGGTTTAAGGGGATAAACCTTAATCAAATTTACCTTTATTTCAATCCTAGAATCCAAAAATAGAATACAGGGTGGTCCATTTAAAAAAATACAACTATAATATTTTTTACTTATTTGGGACACTCTGTATCTTGTAAAATTATTTTTAAATTGTAGCTCTAATAGTCCTTCAACGAACCCAAAACAATTTGTAAAAATCTAATCGTGTATCTACAACACTTCGTGTCGTATGTGGTGAACAATCCTGTATAGTTATTTTTATTTATAATTTTAAATTTTTATATTTATTTTTTATTATAAGTAATTAACTTATCCTTTCAGCCGTTATTTAAAATCAAAATTCTGAAGTGCTTAGAAAACAGTCACGATTCCCAAACAGGTGCCGTTATCAAATTGTTAATACCCCAAATGTTGAATAATCGTCAAATAGCAATTTCACGGTTGGTTGCAAATCTAGCTAGCAGAAAAATAGAATATCTATTTACATTGAGCATAGAACAAGTACATAGCCAGCTTTCCAAAGAAGATTTGTTCAAAATCAAAGAAGGACTAAATGCCATGCATCTGGCTAAAAAGTTAGTTAACCTTACAGCTTATCAGAAAATTTCAAAGCTCTAAATAATATTATAATTTTCAGGTACGAAACGTTAATAAGTTTGCTAGATAAACTACTGGTTCAATACTATGACATGAGTCCTTTTCAATTCAACAGAGATCGTATGGTTAATACTGAACATATAAAAAAGTTACAAGTTAACAAAAAATGGTTTCTCTCTCAAATCCAAAAGCAGTACAGCGACGGAAGGTTACGGAAAGAAAATGCAAAAGTGATGGAGAAACTGGAATATAATGAACTGACGACTTTTATGTCGAGCAGGGATTTTGATAAAGTAATTCTTAGAGACTGTATTGAAGCAGGCATAAGAATACTAAGAGATGAGCAGCTAAAAGAAGAACCGCCAATTTTAAAAGCTAGCGTCAATTGTATTTTGAAGGATATTAGTGTTATTATCGATGGATCGTGTAATAACCACGAAGTAAGAACAATTTTGTAGTCTATAGATTAATCACATTATGGTCCAAATTCCCACTAAAAATATTGTTTAAATATTTAACCGTCGCTTATTATTTTCATCAATTTTTACTACTTTTTATTTTAAATGTTACAGTGTTATTTATACATTGTGAATTGTGATATTTAAATAATTCTCAGAGCACTATAGTATAAAAAAGTCCTACATAGCCAATTTAAATTGTAATTATGTATTCTGATGAGGTTATCGTTGCATCCTACCGACTGCGCCACTTTTTTTAATATTGAAGAAACTCAAAAGACACGTTCTGAACGTTTCATTAAAAAACATTGATATTTAACTATTAATTACTTCTGTATATATGTATGATCTAATACAATTTATTACATGGATACTAGGTCTAAACATTTTTGTCCTAAGAATTAAATAAAATTACAGATTAAAAGTGTGTAAAATGAACTGAATAATCTAGTTATACTAGCGAGACCTTTTTTTCTATAAAATTTATATAACATTAAACCAAACTGAAATTATTACGTTAAAGATTAAATAAGACATGTGGAAAACTGTTAAAAACAAAAATATCCAAGTTAACAAGTTTTACAAACAACTAAAATGGACTCACTTTTAAGTTAAAACTTTTTCATAACCAGTACTGATTGAAAACTAATCAAATGTGTTTATTGTGGTATCAAAAGTCTCTTAAAAATACGTCTAAATTGTATAGATTGGTGGTTAGAGAATTAGATATAAAATTTATTTAACACTAACTTCATTTAAAACTAAGTTGTGATGGTAAAACTTGATCAGGATAAAATTAACTGGTTGAAAGATTCTTCTTCTTCTGAACGTACCTATCCATTCCGTATGTTGACGACAAGCAAAGCCATTCGAACTTTACTGACTGCTGCTCTAAGTAATCCTCGTGTAGACAGGGAAAACCAAGATCAAAGGTTCTTCAATCCAGGAGATTCTGCTCCTTCGAGGTACTCTACTGCCTAAGACCTTTCCCTGGAGTATCAACTGAAGTAGACCATTTTTCTTTTGCTTCCTCATTATGTGTCCTAGATATGCTAAATTTCGTTGTTTAATAATGTGCACTATTTCGTTCTCCTTTGTGGACACTTCTGTCAATATCCATAACTCGGTACCATAAAGTAACACAGACCAGACTCACCCTCCACTCTGATACTTTTTGTTTCATGCCAGTACAAAAATGTATTGGATATTTTTATTAGCAAAAGACTATTAAACTTAATACGTTGAAATATTTAGGTATGTGTTAATAAAGGCCAGTAGTTATTGTTAAATTTTAACCAGTGATGATATATAGAGATTCAGTCTGTTATTTATATACAGGTTGTTAATTTGTTTATTACTCGCGGAAAGAGCTTTATGGTTGAAATATGGCAACCTCGGCCCGCTCGTCGAGAGACGACGCGACGGGACGAGTCGGCAGCTTAGCTTAGTACTCATTTGGAATGTGGGCAGTGTTGCCATTCTGTTCCCCAATAAGTAACCGTCCAGTTAACAATCTGTATAAGTAATTCTTTAGTGGGTGCTTGGATTCTAGTGGCGCTTTATGTAAATGATATAATAAGTAAAATATATTATTTTTAGGTATTCAAAATTGTGGAGCCACATAGTTCATACGCCAAACAGATATTAGAATCGTTTAATGAAGATAATTTTGCAGCGCTGCTTTTCGACTTGAACGCATCTTTAACAATTTTAATGAGATCATTGTCCGATCTTCCTACACTACAATTATCCGATATCGACGCCGAGAATATCGCCAAGTTTGCCGTTTTGTCTTTAGAATATCTCAGATTCGTTATCAGTAAAGACGAATCGGCTTTAAATATAAATTGCCTGGACGTGATCATTACTTCTTCCAATGAAATACTCAAGCAATCTCAATTTTCCAATTACTTAGGATTAGATAACAATATTTCTTGGCTGTGTTCCGCTATAGACGTCCTGTATTATATAGTTACATACCTGTTAAGACACGAAGAACCTCTGCCATCGATAGAAACAAACTTAGTACGATCAGATACAGAAAATAGTGAGACCAAAGAAGCCCGGGATGCTTGTCACTCTATATACACCCTGATACAGTGGCTTTATAAGACTCAAAGTTCAGATATAAACATACCCAGGTTTCTGTTCGAGCCGTTACGAAGTTTAGTGGTTTCGTTGTCTCGCTTACCCCTAGTTAATTCGTATAATCTTGTTCCTTCTAGAGTGTGGAAGTTAGGTTGGGAGCCGACGATGACGGGCAGGTTTTCGACACAAGTACCAGCGATACCAATTGATATGTTACAAGAAATCGATGTGTTTGAAGAGTATCTTTTTAGGTAATATAATAGATACATAATATTTAATAGATCATAAGAGAATAATAGTTGGGATTTATTTTTGGTTTTAGGCCAGCAATTTAAAACATAATAATTAAAAGTTGTTTTTATTTCTTACGTACGTTTCGACCATTCTTAGGTCTTCTTCAGAAAATTATAATTATTATCTAGAAACACAATTCAATTTTAAAAATACAATTAAATAATACTTTAAAAAAAACCTTACCAAATACATATACAGTACGTCTGTCCGTTCTGTAGCTACGGGGTATCCGTGAGAGGAGAAACGATATTCTCTCGATGTTTTTCGTAAAAAATTAGACGACGCGTCCCATCAATAAAAATTCGACAAATTTGCAAGTAGCCAATAAAATGAGCGGGCGGAGCGATTTGGGGTGGCGTACTCGTCAAGTCGACGTATAAAATATATTGCTGTTTATTTAAATGTTTTTTGTCCGCATTCCTTTCATAGACACAGATCCAGCAAACGTACTGTACACATAACAATATAAAATCATTATAAAATTTAATTAAGTATTACACATAACATATTAAAAAACAAACAACCAAATTACTAGTACATGTCAGACTCTAAAATAAATATTATAATATTGAAATATACAGCTTGTTTAGATACTGAACGTCTTTTTTGTCATTAATAGAATGTGAGTTTTTCTGTATTTCGATCATTTCACGGGATTCCCTTTTCTTTTGGCTTACTTCTGTTAATAATATTTTGGTCTCGTTAAAATTAAAAGAGTGCTTTTCCTTCAGTTCATGGTTTGTTAGGGCGCGGGCGGTTTGATTTTTTTTGTCATATTTGTGCCCTTTTATCCTGCTTTCTAAGTATTGGCTAGTTTGTCCAATATATACCGAATCGCAATCATTACATGGAATCTGATAAACGATGTTACTTTTTTTGTTTTTTGGTGTTTTAGTTTTTAATTTGCTAAAGATTTGTCCTATTACATTGTTACCTCGATGACATAGAGTTATGTTATGTTGTTTGAATACGTTACTTAGTTGGTGTGACAATCCACTGATGTATGGCAAAGATATGAATTTATTTTTTTTGGCTTTATTTTTGTTTATAATATTCCCGGAGTTGTAAAATTTATTAATTCTATTTTTAAAAATGTTTTCTATAAGTTTATTTGGGTAATTGTTTTTCTTTAAAGCTGTTTTCGCTTTGTTTATAGCTTTTTTTCTATACTCGGGATCGGATAAACTTATTGCTCGGTCTGCTAAGCCTATTACAACAGATTTTTTCTGTGACATCTGGATGGTTTGAATTGAAATTTAGATATCTTGAAGACCATGTCTCTTTTGTGAACCATTCTGTCCTTAGTATTCCATTTTTATTGTGAATTGTCACGTCTAAAACGTTGATCTTTGATTCGACCACTACTTCCATTGTAAAATTGATGTTGCTGTTGTATTCGTTAAATTTATCTAGAATTCTGTCCATATAATCTGTTGGTAATCATCAACATTTCTGAAAAAGAACGGAATACGAATGTCTAGTTTTTCCAATACACTTTCTTCTAAATCCTCCATTACTATCTGAGCCAGTGAATAATATCTACACTACTTTTCTACAGACTGGTTCAATAATTGAGAACATTTTTAGGAAAACCAAAGAATTAGGAAAATTATTAAAATTAAAAATAATTTCCATTTTCTTATAGTCACTTTTTCTCCACTGCAAAATACAGAGTGTTCCTTAATAACATGTTAATATTGAAAGTAGTGATTCTTGTACCTATTCTCTAAGAATAAACCTCATCTGAATGTTTATCCTTAACAGAGGACCTAATTTACCTCTATTTTCCTTGGCCGATTTACAGCCGACGTCCTTTATTATTGGACCGCCCTATACAAAAAATTTTGATGCATCAAAGCAGTGAAAATCTATTTCCGGAACTTGTTTCAGTCTCCAATGTTTCTAAATCCCAATTTACCATAATATAATTTTAATATTCAGTTTAAAAATCACTGTACTGAGGACAACTGTTTTTATTTTCACATATGCACATATAATTTTCAGAGTAAATCTACTGGGCTGGACGACACGACAGCAATTTGAAGAGACTTGGATGAGTTTCCTTAGCGTTTTATGGACGCCTCTCGATAGCGTCGACTCTGTAGATATGAGTAATACTTTACACGCTTCCAGTTTAGCCATTAAAGCTATCACGGTTTTGCTGTTGCAAACAATGAGCTACCCAGTATTAGGAAACAAGAATGTATCGGAAATATTGCACGTGTCAAGGAATTCACGTATACCGGATACAACTATAAGGTAGTACTAGAAAAAATTTTGGGACTACACAAGATTAATTTATAAAATAATCAAATCATAATTATTTTTTTGATCCCAGAATGTTTTACAGATAAATGATATACAAAAATGTAATGCTCTTTTATGATTAACAAATAAAATAGAATTAGTTACACAAAATATAATTACAATCTTAATACTATTATTGTATTTTGTAGTATAAGGAAATTAAAATTGGTTCAAAATCACATTGAACACAAATTCAAGGAATTATCTAGTCGATGTGGAGCAATAGAAATCCGAAACGTTTTTAGCAATAAAAATTTTGAAAAAGTTAATTCACAATACTCGTATGGCCAGGTGTCCATTAAATATTTTCTCACAGCTACAAATCCAGAAGAACAAACTAATAGTAATAACTCGCACGCCTATGATGTTTATAAAAAGAGAAAGAAATTACTGGATGAAAGTGGTTTAGACATAAATTCTTGTTTACAATTTTTATTGGACTATTATACACAACTTATGAGAACTGAGGTTAGTAAAAAGAAGCATTTTAGGACATAAGTTTATACGAACTAGGCCAGTAAGCGAGGATAAAATTAGGGTATTACCACAGATTAGGTATCCTATAAGTATACATATAAAAATCTTGTCCCTAATTCGTGGTACGAAAATTGTTTTTTATGACGATGTGCAAACGAGTCAAATTTCCTGTGCGCAAAAATAAACTCGCGTAAAATGACAATAAACAGCGTAATAGAGAGATATCGCTAAACCGAATAGCGCGCATGGACGTTAATAAGGCCAGGTGTTATATCCTTTACGTGAGGTTGTATTAACTCTCTTCATTTATAGTTATCGGATCGGAAAGAATTCTGATCGCGTCGCGTCCGCTATTTAAACTTAACCTAACTTTGAATTTAAAACTTTGAAATTGTTTTGTTTACTAGGTATTTTAAAACTAAAGGGCTAAAGTGCTTATTTCCAGTGCTTTATTGTTCAACGTCTGCCAATGGGTTTAGGACAACAAGCAACAAATTCTCTTAGAAGGGCTAAGTCGTCATCTGCTGTAAAGCTAAGACTCTTTATAGGTTCTTTAGTATTGGAAAAGGTGGAATCCATATTTTGGGCCATATTTATTTAATTAAAACTAATCCCAGCTACTTAAATATCAAATTACCTAATAAAACTAAAGCAATAATTCAAAACAATTCAAACATAACCCAAAATAAAAGATCTCGCCGGCCGGCTCCGGTTGTCAAATACACGCACATGCCCATTTAAGCAATTTTTAAACGTTATCAGAGGTTATTTAGAAAGAGCGCTTGGTGTAATTGATCCGCAAATTATGTCAGGCGGTAACGTTATTAGCGGGTGTTGCGTTGACTCGCGCATATCGTAACCATGATAAGGTACGCGTAAATACTGGATGACGCTATTCGGTTTTCCGATATCTCTCTAATAACTGTGCCGGTCAGGCGCTGTGCACAATTTTAGAGGCCATGCTATGTGCGCAAACTAGTCACCTAACTAGTGCCCGATTCCGAAAATTGGAACCACGAAAAACAATAAAGAAAATACAAAGATTATAATCTGTATAATATGTGGTATTACCTCCGAATTCTTGACACCCGCACCGATTAATGTGAAATTTTAACAGCGAATAGAGATATATCTAAGAAACAAAAGTTACATAGTAGCGATGTGTGCTTTGACCCTGGGGGTGAGTGTCACCCCTTCTCGGGAGTGAAAAATAAATCACCCATTTTAATTGGAAAAATCAATAAGGGGATCAATTCTAAGCAAAAAATATTCTATAACATTTTTACAGAAAATTAATATTTTCCGAGTTATTTAGGATTGAAAATGTTGATTTTTCATCTAAAAGCTGCATGTTTTTCTGCAATTTTTTATAAATAACTCGAAAACATTGCGTTTTGTCGCAAAACTCATAGAAAGCAAAAATGAAGCTTTTGGAATAACGAATCGATTCATTTTTTGCTGATTATCGTAGTGTAACAATAGCCGAGTTATCATTCTGTAAAGGTGGTTTTTTATTTTCCGAAAATTAAGTTGCAAACCTTTTACCGTAAAATAATGGCAAAAGAACACATTTTTCGAAGAAATTGAATATGACCGTTTTTAAAGTGCTTGAAAAGACGTTTTACATGCTTTTTTAAAAGGTCTTTTTAAGTTCGCAGCTCAAAAACTCGCGGAGTTATGATAAAAATAAAATGGTCACCTCATTTTTTCGGAAAAAAATTAACAACAAAATATATGACTAAAATCATAAAAATAAAAACTATCAATTTGTAGGAAATTACACGAGCTACAAATTAACCTCTATAGTTGAACAGTCCTGAACTCTTCATTTTTACGAGATTTTTGGGTTCAAGGCTCAAGAAGATGGTCCTTACACGCAAGTCAAACTAATAAACGTAATATCTACGAAATGAAGAGATCTACAGAAAAATTGAAAGAGCGCAAAAATATTGCAAAAAAAAGATATTCAATTTTATTCTGTTTTAATTTTAATTAATTTTATTTACATTTTTTACGTATCTTGCTTAGTTTTTGAGATATGTCAAAGCCAGCTATATTGTCTAACGACAAGCCGTGAAGTTAAAAAGGCAACGTCGCATATTTCAATTTAAGTGGTCCGGCATAACTTAACCTAACTTTTGTTTTCATGTTTCATGGTGGCGATCGACGAAATATGAGAAAATAAAGTTAACTAAACAAAGCGGATAGCGGTTTGACTTTGAAAGAAAAAACATTACACAAAACGGTTTCCACAGATAGCTTTGATAAAAATAGTTTTTAAATAGATTTAGGAGATAGAGTTATAGGAGAAATGAATAAAAAAGAGACCACACAAGAATTACAAAAAAACATATTTTATTTTTATTATATACATATTCCAATAATAAATTATTATTACTGGATACAAAATACTTAAAATAACTATTATCTACCTAGTACATTACAACAATTTAGGTACGTAAGTACCTAACCTACGAGGGGTGAATCACCTTGGAATTTTGTATTTAATACCTAGGCAAAAATAAATAGTATATTTAGTGGTGTTAATGACTGTTGCGAATCGGTAATTATTGATTTTATAAAAAACGATAATTTACTATAAGTAGGTACAATATTTTAAAAGTGAAATCAATTGTAGAATACTTAAATTTTCAGAATCCTGATACAAATTTACAGCTTTTTGAACATTTGCGTATGCTTTGTCTACATAGTACTCACATTCTTTCGGTACCTGCCTTGAAAACCTGTATCTAGCAAGTAGATTGTCCAGTTGTGACCATCGGCTCAGTTTCTTGTCCTCAGGTAGAATCCATCTCAGCTCACATACTGTTAGTTCACAGTTTCCTATAAATACTTGTACAGTAAATGTACTGTCAGTAACGATACTCGACGCAACATTAACACTATCTTCACTGTCTAAGTCATCAATACACACATTCAGCTGAAAAAAATAAACTTTCCCATCCTTAACTTTAAAATTTCACAGTCCCAAACACACTTTTGATTCAAAAGTTTCAAGAAATTCAGCAAAAGTATTTATTTTGTCACTTTTCAAGAAATTTTCTGTTTCCTGTTGATATTTTCCTAAATTTCTCTTCCTTCTTATTTCAGGGTCAGCTCGAGAACTTGTTAGAGGTTTTGACAAGTATTTGGGTTGATTAGGAAAAATGTGCGGCACTGCACCTTCACATAATCTTGGCCTTTTGAGTGGGAATTCGCCCAAAACCCCTTCTTTATTTTTATAGGTTTCAACTCTTATTATCTCGGATTTTTCAAAATGTTTCTCGCAAACTACAGAACTATTGGAGAATTTAAAATTGTCCCTATGGATTGACCGGATCCATTCATGTCGAATATGTTGCTCTTTTGGAAAAGAAAATGTGGTTTTCATTCCTTCATGTTACAAAGCACTGGCATAATTTGAGGTACAGCCAGGAACGCAGCAATATCTAGGCATCTAAAATTAATCATATTTTTATCAAATATGAATAACGAACACTTTTTATGAAGCAAGATTACAGAATACAAAATGTTTAAATTATTCAACCAACTCACCTCGAGTTTTTACGTGGTTTTTACTTGTTTACACCTCGTAATTTGGGGAAAATCGATAAGAATCTAACCACAGAATTCGTAACCAGCGGACTAAACAACATGTTGCCGGATTGCGTACTTCACGGCTTGTCGTTAGACAATATAGATGGCTTTGGATATGTCAAAAAATTAAAATTTTTAAAAAATAAAAAATAAAAATTTTCATTATTTTCAACTTTTTTCCAAATATAGGCATTCTAAACTAGTAGTTAGTACCTAAATATAGCCAAATGAACATGTATTACGCTTAGTTTTTATTTTTATAATTTTGGTCATAGATTTTGTTGTTGATTTTTTTCAGAAAAAATGAGGTGGCCATTCTATTTTTATCATAACTCCGCGAGTTTTTGAGTTACGAACTTTTTTAAAAAAGCATTTAAAAGGTCTTTTCAATCACTTTCAACGGCCATGTTCATTTTCTTTGAAAAATGTGTTCTTTCGCCATTATTTTACGGTAAAATGTTGCAATTTAGTTTTCGAAAAATAAAAAATCACATTTACAGAGTGGTAACTCGGTTATTATTACACCTACGGTAATCAGCAAAGAATGAATCATTTAGTTATTCCAAAAGCTTCATTTCTTATTTATATCAGTTTGGCGATAAACCGCCAGGTTTTCGAGTTATTTATAAAAAATGACAGAAAAATATGCAGTTTTTAAATGAAAAATCATCATATTCAATCCTAAATAACTAGGAAAATATTAATTTTCTGAAAAAATGTTATAAAACATTTTTAGCTTAGAATTCATCTTTATTGATTTTTGCAATTAAAATGGGTGATTTATTTTTCACCCCCGAGAAGGGGTGACACTCACCCCCTGGGTGAAAGCACACATCGCTACTATGTAACTTTTGTTTCTTACATATATCTCTATTCACTGTTAAAATTTCACGTCAATCGGTGCAGGAGTTCAGAATTCAGACCCTAAAATCCTCGCTTACTGGCCTAAACATTTTACATAATTTTATGTGCAAAATATGCTGCCGAAGTTTCCGGAATACAGTTCGAACCACCCTGTATTTATTAATATTGAAAAATAATGGAGGAAATAATTAAGACCATTTTTTTGTATTTTAGTCTACAGTTACTGATCTCAGAATTCTCCACGAAACAGTGCGCTCCACTCTGTTCATTTCCGACTTATTTACCGACAAGGCACAGTTTAGCTGGATGTTAGAAATGTTTATGGAGCTGGCAAAAACTCACGTTGTCGAAGACGAACTCATCCATCAGTATCTCATCGTCGGTATTTGTAAAGCTGTCGCCGTCCTAACACCCGTACGTTATCAATAACATTCACATAAAAAACATCATTTAATAATACTTCAAATTTTACAGGAGATAGAAATTTTCGAACAAACCAAAAAACTCCTAGTCCAATTTCTGAAGAGTCCTTTCCTTTCTGCAAGAATCTCTTGTCTATATGGTATCTTATATATTCTAGAAGGATGTATTCTTAGTAACACGACGATTGGTGGAATTTCCGAAGAACTACAGTTGATATTACCCTGTGCGGTGGAGTACGTTCAGCAGCATTTAAATGCATCAAACGTAGTGTTGAAGAAATGCCAGGAGCACACCATGCTGGTGTGGTCGTTGACGTTTTATTTGATAGAAAACATTGAGGAAGTACACATGGAGGCCAATTTCGTCGTTAATACAATGAACAGTGCTTTAACGGCGATACAAAATAAGTCAGTAGGAAATCGAGTTCAAACCGAAATTATAAAGGTAACGTGAAATTAAAATATCCATATGTATATCAATATTTTTAAACTTAACTTGCAAATATGAAACCAATGACTTGTATCGACATTAATAAAAACAAATAATTGTTATACATTGTGGTATTGTTTAATAATAAAACAATATGTATTATCTTCATCACTGCTAGGAGCAAACAAAAATGTAAACATTAATCGTTTAAACGTGTACGAATAATCTACGAATATATTTTCTTAAAAAGTTGAAGACTATTAGTATTACAAGTATAACACCAATTGAAATGGACCAACAAAATACTAACTCTCTGTATTACTTTCATGTCGATAATATTTTCTTTGTAGAGCTTAGAAAGACTTTTACTAATAAAGCCTGATAAATTTGGCAAGAACATTCAAAAACTAGCTTTGGAAAAAATGAGGGACGAAAATCCGTCAATAACGATTTTGGGAATTCAATTACTTATTACCTATATGTATGTTGGTAAGTATAGAAATAGTATGTTCTTAGTTTCAGTTCTCTTAAAGTTAAATTGGTATTTTTAGTACTAGTATTTGATCGATGAATTATTTATGTTGAACTTTAATTATAATCAAGAATGTTTTAATATATGCTAAACATTATACCGGGCTGGGAACTGTTACTTTTGGATCGGTATTTACATGAATGGAAGTAAATCGCATAGGGATCTTATTAAGTCGGAGTGAGAGAAATGCGACGGAGTGCTGTTGCGGCGTTGCCGGTACGCCTTGCCCTATCAAGTAAAGTAACATCACGATCGCAAACCGTTTATTTTTAAAAGCCTTTTTTTTTCGAAAAGATAACTAGATAATATCATTACAGATGTTTCTGAGCATCTGCAATCGAATTATAAGGATATCGTTAGGGTGTCATTTTTTATAACGAGAAAACGCCAGTAATCGCGATAATTCAAAAACTCAACTTTTTAACACATAACACGCCATAACTCCTAACCTTACTGTTTAACCTATTTATCAATGATATTGTGTCGAGTGTTAGTAATTCCTCCTGCTTGTTGTTCGCCGACGATATGAAAATTTATAATAGTTTCTAATATTAATGATTGCCAACTTTTGCAGAGAGATTTAGATAGAATGGGTGACTGGTGTAAGGTGAACAGCCTTTCCTTAAACGCTAGTAAATGTTCAGTTATAAGTTTTTCCAAAAAAAGATCACCAGGGATTCTCTTTGATTATGATTTGAATCATGTTCATTTGACACGGGTGGTTTTGGTCAAGGACTTGGGTATAAGCTTTGTTCTCTTTCTTTTAATGAACACATTAATATAATTGCTAATAAAGCTTTAAAAACACTGGGTTTTGTATTGAGAAACTGTAAAGACTTGTCGGTATGGGCTTTGCAGATAGTATATTGCTCATTGGTAAGATCAATTTTAAAATATGCATCTGTTATATGGAATCCTCAATACGATGTATCTAGGAAAACAATAGAAAGGGTTCAAATAGAAGTTTGTAAGGTATTGCGCTTTCAGACTCAATCAAGAATATAGTTACATTATCAACTTAGACCAATTAAATTTAGAGACTCTGGACAAAAGGAGATTAATCTATGATCTTTCTTTTTTTATAAGATTGTTAATGGCGCATATGACTGTCCTGAGATACTTAGACAAATTTATTTCAAAGTTTCATTTAGGCCATTGAGAATTAATGATTTGTTCTTTATTCCTTTGCATGGCACTAATTATGGAAAGCACTCTCCAATTCCAAGGGCACTTAATTCTCTGAACAAGTTTCATGATGTTGACATTTTTAATGACTCTTACTGGCAAAGATATTTAAACTCGGTTAGGTTAGGTTGTAAATATATTTGCTTACTGGGCATTTAGGAGGAAGATTAGAAATGGGAGTGATGATTGATGGGTGTGTTGATTCTTCTTTTTACTGTACCGTTCTTCTCTTATAAGTGTTTATTGTTTTTTTTTGTATTATTTTTTTAATGTTTTTAAGTATCTTTATACAATGTGAAAGAAAAAGAAGACATATTTTTTTAATATTGTTTTGTAAATTTTGTAATATAATGGGGTTTTCCGTAAATAAATAAATAAATAAATAAACTTAAGAACTACTTTAGATATTGAAACTTTTTTTTATTGAAGATCGGATCTTTTACAATATGTTTACATAAGAAAAATTCGATAAGGTTGTTTTTTCCATTCAAAAATTACTTTTAGAGCATAGCAATTTTCAGCAATCGTGTAATTTGTTTTATTGATAAAGATTTTCATATACTATCTACGAAGAAAAAACAGCAAAAATATTAAGCATGTTTTTGAAAAAACTACAATCAATTATATGTATGATCGATAAAAAAAACGGCGTCACTGATAACTATGAAATGAAGATCGCTGTCATTTTATATGTAAAATCATATAGGGATGTTCATTTCCAGGCCAACTGGACGCCGTTTTTTTTCGATCATACGGTATAAGATAGAAAATATGTGAGAGACCAAATGTTGAAACGTAGCATTGTAGTAGCTGACCTATATGAAATAGTTATAATAAACAATAAAACACCAATAATGTAGTAAGGCAGGTGGTAGTTAGCTGGATCTGTGTAATAAAAAAGACCAATCAGATAAAATACCGTATCATCGAAAAAAACGGCGTCGAGTTGGCTGGAAAATGACGATCGATGTAATTTCCCATATAAACTGTTAAACACATATATCAGTAGCTCTAAAAGAACTTTAGTACTGTATAGATATACATATTTTGCTTCAGTACTAAATACTGCCAAAACTATAGGAATTCTAACAAAAAGAATCTTGTTTTGTATAATCCCTGATGTTTTTTCAGATTGTTGGGAACATTTGGAAAAACTAGAACCAGACAGCGAACAATCCAGTCCCGACCATTTAGTGCAAACGATAGAAAAACTTTCTGCTATTTTCGAAAGGATTAAGAAAAGTTACGCACTAGAAGTCGAGGTTTTGTGCTCGATACTACCGATGATCTTAAAGGATTTCTTTTCCCCTTCCGATATACTCACTAAGGTTATTGGAGAGTTTTTGTCACCTCAGCAGCCATACTTGAAGTTAATGAGTGGAGTAGTATTTCAGGTAAGGAGAACAAACAGGGACCTATGTTTTCGTATAATATACAAAATTTGAATGCATTAAGGCGTAGATTGACTTGAGGCCGAGCGTTAGTTTAATGAAGTTGGCATTTTCTCTACTTGTGTACGGGGTGGGACAAATTCGACGCTTTTAAAGGGAAACACCATTTTCTATAGGAGATAGACGAAAACTAATATCGGTGTCTGGAGCTCAATTTTTATCAAAAATATGATGGTGAAAACCGCACGTGTATATCTATTACCGTTTATGAGTTACGGGGTGTTTTTCAAAAATGTGCATTTTTAACAAGTCGCTGTAACTTTTTTGCTATGGAAAATGTTGTATTTTTATGAAAACATTTCCAAAGCACCTTTTTACGTAGAATTTAATGGTTTAAGTATAATGTTTTTAAAATTAAGAATTTAAGAATTATCAACAGAAAATTTGATTTTTTATATGGGATACCCTGTATATTTTTAATTCATTGAAAATAATTTAAAATTACCTATCCAAAAATATAACATACTTGTGTTGTACTCGAGATATAGAGTTTTTAAAAATTCGCCCACTTTGAATAAGTAGGCTTTGAACCGCGCCGGCTGTAATGCAAAAAAAATTGCCGTGAGCAGCAATTAAAACGAAAATAATACTTGCAATGAGAGATTTAGAATTTTATAACAATTTAAACTATATTCAACAACATCAACACATATAAACTAGCGATGGGAACTATCGAATGAATTAGACTATCGAATGGTTACTGAATGAATGATTTCAACTATCGAATGGTTTTATTCGAATAAAATCATTCATTCATTTGTATACTAAAGCATATGTGACAACCTCGCCGTGCGACTAAATGGTTATCGTTGAGCCACGACTATCGAATGCTTTTGATAAATGATATTTAGTATTCGTTTGATTTTTGTGTGCGTGAGTGCATTATTAGTTCTTCCAAATTTTTATAACTCGCCTTATAAATACTGTGCTATTTTTGCGTTTATTAAAATATTTAAAATACTAAAATAGTAGTTTTTTTTTAATTGACGATTGTGTGCATGGTCAGGTGGTCAAAAATTTTCCGAAAATTTGTGTGATTTTCCGTAGCCCGATCTTTCAATTATTTTATTTTATATGGTATATGGTCTATTTTTAATGGGAAATTTTGAGAAGTAGCAATTTTTAAGAGAGATGAGATGAACTTAGAATTAATTTTAAAAATACATATTTGTATTTTAGATGTTTTAATAATATGAATTAGTTGAACTTAATAATCATATTTAAGTAATGTAGTTAAGTAAATATATAGTTATCGAACTCAAACTATGGGATGAGAAAATTAAATTGAAAGTTTTACACGTGCCAATTTAAAAAAAAGCTAACGATGTTTGTATTTTGTTTATGCTAATTTTCTTACGTGTATTTTTTTGCGAAGAAATATTTCATTTATTTTTTAAACTAAATGCCAGTAAAAGTAAATATTATTTTTAAATAGTAAATATAAAGTAGCTAATATAAATAATTTTGATTTCTAATTTTTTATTTATATTTTCCTTCCATTACACTGCATGCTTAGAAAATTAATAAATGTTTATATTTCATGATTTTAAAGTTTGTTGTTAATATAACAAATTAGTTCTGTAATTATTATTATTTAATAAACCAAAACGTTGCCAAAAAATTTAAAGACTATATTATTTTTAAATAGGATCTAATATAAATAATTTTGACATCTAATTTGTTGTTTATATTTTGCTACTACGTAAAAAACTGTTTATATTAAATTATTTTAAATTTTGTTGTCAATAGATATAACAAATTATTACTGTTATTATTATTTTTTATTAAACCAGTCTTTGCTTAAAAACATTAAAAATCATTTTCCTACATCCAAAATAACAAGTATTATTGCAGTGTAACAACAGAATATTAATAAAAAAAATGCAAAATATATAAACATACTATCCCTAACTAACTAAAGCCAAACAATAATATTCTTTGCTAATATCAACTAATACCAATATATGGCAACAGCGCCCTTCATAATGTATTTTCTGTGTAAATACTAGCACCTCAATAAAAAAAATAATGTGTCCTTATCTTTATATGACTCCGCAAAAAATCAAAGATGCCGGCTTCTTTCATAGCATTGCTGTCGGGTTTCTCGGAAAGAAACCTACGTCGCCGGGCGACAACTAAACTCCAGTTAATATTTTATTATAATCGATCCTGACGAATAAATGAATTTCATAAATGAATGAATTTTATAAATGAATGGTTTTTGCTGCCGAATTACTAGAATACAATATTTCAAGGCAGATGACGCATCTATTCGATAATTTTTATTCGAATAGTTTTCAACGAATGTTTTCTTATTAGCTATCGAATTATTCGAATGAATTGCAACTATCGAATGTTTCGATAGTATTCATTCGATAGTTCCCACTACTAATATAAACTATATCTAATAACAATAAAAATTAATAGCAAATGATGAAATCTCAAAGCATGAGATTTTGCTACAGATGTTCGACATGTCAACCGTCTTCTGTTATGGACAGACGGGACCGTTTTTGAACATTTCTCGCGGAATTCATTAACTCAATAGAGGTGAAAGATACCCTCGCATAACCGCTAATTAGTTGTAATTCTTGTCTAGATTATACAGGCAATTTAAAAATAAGAACCTTTATTCTTTTCCAAAGATACAAATCCATAGGCACTAGGCACCAAAGTCCAGCGGCCTCGACGGCCAACGGCTGGGATCTTGGTTAGATAATCAATTATTATTCTCGAAATTGACTGCAAAAGTTAGCCGATAACTTCACCGTTCTGAGGCGGAGCCTCGTCTTGCTGGAAAAATATGTTTTCGAGTTCCATTAGGGGCAGATCATCAATAAGGGGTCCAAGGCCTACTAGTTAAAAGTGGCGAACTTTTAAAAATTCTGTATTTCGAAGATGATTATAATAAAATATCAAGTGTGCTATATTTTTGGAAAGGTAATTTTAAGTTCTTTTCATTTAATTAAAAATATACAAGGCGTCCCAAATAAAAAATCAATTTTTCTGTTGACAACTCTTAAATTATTAATTTAAAAAGAAATAGTAATAAATAATAATTAAGTAATAAATATACTTAAACCATTAAATTCTACGTAAAAAGGTGCTTTGGAAATGTTCTCATAAAAATAGAAAATTTTCCATAGCAAAAAATTTTTTGAAAACACCCCGTAACTCCGAAACGGTAACAGATATCGATGTGCGGTTTTCACCATCATGTTTTTGATAAAAATTGAGCTCCAGATACCGATATTAGTTTTCATCTATCTCCTATAGAAAAGGGTGTTTCCCTTTAACAGCGTCGAATTTGACCCACCCTGTACATTGTAATATTTTGCATAATGTAGTGACTATGTGACTGTCAAATTGTATATAAAAATAATCAAATTACTCCAGGCTGTCTGGCACTACCACAGTGTTAAATACTTCTGTACACAGGGTCCGGCAATAGTGCGTCGCGTCAGGCATCTGTAGCTCCTAGAATAAAAAACTTGGGAATTTTGTTAAGTGCAAATCTAAAGTATGTTTTAGAATGTATTTCAGAAGAAGTGTGAGTGGATCGGGATATTTTTTTTAATGGAACACCCTGTATATTGTTGCATTTTTCGCTTCCTTTCAGACCGCTTTACATAATCCTAAGATATGAGTAAATATATTTCGAGAGTTTCAGAGATATTAATAAATAAATAAAAATTATATTTTTTCAGGGTTTCTTAAAAAAAATATTACAAATACAAACTGAAATCAAAACTATATTAGGTATTTACTTTAGATGGTCTGTAATTACTTTGCTATGAATATGGTAATCGATCATACAGGATGTTCAAAATTCTATGCCAAACTTTCTAAAATATAAAATAATTTTTCTTCTTTTTTTTAATGGACACTGTCATTGTCACCCTGTATATTATTTTTTTAATAGATGGAGAATTAAGAAATGAACATTTTTTGTATTTTGAGTATTTCAAACTTTTTAATAGTTTCGCAGATATTTGCGGTTTTATATTTTATATGGCATTTTCCACAGTAAATTTTTATCGAAGCCACCCAATAATTTTTCTCTCGTATTTTACCATTGAGAAAGCCATATGAAATAATACTGCGTGTATCTGTGTATGCGAAACCATTAAAAGCATGTATGCGAAACCATTAAAAATTTTGAAATGCTTTAATAAATACACAAAATTGTTCATTTCTTAATTTTCCATTTAATAAAAAAAATAATATACAGGGTTCATTTAAAAAAACATGACGTTCCATTTAAAAAAAACAAAGAAAAATTATTTTATATTTTAGAAAGTTTGGCGTAGAATTTTGAACATCCTGTATGATTTAAGACTGCGATATTTATAGCAAAGTAAGTACAGACCATCTAAAGGAAACACCTAATATAGTTTTAATTTCAGGGCAGTTGTTGTATTCTTATTTTTTTTAAAGGCTGAAAAATATATATTTTTTACTTATTTATTAATATCTCTGGAACTATAGAAACATATTTACTCATATCTTAGGGTTATGTAAAGTCATCTGAAAGGAAACTAAAAATGCAATAATATACAGGGTGTTCCGTTTAAAAAAATAATTCTGATCCACTCACACTTTTTTGAGCCACCCTATAGAAGTTAAAATATTTTCCTGAAATACATCCTCATACGTACTTTAGGTTTACATCACTTAAAAAAAATTTCGAAGATTTTTATTCTAGTAGTTACAGATGCCCGACGCACTCTATCGACGCACGATATTGAAGAAAATCGACGCCTGTCGATTTTCTTCAATATCAAACCCGTAGTCCCACCCTGATGAAAGTGCAAACGTATTTAGATTTTTTTTTAGAATTTAGAATGATTGGGAGGGGGGTTAATCACAGCGACCTTACAGATCTATTGTGTCCCCCTTTCTTGAGTTATAACTCATCATACAGTCCCAGGGCTTTGACAAAAGCCAGTATCTGGGACGGTTTTATAGAGAGTAGTTCTCCATCTCCAATATCAGTCGTACCAAAGTTCATGACACGAATGGTTGTCGTCTCGGCGCACTCAGTGATGAGGTGTACTGGTGTTTCCCCAGTTTCCCCACAGAATCTGCATTCGTCGTTTCTTCTTAGTTTCAATCTACTGAGGTGTTCATTGAGGAGACAGTGTCCTGTTAAGAACCCCGTGACAATCCGAAGATTGTTCTTACTTAAACCCAGGAAGATGTGATTTTTCTTGATCGTAAGCCCTCAGAAACTTCTTCGAGTGTCTTAGACCGTTGCAAGATTCCCATTCCAGGTTGCGGATGGAATCTTCCAAGTTCTTGAGTTCCGCCTTGAGTTGGTTACCACTTGGAAAGCAGAACGGTTCTGGTCCAGTTAGTGGAGTGTTCGCTCCTTTTCTAGCTAGATCGTTTGCTTTTTCATTGCCTTCTATCCCTTGGTGAGCAGGCACCCAGAGTAGAAGGACTTTGTTTTCTTTGCCTAATTTATTCAGCTTCTCTATGCATTCTTTTACCAATTTCGAATTGATTGATACTGAGTTGATCGCCTTTAACGCTGCTTGGCTATCAGATAAGATGGCTATTTCTTGTTCCCGATAGTTCCTATCTAAGATAAGTTGTACGCATCTTTCGATAGCGTAGATTTCTGCCTGTAGGATGCTAGGGTAAGTGCCTATTGGTTCGGAGTATTTAGTTTTCGACCCAAATACTCCGATTCCTGTTCCCGTATTGGTTTTGGAAGCATCAGTATACCAAGTTATGGTATGGTCTTTTAACTGCTGGGCAGACGTTTCTCTCTTCCAATGCTTTTTATTGCTCAATACTACATTGAGATGTTTCTCAAAGTTGTACGTTCTTGGCATATCGTCCACTGGGAGTTGCAGGAGTGGTATTTCCTTTTTGAGGGTGTTCCAAGCCCCTGATCTGACAATTCTCCCATTACTGATTCCGTTAGTGATCATTCTAATCATTGTCGCATTGGCATATCTACCAATGACAATGTGCAGTGGTGTTAGATCTAGAATGATCTCCATTGCTGCTGTTGGACAGGTTCTCATGGCTCCTGTGATGCAAACGCATGCTAGTCTCTGGACTTTGCACAGGTTTAGCCTTACCGTCCGTTGCTCTAGTTTTGTGTACCAGGCAACTGCTCCATAAGTAATCATAGGTCTTACTATCATGGTATACATCCAGCGCAAAATGTTAGTGGAGCAGCCCCATCTATTTCCGGCCAGTCTTCTGCATATCATGAGAGCCTTTGTGGCTTTGCTGGTAGTGTTCTTAATATGCCTGTTCCACATGAGTTTACTGTCCAGGGTTATTCCCAGATATTTAAATTCCTGTGATGGCAGTATTTCCTTTCCATCTAGTTGTTTATTTTCAAGTTTTTCAGACTTCGCTTTCTGGTGAATGGCATTATCGCGGTTTTGTCTGAGTTGATACTCAGCCCGAAGTCCTGCACCATCTCTCAGTGATACGGAGTCCTCTTTGGATAATATCACACAGGGTGCCTTCATGTTTCCCCCGAGCGATCATGACTATGTCATCTGCATACCCAATACAGTGTATTCTCGCTAGAGTTAATTCGTCTAGTAGTTCATCCACTACCAAGCTCCACAGCAAACGGGAGGTTACTCCACCTTGTGGAGTTCCTTGCGTTATTTTAACAGCAACAGTTTTGGTGCCCATCTGAGCCTCTGCTGTTCGTGTTGACAGCATTTCCCAAAACCAGCGAATAATAGTTCTGTTCACCCCTCTTGTTTCTAGAGATCGCCTGACCACCTTATGTGGTATATTGTCAAACGCCCCCACAATATCCAAGAAGGCACAATGTAAACGAAACGTTGTGTCCAAATTTGCAGGGTGGGACCGTGTGCACCGTCGCTCACATAGCCTACCCACCAAATTTAGTCGCAATCGGACATCAACTTTTGACGTTTCTTACGTCAAAACTAACTATCACAGTGACACGGGTCATACACGGTCAAGTTGGCCTTGGTACAATGGTACAATCTATTGACATACCAAATTTCATTTAAATTGGACGATTTTTTATAAGCCGTAGGCTGTCCTTGCCGCTCTTCCTCTAGTGTGTCGTGTCCTTGAATTTTTACCCTCAGCGCACGTAAAGAAGTTTCACTTCAAAATAGTTGAAAATGTTATATTACTTAAATGTCTTAAAATTTATTTTAAAGGTATTTGAAACAGCAATCCAACAGCATCAACTCTCTTTGCTTCAAGATTGGGTGGTATATAGCCTGGTCAACTTTACAAACTCCGTATCCAACATAGGCAACACGTGGTGCTTGACTTGTTTCTTTATTAGTGCTAGTCCAAGCGAATGGCTGAGATCCTTCTTTCCTTACGTACAGACCCGAGTTGGCAGGTACGAATACGAAGACAAGAAGATATTTTGCATCGCCGGAGCAGATTTTTATAGGAATTTAACTAGCGACATGCAGAGGCAAACGTTTGTCGATAACTTTGTTAAAGTGAAAGATGAACTGGACATGCCTTTCAGCGATTTACTTAATTCTCTATAAAATCCGGTTGTGATTTGTAAGGCTATCCGCTGACAGGCAGTTTTTAGTCAGCCGACTATTTAGTTGCAGCTTTGTAACCAATATTCAATCAAATAGTTAACGATCGGCCGCAGAAGAATGTATTATTTTGTTTTCACGTTTGCAACTGAATACTCGGCCAACTAAAAATTGCATGTCAGCGCCTAGCCTAAAGAGTAGACCAAAAAAACTATATTTATATATATATATAAGAGAAAAAAAGCAAATATTCTAAATCTCGTTTCCATTTATTTGTTAATGTTATATAAAGTTCTAAAATAAAACCAGCATTATTTTTCAATATTTTTTTTATTTTGAGAAATGCTCCAACATGAAAGAACATGCCTGTTAAAAAAAGGCGACATCACAAAAGTGAAATGTTACCGTAACAAACTCTTACTCAGTGAAATTCGTTATTATAAATTACCTTCTAAAAGCTATTTTGTCTACTGAAAATAAATGTTTATAATCTGTCCAGCGAAAGAATATACTTATTACAGCAATAATAGTATTTTTTTGTCATTTTAGGGTGTATTCTGTTGCTTACCTTGGTTATGGTTTTATGTTCCGTTTCTATCGGTTTCCTGAAAGTTTTCTTTGAGTTTGAAAGTCACCAAACTAACCAGCGCGAGAAGGTTGGTTTTCTGGTTTTGTTTGGCAATCAAGCAAATATTGGAAATTCGAGTGAAATTCTCATTTAACTTCTAAAATTTGTTATAATATTTTGTATTTACATCCAAAGGCAATGAAGGTAGGCAGTAAAGGTAAATAAATTTCATTAACTAAATAGAATGACTTTTTAGGACCATTTAAACTTATCATGCAGACATTGTTTCTTAAAGTCAGGAACATTTAAAGAAAACATGAAAAACAAGATCGTGAATGTTTTGTAAGCTATAGAAATATAAATATTGATTAGATTTGTTTATTTATTATTGATCTGTTTTAATAATGGACCAGCAAATCTTCACTTGAGCTGTCTAACGAGTTTAACAGTTTATTAATAAAGTACTTATTAAACTCCATTGAAAAGAAGAAGCAAACGTAAAAGCACAGAGAATGGGTACATTAAAAATGCATAAAAGATAAATTTTATAATAAATGTATTGAAATTTAGAAAACGTCAAAATTTGACATTTCCATTATTTTACCAAACTGTTCCGTATCAAACCGATGTTTTTCAGGAACCGTAGTAAACTCTTTACCGTAGGTTACCGGTCTGGTTCGCCTGGTTTTGCAACGGAATACAGCCTTAGTTGAAAAATTATAAATATTTTTTCTGCACGTCTTCTGTCAAAACCATATATTCTCGCGCTGAACAGACTATATTTACCACCAGCTGTCTCAAAATAGTTACTAATAATTAGAATATTAAACACTTTAAATGGTTTTTAGTTAGGTAAGTATTAAAGATGAGATCACAGGACTGTCAAATTAAGTAGGTGCAGCAGTATACTTGACAGCTAATGGTTGTTAATTACTAACTATACAATAAATGCAGTTTAGCATGAAGTATACTCTAAATAATTAAATAAATTTTTCCACGACACCTTGAAATAAAATACAGATAAGAACTTACTGTGGGATTTATTTCATTTGTTAAAATAAATAGAATCAAGAACATATAAAATTTGAACTTAAAATGTAAGCTAAAAATTTAATTAACTAAAACAAGCCTTCACTCTTGGGGCTTATCTGAGCAAAAAATACAGTGTACACAAAGTTCAGAATACATTTATTGACGAGTCTGAAAGGATAAAAAAAGTGTAAAATTCGTACATCGAAAATTAGCAAAGTTCTTTACATACTTTTTAAGATGGGAATCCACTAGGAGGCTGCCCCGGTACGGAATATTGAGGTCTAAAGTTGGAGAAGTTTGCGGCTGCAGCTGAAAAACCGGGAAGGCTGCCCGCGTTAAAGCCGGGAGGGAATTGACTCATTACTTGAGCTGAAATTAAAAAAAATCATTAATATTTCCATTGACACCACTAAATAAAAAGACTAAGGAAGGAGTCTTTTGTCAGTTTAATTTGACATATTACTTGACACATATGAATTTAATTGAAATTGTTGCGGATTTGTTATAGTCTAAGAGCTGGCTACATAAAAAAATCTTATCATCGTTACATGGCTAATTTTTCTTGTGAAGTATCCTTTTATGTTGCCATTATGAAATAGACATGTCTGCCAGCGCGATCCCGGGCCTTAAAGTGCGGGCGGCCAATCGAAAGGGTGAAATTTTGACACTAAAAATATAAGGTACACGAGTTATAATTACCAAATAGCTTTTATTTATTATTAAAAAACGTGAAAAATTGTTGGCAGAATTTTTTCTCATGGCAGATTTTCCGGATTCCATAATTTAAAAAAAGAGATGGTATTCATGCATGCTGATTGGTGGAATGTCATATTTATTTATTTTAAAAACCGTATACAAAAGGACAGACAAAAAGATCGTGGCTAAATCAGCGACAGACAGTTATCAAAAGATATTACTCTAGCGCTTTCAGGGAACGCAAATCATGTATACGATTATATTATAAATATGTTTTTATTATTTTCAAAACAGATATTATCAAACATTTACTATTCTGCCTCACTATTTGTATCTGACTCATCGTACTGCGATCCTCCCTCTCTCAAACGAGTCTTCCTCTGAGTCGATATTTGCACCGTAAAATGTTTGTAGACTTACATGTTTTATGTTTTAATTGACAACGCGGCGAGCGTTTCCTGAAAACGCTTATACAGGGTGAGTCTTAAATAAGTGCAAATACTTTTAGGGGTGATATACTCGTATTTCGACTCCAGGAACACGTCTATGAACACGTTTTTTTTTCGCAAAAAAGATGTGATTTTCGACATTTCTTTTTTTTATTTTCCTGTATATTTTAGAAAACTTTTTAGAACTGCCTGTTAACCGCAAATTTACCCACGGTATAACGTGGGTAGGTTAGGTAATTATTTCTTAACCTACCAAGATTATGGCATGGCTTTACCCTACGATTACGACACTAAAAGAATGGATGCAAATACAGAAAAAAGCAGGTAGCTCACACCATTTATTAAAAATAAATCAATTTCTTTTTAAAATTTCAAACTTGAATAACTCGGTTATACTGGACTTATTTGAAAAACGGTAAAGAGAAAATATGTTTCTTTTATCGAGATCTACCAGCTCTAAAAATATTTGAACTTATTTAAGATTCACCCTATAGAGAGTAATATCGCACTTTTGATACCTGTCTACCGCTGACTGAGTCACGATCTTTTTGTCTGCCCTTTTGTATACGGCTTTTAAAATAAATAAATATGACATTCCACCAATCAGCATGCATGTATGCCTTAATTTGTTTTAAAAATTATGGACTTTGGAAAAAATTTCATGTCTCTTTCGTGTTGTCTGCCGGCATTTTAGCCACGAGAAAAATGCCGAACAAAAATTTTTCACGTTTCTTGATAATAAATAAAAGTTATTTGATAATTATAACTCGTGTACCTTATAATATTTTAAGTGTCAAAATTTCACCCTTTCGATTGGCCGCCCCCGCTTTAAGCCCCGGGATCGCGCTGGCAGACACGACTATTTCATAATGGCAACACAAAAGGATACTTCACAAAAAAAAATTGACCATGTAACGATGATAAGGTTTTTTATGTAGCCAGCTCTCCGTCTATTAGGGATTTCTTCCTTGTTTATTTTATAACTGAATGCAACTATGTAAACTATGCAAAGTGTACTAATTTCAAAAGACATTGAACTTAAATTACAATGAGAAAAATATATTTTTAAATTACAGTGAGAATCCTAAAAGGAGAATTCAAAATATTTAGTTGTGCGGCGCGCATATTATCTTTACACTAGCTACTAAGTAAGAATATTAAGAACTTTTCATTAGTAAGTAATTATAAGTTACAAGTAGTAAACCAATCATAATAAATATACAGGGTGGTCCGAATTGTATTCCGGAAACTTCGGTAGTATATTCTGCAGATAAAAATAAGAAAAAAAGTTCGTATAAATGTATGTGCTAAATGCCTAGTTTCGGAGATACGGGTGTAGAAATTTCATTTTCATTTCGATTTTTTCCAAATAATTTCTGTAGTAACGTCAATATTTAGATGAAAATTGGTGTCTGGGAGTTTTTTGACATGATAAATTTGATTTTGATGTCAATATGACTCCTACCATGTGTTTTAACTATTTTGAACCTACCACCACTTTACTACCTACCACCTACATGTGTTTTAACTATTTTGAAGCGTAATAACTTTTTGTCCGTACCTGTATAAAACTACCGAGGGAAAAAATATACATCTCTGTGATTTTTTCCGTAAAAAATATCTCTTTGTAAAAATCGCTAGGAACAACCGTTCTCAAGATATTTAGAACGGAAATAGTCAATACATGCCATTATTGACGAAGAATAAACACGTTGAGTATAGGTAGTTATTTCACTGAAATAATAAATTTGGGAAATTTTTATTTCTTTAAATTAATCATATTTTTTCTGCAAAAAAATGAGTATAAAACAGTTTTTGTTGAACTTTTGGTACATAAACATTTCAAATTTATGATCTCAGTCTAATAACTATTTAGTCAACATGTTTAATTGTAAGGTATTGATAATTTCGATTCCAAATATCTCGAAAACCATTACTCGTAGCGATTTTTACCAAGAGACCTTTTTTGCGTAAAAAGCATCGCAAATGTATATTTTTTTACCCAGTAGACTTATACAGGTACAGACGAAAAGTTATGACTCTTCAAACTAGTTAAAATATACGTAGGTGGCGCCCTCTACTAGTAGGAGTCATATTGACATCAAAATCAAATTTCTCATGCCAAAAAAACTCCCAGACACCAATTTTAATCCAAATATTGACGTTACTGCAGAAATTATTTGGAAAAATGAGACTTCTACACCCTGTATCTCCGAAACTAAGAATTTTTGAACATACATCTATACGAACATTTTTACTTATTTTTATCTGCAGAATATGCTGCTGAAGTTTCCGGAATACAGTTCGGACCACCCTGTATAATTATATTTTTATTCTTGCACTTTTGTATTTAAGCCTTGTCGAAATTAGCTAGAAATAGTCAATTTGATTTTGATGTTTCAGTAGGGTATCTGTGTTTTCGTTATTAATTATATTAACTTATTTATTGTTAGAAATATATATTTTTTAACAATTTTAACTTTTGAAAAACACAAAGTGAAGCAAAACCAGCAAATAAATGATTCTACTTTACTATATTTTAACACGTTAAAAAATAGAATTAGAACGTCACTGATAAATCGGTATTTTAATAGGCTGGATTAAAGTTCCTTCATAGTCGCACTAATTTTGTTCAAATGCCCCTTCATTGGTCTTTTATTTCAATGATTTACTCGAATTAAAAATACATGCAAAAAAATAAATGCATGCTAAATTTATATTCAAATTGCTACCTCTACTAGTAGAATATCAGAACCAGTGAGTTGTATATTTTGAACCAGTGAGTAAGTAGTTTTGGATTTCATACTTTTATGAGTTTTAAATGTGCAGAATATTTAGTCTAAAAATTGTCATACTTCAACAACCACCCGATATAAAATATATGGTAAAACTATAATGGTAAATCCACTGGTTTAAAAAATATATATAGTATTTTTAATACCCATTTAGAATAACACCATCCTTATTTATTATTAATAAATCAGTTGAAACAAAAAATTACCAACAAAAAGGAGCGGCGATAACTAATTTGTTAGATGTCACGTTTTTAAAGTTACGTCAAATTTTGATTTCATGTTAATGTCATAATGCAAAATAAGATATAAAAATAATAAAAATGCGATATTCTGATGAATCCAAAATACTTATACTTAATGTAGTAAATTATTTTCAAAACGATTTAGGATCGCGATTTAAGGCAATTCAAAAAGCGTCCAAAGCACTAAAAGTTCCAGTTTTTCATGCGGGTTCAGATGGTTCAAGCAGCCGCATACGTTAAGTTACTAAAACGGCTGGTACCTCTAAATAGCTATTAAAAATACTATAGCATGCCATTTAAAAATCGAAACTGATTCGAAATTTGAATCACCCTGTATATTGACTAAAATATTTTGAAAACGTAAATCGTATCGTCTCTCTTTTCCAGAAAGCTGTGTGTCGCCCTGTATATTTAATAATTCTTAAAACATCTATAATTTTTTACTTTAATTATTGTCACATTATTAAATTATTTTGCCTAATGATATCCTGAATAATGTTACTACTCCATGTACACGGTGTCCCACTAATAATAGCTCTCGGCTGTATCTTGGTAAGTATTAGCCGTAGGGGCTGCGGAAAAAAATATTTATAACTAAAGAGGCTCTGAGAAATTGCTGGAAATTATTTTCAAGTTTGTAGAACGACCGCTAGGGGGCGCAACTGCAACAAAAAATAAGAAAATGGAGTTTTTACACAATTTTGACTAGATAAGGTGTACTATAAGTAACAGCTTCATAATATTCAGTAAATTTTGAATATTTTTTGTCAGAGCCATTTTCCCCTATCTACCAAAATAAAGTGGTGGGGGAAGGTTAGGTCTATTTTTATATGAATAATAATAACTCTGGACTGGATGATCGGAATCCAACAAGCGAGGGCTCATTTAAAAGAGCGTTTCTTACTCTATATTGTACCATATAAACAATAATAATAAGCTTTTGAACAGCCAGACGCTAGGGGAGGCGTGTCTTACAATTTAACAAACATTGCACGTTTTTTCAAAAAAATTAAATGCAATAGTTTATGTAATTTTAGCTGATAGTAAAGAGTAGTAAAAGCTTAAAAAGTCAGCGAAAACAGCATCTTGATATCTTCTTTCAAACCGAAGATATTAGCAAAATTATAATAAATACCAAAAAATAAGCCCTTAATTACCTTATTTTTACAACACGGTATCAGTAGCCCTCTTGATTAGGCCCATTCTAACAAAAAAATAAGAAAGAAACAGTTAGTTTATTTTAAAATCGACGAAATACCAGAATACCTAATACCAGATGTATTAATATCTAATAATTAAAATATTAATAATAGTGAACAAGAAACGATGATAAACGTCAAATTGTTATTAGATCAACATTTTGATAGTCTTAGCAGCGTTTTTTATCTTTTGATTGCTTTTTCAAAATGCCAACAACTTCAACTACTTCAAATAATAAAGGAATTTTGAAAAAGCATTTAAAAGATACAAAAACGCTGCTAAGACTATCAAAATGTTGATCTAATAACAATTTGATGTTTATACTATTGCGCGAAAAGCAACTTTTTTCCAAGGCCTACCATGACTTCACTGAATCATCGTTTCTTGTTCACTATTATTAATATCTTAATTATTAGATATTAATACATCTGGTATTATGGTATTCTGGTATTTCGTCGATTTTAAAATAAACTAACTGTTTCTATCTTATTTTTTGTTAGAATGGGCCTAATCAAGAGGGCTACTGATATTGTATTGTAAAAATAATGTAATTAAGGCTTATTTTTTTGGTATTTATTATAATTTTGCTAATATCTTTGGTTTGAAAGAAGATATCAAGTTGCGGTTTTTAGGGTTTTTGGTTTTTGCTGACTTTTTAAGTTTTTACTACTCTTTACTATCAGCTAAAATAACACATACTATCGTATTTAATTTTTATGTTTGTTAAATTGTAAGAAAGCGCCCCCTAGCGTCTACGTTCAAAACCTTATTATTATTATTTTTATGGTATAATATAGAGTAAGAGACGCTCTTTTAAACGAGCCCTTGTTTGTTGGATTCTGATCATCCAGTCCGGAATTATTAACATTTAAATAAAGATAGATCTAACCTTCCCCCACCACTTTATTTTAGCAGATAGAGGAAAATGGTTCTAACAAAAAAAAATCCAAAATTTACTGAAGATTATGAAGCTATTATTTATAGTACCCATTATCTAGGCAAAATTCTGTAAAAAATCTATTTTCTTATTTTTTGTTGCAGTTGCGCCACCTAGCGGCCGTTTTACAAACTTGAAAATAATTTCCAGCAATTTCTCATAGCCCCTTTAGTTATAAATATTTTTTTCCGTAAGCCCTACGACTAATAAATGTGTTTATATTGTTCAGAAAAATATTAAAAATTAAACGCAAAATGTATTTTTTTAGCAGATTTCAGTTATTCTAAAGTGCGAAATTTGGAAATTACGCATTTCCGCAGGAAAATTTGTGTTTTCCGTGTTTCGCAGTAGCTTTTTAAAGACAATTTTTTTTTCTAATAACTGATTTCAGCTAAACGAAAGTTGACCCGAATGACGTTCTGAAAATTAAAAAAAAACATTGTGTGTGCACTATGTGCGCATATTTGAAGTAAAACTTCTTACTAACAGCTATTAAATTGAAGGATTTCAAGGACATGTTTGAAAAAGTGTAGTTTGAAATGTTGAAAAAGTAATATATTAAAAAAAACATTTTTTATACATACAAAAAACAACAAATTGTTTTTTGTACGCGTAAAAAATGATTTTTAAGGTACTTATTTTTATGGTTTTTAAGGTACATTCAGGCGTTTGCGTCGCGTCCGCTCCATTGAACTCGAACCCCGACGCTGTCTGCCTGAACGGTCTAATTTAAGTTAAGTGAACTGATTCCATTTCGACACACGGACGCGACGCGACGCTCGACGCTCTCAGCCTGAATGTACCTTTTACTGATAAACGCATACAACTGTTAATCGCTGTCAATCATTGTTAATCGCTCCATATAAATATGCTAGTATTCCTTGTGCATAGAAAACATGTAAATCACGTTACATAGTATGTTAATACTAACTATAGCATTGTCTTGTGACTATTATTTAATTATAAATTACCTGCAATTACTTGTTATATTGTTATACCTCTGTGAAAATATTTTTATTCAACTCTACATCGATGTAGCAAATACAGGTTGAAATATTTGATGCCATTGTTATAAAGATTTGTCATATTTACAGTACAGCCGAGAGCTGTTCTTAGTGGGACACCCGGTAAAACTTTGAGAAACACCTCACTGTAGTATTGAGCTGATATGAAAGGGGAACACACAATAGATCTATAGGATCGCGGTGACTAACCCCCCTCCTAAACATTCTACATTTTACTACTGCATATTTAAATTAACTTCTCAGTGGTTCTAATATTATTGGTAAAAAACTATATCAAAAAGTCATTTGTTTAGTATCAAAAATTTTCAGATTCAGTAAAAACAGGGTTGATTTGTTTTTTTCATTTTTAAACAAAACGTGTGTTATTGTAAAAAAAACAGGCTTAAGGTTTTTTTTTTCTATTATTATGAGTTAACCGATTTTTTCTAGACAATATTAGGTTGAGATAATTACTTTCTTTTTTAATCTCTTGGTGTTACAGTTGTTTTTTATAAATGAGTTTCAGATTCTGCACCCCAAACATGTTTAAAACCAATATTTAAAACAAGTCATAGTAACACGTTTAAAACAACATGTTTAAAACATAAAAAGCCTGGTAACAACACACAAACAAATAACTTTTTGAACAAAAACTAAAAATAATAAAATTTACTTGTCGACTGACTGCTGGATGAAGATGTAGCTGCCAATCTGGACAAAATGCTCCTTTCAGACATCTGCAATCGTTGCGCGACGGGAGGAATCCTTGCCAGAGTGGCTGGCAATCTGGATACGTCGGATTTCATGTCGCTTAACAACTCCTCCAACTGATTCAATACTTTGTGCAGTACTGCATTCGCCGGTTTGTTTCCTGTAATGCCAAAAAAGAGTATTTTAAATATTTTTAACAAAGTATTTCGCGCTTTGTCTTACCGGCTAAGGATTCTTTGCTGAGATGCTGATGCGACTCGGCCAAGCACTCGACTTCGGCGAAACGCGCGTTTAAGGACATCGCTGGATGGTTTGGATCTTGAGTGAGATTCAAATAAGCCGCGCGACGAAGTTGTTCTTCGATGACAAGAGCTTGTTCCAAAAGCTAAAGCAAATATTTCAATAAAAACTACATCTTAACTTTTTTATTTAAAAAAAAAATTATAGATTTTTTCTCTCGCATACAGTTCATACCAAATAAACTTTTTTAGGCACGTGATTAAGCTTGACCGGCACAGCGTTGCCTACTTTTAAATATTTTCTTTTAATCAAAATATTTTAGGGAACAAAAATAATTTAATTATAAATATTAAACAGTTATTATTTACATCAACAAAACTCACTTTCTTAACAGCACTTAAGGGACATAAAGGGCCATTACTACCGCTTTCCCGTTCAAAATATTCTAATAAAATAACGATGATTTTTTTTAAGGCTATTAAGCTATCTTGTACACTTAGCACTAAGAGATGTTCTAAAAAGAACAATGTTCGACTGCAAGATCTGCTAGTAAACGTTTTCAAGTTTAAAATACCACAACACTATTTAATTTTTTATTTATTTTTTTAATAACGCCAAAATCATAATGAAAGAAGCGATAGCCTCTAAAAGAAAAATAAAGGAGCCTTTTTTAATTCAATCTAATAAAAATAAATGTATTGCTCATGCATCTGTAGATGTTAGTAATGTATGGCAATCGCTTCTTTGATTTTAAAGAACATAACATAAATAAACATAACATACGTAAAATTTAAAAATAATCATACAGAAAGTTTGGGCTTTTTGGTTTTACCTTATTAAGTAATTGTTATCAGGTAGTAATTGTTAATTTTGAAGTTTAATTGATATAATGTCATTTTAACAGAACGTCAACGGTTCCTTGTAGACGTATCTGTTTTAAAAAACTAAAGTGTTCTCGAATAGTTGAATTTAAATATTTTAAATAGTTTTTTTTCTTTATTCTTTATTTTTTTTAACTTTCGACGACGGAAAGAGATAAACTTTCCGAAACGTTAAGCATTTTCTTGTTCGTTAGGCAAATTTGTATATCTCTAAACCTAACTTCTGACAAGTAGTTTCCGTTTGGATTTTTGAATAAGAAGACTAAGGAAGGAGCATATCAAAAATCTTAGGTCCACCGCGATGGGCCTCAAATATGGCTTATCAGTGCCGTTCTAATTTTATTTAAAAAATGTAAAACTATGATGTAGGGTAGACGTGTGGTAGACTCTATAATTTTTTATTTATTTTACGTTGCGAATAAATGTTGATAGTTATTAAAATTGTTATAAAAATATAAAATTCTAATTCTAAAAATAGATAAGTTATAATCATTATTTATAACCATAAACATCCGATACGCTACTGAAGCAGGTAAGTCAAATTGACGTATCTAAATTCGTTGACATCTAATCTTTGACAAGTAGTAAATAAAAGCAACAATGCAAGAAAAAATATATAATTAGTTAATTTAAGTGAATTTCATAAATGATCGGTTTATTACATGTATGTATATTATATAGTCACTTACTAGCGAAAAGTTGTTCCATTATTTCACTTGATTTTTGCCGAGAACTACCGCATGCTACACAACTATTTTAGAGTCTTTTTCGATAAATCGCGATAGTGTCACTGTTATTTTAAGTTTTGCCACACAATTTCCATCTAGATTTACTACCTTTATACAACTATTAGTAGTAGAATAAATAATAAATACCATAAAATAAGCTCCGTAAAGACTGACAAATCCACAAAATTTCAAATCAAATTCAAATGTGTCAAATGAATCGTCAAACAGAACTGTCAAGGATCCCCACCCTAGAGTCCTTTTTCCGCCCACCATGCATGAATACATGGATAGCATTATGCTCCTTCCTTAGTCTTCTTATTCAAAGGTTTGGATTAACGCAGAAGTGTTTTTTAAGGTTGTTTTGTAGATTTTCTTGCAGTGGCGAAATACCCATATAGGATTTTTTGGAGAGATGAATCCGCCACATAGGTATAGACATTTTTTAACACTATTTATTTAAACCAAAAACTAAAGTGTCAAAACGAATGACAATGTCAGAAAATAAATAAATAAATGCGGCAACGAGGCGGCAACTTAACATTTTTTACAGCAGAGCTACCACCTGAATACCCAGCGCGAAACTTAAATTCCAGTTAGTCTGGATACAATTTAAAAATCGCGCCCTCGATTACGTAACTAAAAGTTTAATTGATATGAACTTTAACTTGATTTTACAAAACCATAACTGTATGTTTTACCTTGAATCTCCTGGCCAAAAATTTGTTCTTTATTTCCAAGAAATTCCCTTTACCGACGTCCATCTTAAACGGTTCGTTAATAATGGCAAATCGGGCATCAGCTTGGATATCTTGCCACCTAAAATACCTCTCTATAGACTTCGTAACAAAATATACACGATAAATATACCTTCCATATCCGTGAGTGACGATACCGGCGAGAAGCCAGTAGTCGTGACGGCGATGCCATATTTCATATTCTCTACCTGGAGTAGCTGCTTTCTCTTCATTCAGCCACAGAGTGTGTAATTCTGTAAAACCTCCATCAGCGATATTGAACATGAACCTTCTCTTTCCTTCTGGAGCCGCGTCCTCCTTCTTTTCCTTCTGCCAAAAAATAAAAATGTAGTAATTAAAGTCAATTAACATTTTTTGTATCAGTAACAAACCTTTTCTTCATCTAACAAAACAACTTCCTCCTCTTCTTTCTTCTCAACCTTCGGTTTTTCTTCCTTCTTTTCATTATCTTCCTCTTTCTTAACCTCTTTTGGTTCTTCCTCCTGCTTAACGTCCTCTTTATCCTTAACAGCTGGTTCTTCAACCTTTTCAACCTTCTCAACTTTTGGTTCCTCTACAGGAACTTCCATTGGTGTTTCTTCCTTATCCTCCTTTTTAACTTCTTCAGATTTTGGCTCTTCTTTAACTTCACCGTCTTCCTTCGCCGTCTCTTTCTCTGTTGTTTCCGTTGCTTCCTCTTTCACTTTATTTTCTGTATCTTCGACGCTCTTTTCCTTTTCCTTTTCTTTGTTCTCTTCTTCTTTGGGTTCAGTCTTGGGTTCTTTAGTGCTCTCTTCAGGCTCTGACTTTTCCTTCTCTGAAGATTCACTGGGGGCATTCGGTGCTGGACTTGGAGCAGCACTAGTTGCTGGGGTCGCACTAAAACATATTAGCGTTTATTTAATATAGTTTTAAAATTAAAACTGTAGAAAATACCTGGTACTGGTTGTCGCGCTTTTTGGAGTTTCCGATTCACCTGGGGTTGTACTAGATTTATTTTGCTCGATCAGCACCTTTCTAATCAGCTCTGGCATGCTATATTCGCCATTAATATGCTCAAATTCTTGAACCTAAAATATACCAGTGTTTAGTAATTCGTGTCAAACAGACTTGCAACAGTTCGTACCTTTTTCCTGATTAGTGACATGACACCAATTCTAGTTAAAACATGCTGTCTGCTCAGACCTTCCCTAGGAACGCCATCGGCAAAAGTTTCCGCGTTGTCGGCTCCAGGTTCGCAAAGATGTCTCATAAACAAAGACACGTAAGCTTTGAAGTTCTTCTCAGATTTGCCTCTCAAGTCTCTGACTAGCCATTGTGAATTAAATGCGTCTTGTGGTGGCATTCCATACCTCATAATAGCATTGAGGAAAGCTTTACGTTGACGAGCATTAAAACCAAGAACCTTGAAGAACAAAAAGTTAGCGAGTTTTTAAAAATGGTAGATAAGTAATTACCTCAATATTTCCACCAACTCTAGCCAGAAGTGGCGGTAAAGGTCTATCTCTCTCATCTTTTCGTTCAATGCGCCTTTTGCTCCGCCTACTAAGATCTCCATCGTTCTTTTCGTCGAAGTCATCGTCTTCTTTATCTTCATCTGAACCAGCCGAGAAATCGCTTTAAAAATAAGGAAAATATACAGTAACTAGTGTAAAATTGGTTCAAATATTTAGAAGTTCAGTGGGATAAAGGTATAGAGGTAAAAGAATATACCAATCTGGTCATCGAAAATGTGTGGTCCGGATATTAACGTGTAAGCTTGATTTTCATGCGTCCGTTATCCGTTGATCCGATGATCTCTGATTGGTCATAGTGTTTCCGCACCACTTTTCATCCATAAATGTTTTACTCTAGCCCACGGAGAAAGATCGTACTAAACGATAACGGACGTTTTGACAAATTTAATCTAACCTTAATAAAAGTATAATAATACAAGAACTAGCACCATCGGGAAACAAGAATTTTAAGAAGGCTGGTTCTTTAATAATATATATCTTTTGCTATGCTCTCCTGGCCAAAATACGGGCCGTCTGGCTGCCGGTAGACTACTGCTGTTCACTACTGCGCATCACATCTGTACAGGGTATCCCATTATATGGGGTTCCTCGTTTATGAGTAGAGATACAATGATGCGATTTTCACATTACTTTGCTACTCTTTTATGAAACTAAATATGCTACACATGGGTTTGTCCTAGCCTCCTTACTTCCTTAAATACAGGGCGAATTTGTGATGCGCAGTAGTAAACAGATGTTGAATATAGATGTGATGCGCAGTAGTGAACGCAACGTCTACCAGCAGCCGATGAAAATCCGCACTCTCTTTAAGAGAGCATAGCAAAAAAATATATTAAGGAACCAGCTTTCTTAAAATTCTCTCTCGAAAACGTTGCTAGTTTTAGACTATAAGTAAAACAGCGAAATCGTTATGGAAATGAAGATATAAAATGACACCAATCACAAGCAAATCGTATATCCGATGAACGGAGGCATGAAAATGCAATAAATTTAAAAACTGCGTAATTTTCTAACCAATTAAAGTCTTTAAATTCAACCAATAAAATTAATATTGTATCATCGTACAACGAATGTATGAAAATCAAGCTTTAGACAGTGCTGTAGACAACTTATTAACAAATCAAATGTATTAAAGAGACGTTGGGTGGATACATTTCTTCTATGCGGTATTGCCGGATTTTGCATCAAAATTTCAAACCGCACAAGTAGGCATTTACGAAGAATGTTGCATCTAGGGTTGGAACTTTATTTTTCACAATTAGTTACTCATTTTACTACAGCTGTAATAGATTATATTTAGCTTTAATATATTATCATCAGTTCAGTAGTATACATGAGAGTTTTTAAAACAGTTCATTTTTTTTTCTACCACATGTAAAAACCGACAACATTATGTGCCGCTTCTTATTTTATCTCTCTGTCTACCAACCGGTCCTTTATATTTATCTCTGTCGCATGCGTTAAAATACAGACCACGCAGATGAAGTGACCAGAATGGTATAAGAATGAAGTGCGCAATTATAAATGAAAGGAAAGAATATACCGAAAAAAAACTAAAAGAATAAAAAAAATAAAGAATTACCTGTGGTAATCAGAGAGATTCTCCTGCCAAGTGGTATCCTCCCGAGTATCAGTAGTCATACCACCGTCGTTGTAATTGACTTGTTTTCGTACACGTTTGCCCTTACCCAAAGTGCGTGCGATGTCTTCTTGTTGCTAAAAAACAAACTTTGAAATTACAAAACCAAAATTTAAATTTATTTTTACACACTTGTTCATAATGATGTCTCAGCAATTTGATCCAATAAGCGGGATCAGTATTTTCAGCCTCTTGTTTGATAATCTCTGTATCAACTTCCTCTTCGTTCTCTCCTTCTTTAGTCGCGTAACTCGCCACTTTGAAGGAACTAAGGTATTCGTTGGCCCACGATTCTTTTTGTTCAATACCTTCTTTGGTACGATCCAGCAGCTCGCATACAGCTTTGTCATCGTAATGAATGGCCTAAGGAATAACAATCAGTTAAAAAACATTAATGAACAGTTATATAGTTAAGTACCTCTTCCCCTTTGCCTTCCTCTTCTTTAAATAGTTCTTCCGTACCAAACCTTAAAATGTCATCCAACTCTTGCTTGGTGAAGTTAGCACCTTTTCCGCCCATTCCTGGACGCACTACCAAGTGAGTCAACATCATTTTCCTCTTGGCCACTTGTGTTACTCTTTCTTCCACGCTGTTACGCGTGACAAATCGGTAAATCATGACCTTATTTGCTTGACCTAAATGATAATAAGAAAAAGTATAGTTAACAAAGAGTATGCCTAATGCTTAATTAAACAAACCGATTCTGTGAGCTCTGGAAAAGGCTTGGATGTCGTTATGAGGATTCCAATCGGAGTCATAAATAATTACAGTGTCGGCTGTTGCTAAATTGATACCCAAACCACCTGCTCTTGTTGAAAGCAAAAAGACGAATTGGGGAGCGCCTGGTGCATTAAACCTGAAAAATTTCCATCATACAGTGTCAAAAAGTTATAAACTACTAGGAAATACTTTTAGATTTTCTCTAGTTGAATTCATTTTGTTATAAAAAAAGGTTATTAAAAAGTAAAGAAGAAATAACTAAATTAAATTCGGAAAAAAGCAACAAACCCTGAAAAATTCAAATCAAATTAATTGAATTTGGCGTTTTCGTCAAACCAAACTGAAAAAGATAGTATTTCCATAACTTCGATTGCGTCTAGCAAAAGTATAATATAAAAATTTCCTATTAGTTACTATCTTTGGCTGATACTTGCAATGCTTACTCTGACTTGTAATACTTAACAGCATAACAGAAAAGCTTGATTCTCACTATACCTTCCGTTTTCATTCCATATCCATTCCATATCCGTTCCGTATTTTTTATTGTATTGACGATATACGTAAGCTTTCGTTCCGTATCAGTTCCATACTTTTTATTGTACAATTTATATTATTACGAAAGTTTTATTTTAAAAAATTGTATCTTTGGAAAAATGTAATTTAATTAAGAGGTGAAAGAATAAATAAATATCAGCAAAATGTTAACAGAGCTGGTACAAATGTAAGAACTTGACAACGCTGTTACCGATACGCTTCAGTCCGTCCGTCAAAAAAATGTATGGAAGGATATGGAACGGAAGGGAAACAGAACGGATAGTGTGCCATTGTCCTATTCATTTACATTATATAATATTTTATGTAAACGGAAGGTATCGTCGAGACTCGTCTGGGAATGCCTGGATGAACTGGGAGCTCTGGCACGAAGGAACAGAACAGCGGCATCCAAGGCAACGAAAAAGCCGATGAGCTAGCTAGGCAGGGATCATCGGCATCCTATCTTGGTCCAGAGTTAGTATTGGGAATACCCAAATGTATGGCCCGTAGCGCACTAAAACTCTGGATCAGGGAAAAGCACAATATCCATTGGAGAAACAGACAGGGGCACAAGCACAGCAAGGCTTTTATCCAAGGACCTAGCTCTAAAACCGCAAAAGAATTGCTAATGGACACATGGCTGTCAAGTGTTACCTGAACAAGCTCAACCTGTATCAAGGAAGTATTTGCTGCAGACTCTGCGATAAAGATCCTGAAACAGCGGAGCACATATGTCATTGCGAGGCTCTGGATCGCAAGCGACACTTTTTATTTGGGAAAGCTAGGCTAGAACCGGAGAAACTATGCTCCCATCCTACCAAGGACCTGCATAAGCTAGGAAAATGGGTGCAGATATAGAAAGGGGACAAACCCAATAGACCTCACAGATCGCAGTATTTCCGGCAGGACGGCTCCTTGTTATGAAAAAAAAACGGAAGGTGGCTGATTTGGAAGGTATAGTGAGAATCAACCTTAATATATATTATGTAAATAGCAATAAAAGATATAAAATTATTAATTGCTTAAATATATCAAAAAGAGACAAAAAATAGTACAACAAATTCTTAAATAATGTACATACCTATCAATAGCTTCTTGACGCTGATTTCCTGTAATAGCTCCGTCGATTCTTTCATATTTGTAACCCTCTCCATCTAAGAAATCTTCTAATATATCCAACATCTTGGTCATTTGAGAAAAAATCAACACTCTATGGCCTTGATCCTTAAGTATCTTTAACATTTTGGCGAGAAGGACCAACTTTCCAGATGCTAAAAAATATAAAAGATAAAAAATAAACCAAAACAAAAAATAATAAAATGTATAAAAAGATAAAAGATAAGGTAAAATAAAATAAGAGAAAAAAAAAGAAAAAGATACAAAATATTTTAAATTATAAGAATATCATCATATTCTCACTTACATTTTGTTAAATGTTGTATGTCATATTGACCGTGTGAACCAATAGGAGCTTCTTCAGCAGCTGCGGGGAAGAGATACGGATGATTACAACACTTCTTCAGGTCCATTACTATGTTCAACAGAGAGACCGATTGCCCACCGCCTTTGGGGTTCAGGGCTTCGAAATTCCTTGTCAGGATGTATTTGTAGTACTTTTTCTGCATGGGACTCAATTCCACCCTCACGATAAACTCGGATTTCGAAGGCATGTTCTTTAGTACGTCCGCTTTTAAACGACGCAACATGTGGGGACCTAACATCTCGTGAAGTTTTTTCACCTAAAATTAAAAATTAACATTATACAGGGTGTTTCAAAAAACATTCCTCATATAAAAATAAAATTTATTTTTTTATATCAACATATATGTCCGATTGTGCTTTGTTTTGTAGCTACGGGGGTTAGTCTTATTTTTTTTTTAATTTATTATAATTAAGTAAGGATAAAGGATTTATTAAAAGTTAACATACCTGATCTTCCTTAGATATATCAGCAAACTCATTTTGGAAAACCTGCAGATCGTTAAATTTATTTGGATTCAGGAAATTCAACAAATGGAACAACTCTTCCAGATTGTTTTGCAAAGGTGTACCAGTCAATAATAATTTATATTGAATACTGTAACTGCTTAAAAACTAAAAAAAATACCGTCAAAATTAATATACACGATAAAAAGTTTATATTCAACAATGTAGTCTTACCTTGAAGAATTTTGATTGGTTACTTTTAAGTCTATGGGCCTCGTCAACAACCAGAACCGCCCAGTCAATCGAGGCAAGACAGGCAGAGTCAATTGATACTAATTCATAACTGGTTAGAAGTACATTGAATTTTATCGATGAGGCTCTTATTTTGGAGGCTTTGCCGCTTCTTATAGCGCCTTCTTCGAAAGTAATTTCGTTTTCACGAATGACCGCTCTACAATCCTTATCACCTAGAAAATATTGCATGATATTACCAAAATATTTAAAGAAGCGACAGGCAGCGTCGACGCCTTTGAAGGTGTCCCAATTTTTTTGTCATTGCAATTGCGTTTTGACAATGACATATCTTGACAACTTAATTGTACAGAGAAAAAAAATGTCTAGAATATTATTGAAAGAAGTTTTAAATACACAGTAAAGAATTATTTCTTTATAGAGCTGTTTATTGTGACGCTTTATTCTTAGCTAAGTTAAGTAGATACAAATTCAAAAATACAGTTTAATATAAAATTAAAAAAGCTAAAGCATCTGCACTTAAGTGACTATTTTTTAAGTTTTGATGTGCAATGGGGTAAATAATGTAAAAAAGAACAAAAAAAGAGGTAAATGGTATTTCTTTTCCTTCACAGCCTATACTTTCAATTATTTTTGCATATATTTTGATTTCTACTCAAAGTAAAAAAGAATATATCAATAAAGACCAAATATAAGGAAAAAATAATGTTTATAGCTAAAACAGCGTTTTTAAAGAAGTTTACCAATTCGAAAAAGTGGTTTTAAAGATACTCTGCATAAAGTTAATATGCATAAAATTAAATGCCTTCTTTTAAAACCTGTTGCATTTGTGTAATTACCAATCTCTAATTATATGTGATTTTATTGTATAGATATAAAATACCAAAAAAATAAATATTATTATTTAAATTCGGGAGTAGTTCAAATGTACTTCAAAGAAAAAACGTTTATTGCACTTTTGTCAATTTTGTAGAAAATAATACTAAATTTTCACAACAGTCAACAGCCAACAGCACTTTTAAAAAAACTTTATTAATACAAAAACCTCGATTTTTTGGCTTTTTATAATATACTTTTTCACGCCCATCATATAAATCAACTAATCAAAGTTTAACCACCATGGGTAAGATTATAGCCTCATCAAATATCAATATATCACATAACCACAAATAAAATTTGACCCGCGTAAGAATAAATGTGTATTGTTAGGTAATTTTGTGATAAAAGTTTCCAGACACCAATTTATAGTAAAAACCTATATTTACCATGTTTACCTATCTTAAATATTAATTTTTAACAAGAGCTAATGGCAGTTTTTAATAAATGATATACCGGGTGCATCTCAAAAGTGGCTCACCCCTATAACTTTTTTATTTTTTGATTTAAAAAAACGAGATTTGGTATGTTAGTATATCACATTACAATTAGGATTGATTGGTGTATTCAATTGTATTTGGTCACTTCCTGTTTCACGGGAAATTACTACAACTTTTGATTTTTAAATGGCACCCTTGGTATTTTTTTATTTTATTCGATAGAAAATGACATTCTGAATAGAATAACATATCATATGTCAACTTTTGACATTCTCGCTTAATTAAAAATTGTATTTTAAAATTCAATCTAGAATGCCATGACTATGTTAAAGACACTAATTCGTCATCAAGGAGTCTTGGAAAAGCAGATTTGATCGTCTAATGTTTTTAGTGTCTTGTCCTGACCAGCTAGAAAATGCTCAAATCGTATTTTTAATCATATCTCAATTTTTTCAAATGGAACGAGGGTGGCTCATTAGCATATTTGGAAAAACATTTTTTACGAATAATTTGATACCATACTTGGTATTTCGGTCAAATTTTCGTTACGAACGGCAAGTTATAATTTCAAATAAACCATATGCGAAAATGTCAAAAGTTGACATATGATATGTCATTCTATTCAGAGTGACATTTTCTATCGAATAAAGTAAAAAATTACCGGAGGTGTCATTTAAAAATCAAAAGTTGTAGTCATTTCCGGTGAAACTGGAAGTGACCGAAAACAATTGAATACGTCAATCGATCCTAATTTATGTCATATCGCTTGCCTAGAGTTACACAGTTGTAAGCGCCACTTTTTTTAAAAATGAGATTTTGGGATTATAAAGTTGTATGTGCATGTGTCTATCTATACATGGTATAACAAAGTCGTATGTTGAAATGTTCAGGGTTAGACAACCAGCAATACATAAGTGTATGTATTTAAACATATAAAATAATAGCACAAAGTTGTCTGTGCCACATACAATTTTGTTACACTGAAAATTTCTGGGATAAGTACCTACATGAGTTACATAGTTGTATGTGTGTTTTCAACTTTTTCAATAGTTAGGTTATGTTATAGTTTCTTTTGCCGAAGCATACGTGATTGAAGGGTGAATTAGTAGTAGTTTAAAGATGGATAGTTTCTCAGATAGTGAGGATGATCTCAAAACAATTCAAATGCGAGAGAAACGTCGTCGACTTCAACAAGACACGTGAGTTTTTTTAAATCTATAGAATCAGGGTATTATAAGATAATATTATTTTAGAATGGGAGAGAGCTCACAAAATGCTAGATTATTTGACTGCAGTGATGATTCTGATGTAGACAAGGAATATCTTCCAGATTCATCGCCAGACACTAGCAGGTTTGTTATTTTGAATATCATCATCAATCTTTATTTTTTATTTAATTTATGTGTTTGTAGCTCAGACCAAGAAATTATGGAAGGAAGGGGCCATATTATCACAGCAGAAGATGGTGAACGTGAAACCAAGGGGAAGAAAAATGTTCGAAAAAGGACAAGGAATCCAAAGTCTTGGGCGTGCAATGTGAGTAAAAAAGCTCATGATGAAGGAAAAGAGTACATGTCTGTACGAAAAAAACTAGTTCCTGCAAAAGGCGTGCTGACCAAAAAGAACTGTTTAACTAGTTGCGTTCACGGATGCCAAAAATTTATTTCTGATCAAGAGAGAAACATCATATTTCAAAACTATTATACCCTTGATGAACAGGCAAAGAAATTATTTTTGCTCACCACTTTCCAAAAATTTTTGGTAGAGAGGCATAGAAAAGGAAAAAATGCACAAAACAGTCGCCGGAAAAATACTTTTCGCTATTATTTTAACGTCTCGGATCAAAGGATTGAGGTGTGCAAGCTATTTTATCTGGGGACGTTATGTATTAGTCAGACTCCAATATATAATGTACATTTAGGAAAGACATCGTGTCGAACACACCTAAAGAGAGCAGGCAAGGAAGACATGTGAAACACAGTATCAATGATGATGACAAAACATTTCTTAAAAGGCACATCGAAAGTTTCCCCAAAGTGGAGTCTCGCTACTACCGGGCAAATAGTAGTAGAGAGTACCTAGAATCAAACCTTAGCATTGCAAAATGTATTCGCTCTATGTGGATCTCTGCAAGTCAGAAAATAAGCAACCTGTTAAGGACTCATTTTATAGGCATGTTTTTAGCAACGAATATAACCTTTTTTTTCCATACATCAAAGAAGGACAGATGTGACTTGTGTGAGGAAGTAAAGCTACAAATAATAGAGAACAGACTATCCACTGAGAAAAATGAAGAATATTCAAGACATTCCATAGAAAAGGGAGCATGCAGAAATGAAAAAATACTGACAAGGAAGATGAAAACACTGTTATTTTATGTTTTGACTTACAAAATGTTCTGTCATGTCCTCGAGCAGAAATCAGTAGTTTTTACTATAGGAGTAAGTTTAATGTATATAATCTAACAGCTATCCTGTCAAGTACAAAGAAAGTATACTGTGCTGTTTGGCACGAAATGTTTATGGGACGAAGTGGCAATGACATTGCCAGTGCTGTGGTAACAATCTTGGAAAGGGTATTTGATGACAATCCAAATCTCACCAACTTAGTATTGTGGAGTGATAGTTGTGTTCCACAAAACAGAAACTCTTTGATGTCCTACGCAGTATCATATTTTTTACAAGAGCACCCTAACTTAGGCATCATTACCATGAAGTTTTCAACACCTGGGCATTCTTGTGTCCAGGAGATAGATAGTGTCCATAGTGCCATTGAACGAGTCCTTAAAAAAAGTGAGTACCTTTCTCCAGTGTCATTGATACGACTTCTCTTGAAAGTCAACCTCAGAAAACCATACTGTATAATTCAGATGAAGGCTCGCCATTTTAAAGACTTTAAGGCATGTACAGGGTTACTTGATTATAAGAAAGTTCCGTATTCCAAAGTTAAATGCTTGAAATTTACTCAATCCTTTTTTGAATTGGAATACAAAACTTCCTACATAGATAAAAACTGGACCAAAATCAATCTAAAGTCTTCTGTTCGTACGAGGACAGCTAGTGTATCAATTGTGCCAACTCCAAAACCTGCAGATGTAAAAAACTCTATATCTGCAGAGAAAATATCTGCCATCAAAGCAATGATGAACCATATGCCCGAAGTTGATAGGCAATATTACACTACCATTTTGAAGCTGTGAATTTAAATAGTAGTAACTGAACTGTTTTAACTGCTCAATTTTATTAGGTTAATGATGTTATGTTATGTTTTTTACTGTTCCTAGTTACAAAACGTTTATTTTCTTTTAAATGTTTCTCAGAAATTAAAAATTTTAGTTTTTTAACTTAGTTGTATGTACCAATAAATACATTTTTCTATGGTATCTAGAGTAACCAAATTGTATGTTACTTTTTTAATATACGATATTTTCATTAAAAACCGCTTTTTCTTTGTTTTGTCTGTTAAATACACATATTGGTGATCAGACTAAAGCAGGAATTTGGTAACATGATTATTTCCAAATCATATGTGCCTAGTCGAGACACCCCAAATTTCAAATGCCTCTCCTGAACAATTTACCCCAGTGTACATACAACTGTGTAACTCTAAGCAAGCGATATATTAACATACCAAATCTCGTTTTTTTTTAACTAAAAAAACAAAAAAGTTATAGGGGTGAACCACTTTTGAGACTCACCCGGTATATAGAAATCGACCCAACAGAAATTATCAGCGATTATATTTTCAAGGGTCACTCTGACACCGTTTTTAACGTATATGTGTAGATTTATTATATAATTAAATATCATATTACAACGTTATGTAAAAAATAATTAAAATTATGTCAATTCAAGAATAACAAGTGTGATTGTTTCACTAAACAACTTACCCACATAAGTAATACAATAAAAATCTGGCGCCCATGTTTCAAATTCTCTTTCCCAATTGATAATGGTCGAAAGGGGTACGGAAACCAAGAAGGGCCCTTTGCAATGCCCCTCTTTATACAGGGAATATAAAAACGTAATGGTCTGAATTGTTTTACCCAGTCCCATCTCGTCGGCAAGAATTGTGTCGATGCCATTTGCCCACGAATATCTCAGCCAGTTCAAACCTGAAAATGTTTGGTTAGGATTATAGAACGTTTGTTTTCTAGGTCCGTTGAATGATTATTGTACCTTCTAACTGGTATTCGTGAAGTTGCATACCGCATTCGTCTATATAGTTGGGTTGTTTGTCCAATTTCTTTTTAAGATCAGATATGGGCTTTTCTGGAGGAGGAGTGTACCTTCTTGGTGTGATTCGGTCGTCGTCGTCCATCAGATCCCTCGTCTTTGATTTTGACTTGCCTAATGAAGTAATCCCGATAGAGTACAAATATAGTTTTATTTGTTTTTTTTTTCTATTCACTTTACAATTTCTTAATTTACTAGGATATTATATTATACTATAATTCTACATAATAATAATAATTGTCTGTATATCCATATTATACTTTTATATACAGAGTGTGCGCGCGAAAAAAGATATAAATTTTAAATATATGTCTACACAATAGATTTGTAAAGTCGCAGTGATTAACCCCCTCTCAAACAGTCTACATATATTTCACGCGATTTATTGCAGTGTTTCATAAATATACAAAAACTTTAAAAAAATACGTTTTCTTTTATTTTTCAAAAACAAAATAAAAAATAGTATTTTTTATAAAAATGTTATTAGAACGAAAACAAATCTAATAAAAGTAATTTAAAAAAAACTATAAATGGTTAATTTTCAGACTACACATCTTGTAATTTTGAAATAATACATTCAAAATAGCATTATAGCTTTTTTATATGATCTAATACTCTAATCTTGATGAAAAAAAATAATAAAGAAGTCTAAATGGATATTATATTTAATCATTTTTGAATGATTTTAAATCTATAAACACAGCTGTTGACTAAGCTCAGCTTGAAATATTGTAGTTTTGTTTAAGGGGTTTCAAAAACTGTAATTTTTCCAATAATTGTATCCATTACAGACAGGCAAAAACATTTAAACTAGTTATGTCAATTACTCACTGTTTTTGTGTAAATTGAGGATAACCCAATATTTCAAAAAAAAATCCATATCAAATTTTCTATTGAAGTTTTTTCGCTCAAAAATGTATGTAGGGAATAGTAGCGCATATTTTAACACTATTTTTTACAGATATACAAGAAAATTTAAATAGATATATATTTACACTAAAGTTAATAATATTATAGAATATGATAAAAAAAAGGGGCGAGGATAGTCAGCGATCGCTTTGAAATGAAGATCGCTGTCATTTTATATGTAAAATTATAAGGGAATGTCATCAATCGCGCGTCATATTTCCAAGCCAACTGGGCGCCATTTTTTTTTGGATTATACAATATACATATGTTTAAAAAAAGAATACTCTGTATATTTTTTTCGCTCATTAAATATTCTCATAAAATTTCCAATCTAAAAATACTGTAATATTGTTGCGGGCCGGTGTGGACTCGACCTAACCTCACAATATGGCCCGCCCTCGGATGACCTTAACATCGCATAGACACCGCAATGATTCATTCGTTCGAGAAGAATCGAGTCCCACTGGAATGGACGAGTACATACGAGAACATTCGAAAACCTTCTCTACGCACCTAACGATCTATGGACAATTCTAGAGTTCTTTACCTGCCGGTATAAAAGCCGGCGGCCGTGGCCTACAGGGGCAGTTATAAATATACAGTTGACGCGCTAAAATTCAAAATAAATTCTTAGTTATAAATCGTTTGTAAATAGTTCTATAAGTCTTTTATCGTTATTGTTTTTGTTAATTAGTGTTAAATAAATAGTGTTTAAATAAATTGTGACTTTCTATCCACACGGAACCGACGAAAAACGTAACAATTGGTGTCAAGTGTGGCGTGTGTGATAGACTAGAAAAATAAAAAGACTAACGATGGCTCCAAAAAAATTGAAAGACCTGAAAGTGTCGGAATTAAAAAGCATACTGGAAGAGAGGGAATGCGAGACAGATGGAAAGAAAAGCATTTTGCAAGCCAGACTGAGAGACGTTTTGATTGAGGAAGGTGAGGATCCTGACACATTTTGCTTTGAGTTGGAAGGTGACCTTGACTCGTGCCTACAAAAATTAGAAGACAATTTGAATGACAAAATTACAGAAAATTCCCGGGAATTGCAAGACAATTTAAACGGCAATTTGAATAATTTAGAAGATAAAATGATGAAAAATTCCCAGGATTTAATTAATATTTTAGAAGATAAGATCGCAGAAAATTCTAAAGACATACAGGCCAGCTTTAATAATAAAATACTTAATTTAGAAGAAAGATAACAGAAAATTCAGGGAATTAGAAGAGAAGATAACAGATACACAAGACAAAATAACAGAGATTGAGGAAGATGTAAATAGAAAAATCGAAATTTTAAGAGAAGAAATAGCGAAATCAAATTCACCAAAATGTCAAGAAACATCGGAGGCACCGAAACTAGTCGAAAATAAGTATATCTCAAAGTCAGTTATTAAGCCTCCACAGTTTGACGGAAAGACCGCTTGGGCCAATTATTTTTGCCAGTTTGAGGCCGTTGCGAGAGCGAACGGATGGACAATCGCTGAAAAGGCTACCGCTTTGACTGTCGCACTGCGAGGAGATGCGACTGATATTCTGCAGACATTGTCACCATCGGAACAGGGAGATTATCAGCAATTGGTACGACATTTAGAAATGAGGTACGGCCAAGCTCATTTGGAACATGTCATTCCCAGCTAAAAAATCGCATTCAAAAGTCAAATGAGTCTCTGCAGGAGTTTGAAGCCGACGTAGCCCGCCTCGTTCGCCTTGCGTACCCTGCTACGCCAGAGAATGTTATGGAGCGGTTGGCAGTACAGGCATTCTCCGACGACTTACGTGACAACGAGACAAGACAAGCACTTCTCCTAGCCCACCCAACGCACTTGGTGGATGCTTTAGCACGTGCCCTAGAATTTGAGGCCGCGAAACAAAGTTCTCGGTCTTTAGGAAGAGTACGGGCCATCGACGAATGTTCTGACGAATCCGTGGAAGGGATTATTCGGAAGATAATGGACCAGTACATGGGCAAGAAGGGACCGATCGTTGCTGGAACTGCGGACAGGTAGGACACATGCGAAGCCGTTGTAAGGAGAAGAACGAAGAACCGGCTCCGTCGAGGTCGGAAAACTACTAAGGGTCGAAATGAAGGGGCACACGTCGACCTGTACCCAACATGCCCCAACGAAAACTGCTCAAGTCGCCTCGCTACAACACAAATTCAACAGCATTTTTGTGGATGGTTTTGTTGATGGAGAGTTCCGGACCATGCTGTTGGATACAGGTGCGACGAAAACTATCATCAGACCGGACATTCTTAAAACATCGAAGAAGGTTAAAACAACACAATGGCGACTACGTACTGCTACGGGGGGCTCCGCTGCTGTCCATGGAGAAGTAAACCTTAATTTTGTTATCGGAAGCACCTGTTTTAATCATCGAGTGTTAGTAGCAGACATCGAAGATGAACTTATTCTCGGAATGGACATCATGACCACTAGAGGTTTTGAGCTAAACCTCAAACAAGGAATTTTGAAAATAAATGAAGAAGAAGTGGTTCTGCATCGAAAATGTGAGGAGACGCTTCGCGTGGTGGTAGCAGAAGATGTTTCGATCCCTGAGCGCTGTGAGATATTTTTGGATGGTTGCCTAGAAGGTAAAATGAATAATGGGAGTATTATTCTGTTGGAGCCAAGGAACCATGACAGCGAAATAGGACGAGGGATCGCTGTTGGAAAAGCCCTGCTACGAGCGAAGAAAACTGTACCGGTGAGAGTAATGAACACGAATTATTATTCTGTATCCTTGAAGAAGGGAACCCTCTTAGGGTACTGTTGTTCGGTCTCCTCAGTCGTTCGAAGCGTGGAAGCCTCCAAAGTTTCGACTTCAAAAATTCCGGACAAAATGGTGAAGGAGTTAGTAAACGTTAAAGGATTATCTCCCGAAAATAGAAGAAAATTGAGAAACCTGATAATCAAGTATCAAGATGTGTTTGATAAAGGAGAAGCAGGACAGAGAGGTCGTACCAATTTAGTACAACACAAAATTGATACCGGAGATGCACGACCAATCAAACAAAATCCGAGAAGACTTCCGCTCGCCAAACGTGAAGAAGCTGACAAAATCCTTCGAGAAATGAAAGAAGAGGGTGTCATCGAACCATCTAACAGCCCGTGGACATCGCCGGTAGTACTAGTAAAGAAGAAAGACGGTACCACCACGTTCTGTGTTGATTATCGGCAGCTCAATAATGTTACAAAGAAGGATAGCTATCCCCTGCCGAGGATAGACGATACTCTAGACACGCTGGCGGGGTCGACGATATTCTCTACTTTGGATCTGAAGATATTGGCAAGTCGACATGGCGCCAAGACAGAGAGGAAACAGCGTTCTCGGTGGGCTCCGGACTGTGGCAATTTACTGTCATGCCTTTTGGATTGTGCAACGCGCCAGCTACCTTTAAGAGACTAATGGAGTCTGTGTTAAAGGGACTATCCTGGACTACCTGTTTCGTGTACCTGGATGACATCATAGTGGTTGGGAAATCCTTTGACGATCATCTGAAGAATTTGGAAGAAGTTTTCAAGCGACTAGGGAGCTCTGGTTTGAAACTTAGCCCCAAGAAATGTCATCTGTGTCAAGAAAAGGTACACACTACTTGGGCCATGTAGTCTCCTCCCAGGGAGTTGCGGTAGATCCACAGAAGACCAAGACAGTGGAAGAGTGGCCGATACCCAAAGACAAACATGAACTACGAAGCTTTTTGGGACTATGCACATACTATCGCCGCTATGTACAAGGTTACGCCACCATCGCAAAACCATTGACCAGACTTACCGAAGGCGAGAGGCGTTTCTCTTGGGACTCAGATTCTGACGAGGCATTCCGAAAATTGAAGAAAGCCCTGACTAGTGCGCCCATACTTAGCTACCCTCTTGGCAACGGAAACTTTATATTGGATACCGACGCTAGCAATGTTGCGTTAGGCGCTGTTCTGTCTCAGATCCAGCATGGTCAAGAAAAAGTCATTGGTTATTTTAGTAAGACCTTGTCAAAACCGGAAAGGAACTACTGTGTAACCAGACGAGAATTACTAGCAGTAGTTAAAGCAGTGGAACACTTCTACAAGTATCTCTATGGAAGAAAGTTCTTGTTAAGAACAGACCATGCTGCTTTGAATTGGCTGTTGCAGTTTAAGAATCCTGAAGGGCAGGTAGCTAGATGGATTGAACGATTACAAGAATTTGACTACGACACAGAACATCGAGCTGGGGCAATCCATCGGAATGCCGACGCACTTTCCAGAAGACCTTGCGCTAAGGACTGTAAGCATTGTTCCCGAGCAGAAGAGAAAGAAGTGAAACTCCTAAGAACAACTGTGGTTAATGATAGTTGGCAACCCGAGATCTTGCAAATGACCAAACCAGTGACCCAGAATTAGGTTTAGTAATTAATTGGAAAACACAGGCCAAGACCAACGTGGGAAGAAGTTTGCAGATATTCGCCGAACGTAAAGTCGTACTGGGCCCAGTGGAATTCCTTGGTAATAGATAACGGACTACTTCGCCGTGTGATCGAGACCGGAGGGACAAGAAGAGAGAAGGCAGATCGTCATTCCAAAGAAGAGGGTCCCAGAAGTCTTGGAGGAAGTTCACAATGGAACCAGCGGAGGACATCTTGGTGTTACCAAGACACTTGGCAAGCTGCGTGAACGGTTCTACTGGGTGAACTGCAAAGAAGATGTGAGGGCCTGGTGTAAGAAATGTGACATTTGCGCAGCCATTAATGGGCCACAAAAGCGTGGTAAAGCCCCTATGCGCCAGTACAATGTTGGTAGTCCCTTCGAACGAATAGCGATCGACGTGGCTGGTCCTTTCCCGGAGACGAACGATGGCAACAAATACATTGTGGTAGTAATGGATTACTTCAGCAAATGGGTCGAGGCCTACGCGTTGCCAAATCAAGAAGCGTCCACGATTGCTGATGCCCTTGTTAAAGAATGGATCTGCAGGTTTGGTGTTCCCATGGAGCTTCATTCAGATCAGGGAAGAAACTTTGAGTCCAATCTGTTCCAAGGCGTCTGTGAAGTCCTGAACATCCGCAAGACCAGGACGACTGCTCTACATCCACAATCCGATGGGATGGTTGAACGCATGAACAGAACTATCAACCGTTATCTGGCCAAAGTAGTCTCTGACCACCAAAGAGACTGGGACAAATTTCTTCACCTGTTCCTGTTGGCCTACCGTTCATCCGTCCAAGAATCTACAGGGCAAACTCCAGCCAGCATCGTTATGGGACGGGAAGTGCGCCTACCCTGTGATCTGAAATTTGGTTGCCGACCGGGAGAAGAAGTCGCCGGAGAAGATTATGTCCACACACTACGTCAAAGGATGGACGACATTCATCAGAGAGTCCGCCTAAATATTCAAAGTGCTAGTGACCGAATGAAGGAACACTACGACATTCAAGCTGAGCATGGAGGATACCAACCAGGGAAGTTGGTGTGGCTATATAACCCGCAGAGACGTCGTGGGTTATCTCCGAAGCTACAATCCTCGTGGGAAGGGCCATACGAAGTCATGGATAGAATTAATGACGTCGTATACCGTATCAGAAAATTGCCAAAAGGAAAACCGAGGGTAGTCCATTTCAACCGTTTGAGCCCCTACCAAGGCGAAATAGAAGATCGTGCTGGGACCGTGAGAACCTGCAGCTTTGATCCCCCTGATTCGGAGATGTCCTTTGACGATTTCATGGCCCGATACAACAGCAGTGAGAAGGCTCGCTATGGTGTAACCAAAGAAGATCAACGAGACCTCTTTTCCGTGCCTCCTGATTATTCGCTCGCTCATTGTGTGGCTCGAGATTTGCGGATGTCCAGAGGAATCGCTGCGACGTTCAATGAGAAGTTTGGGCGTGTCGGAGAACTACGCCGACAGGATCCAGAGGTTGGAAGCGTCTTGAGGCTAACCGACAATGCACATGGTCAAGCAAGGCACATCTTCTACCTGGTCACCAAGGAATGGTCCCCGAGTAAGCCGACTTATCTCAATCTATGGAAGACCCTGATTGAACTGAGAGAAGCCCTGCTAAACAACAACATTGCACGATTAGCCATTCCGAAGCTGGCGTGTGGACTCGATGGTTTGAGTTGGCGTACAATCCGGAACATGATTGAAGTCTTGTTCAGATTTACGGGAATCGAGATCCTCGTTTGCTGCTACAACCCAAAGCTGAGATCGGGAGAGAAAACTGTAGACTGCTATTTCTACCAGACTTCGCAATGTACCAGGGGCCAGCTTTGCAAATACCTTCATTCACCGTATAATCTCGGGACGAGCATGTACCTAAGAAAGGGGGCAGTGTTGCGGGCCGGTGTGGACTCGACCTAACCTCACAATATGGCCCGCCCTCGGATGACCTTAACATCGCATAGACACCGCAATGATTCATTCGTTCGAGAAGAATCGAGTCCCACTGGAATGGACGAGTACATACGAGAACATTCGAAAACCTTCTCTACGCACCTAACGATCTATGGACAATTCTAGAGTTCTTTACCTGCCGGTATAAAAGCCGGCGGCCGTGGCCTACAGGGGGCAGTTATAAATATACAGTTGACGCGCTAAAATTCAAAATAAATTCTTAGTTATAAATCGTTTGTAAATAGTTCTATAAGTCTTTTATCGTTATTATTTTTGTTAATTAGTGTTAAATAAATAGTGTTTAAATAAATTGTGACTTTCTATCCACACGGAACCGACGAAAAACGTAACAATATCATAATCTCAACCGAGGAGTTTTTGAAATATGAGATTTATTGAATTTAATTTTTACCTATTTAAACATTTTTCTATGTTAAAAACAACCAATTATATTGATGCTTTATAACAGTAAGAAATTTATGAATAATGTCTCCTATATTGCTAGTTATAATAAATTATGCTAAATGCTTGGTACATACAGAATGAATCAAAACTAGATATGAAGTTTTCCATAAATAAAAAAACAATACGCTAGGTTGGAGCTTTTCTTTTTAAAGTATATTATTTATTATTTAAGTATTAGAAATAATTCTTGTTGGATTTAATTTGCTTTGGGTAAGTTTAGCATAAATACTTTTATGAAAATCTTTTGAAAAATATAAAAAAAATAGTTTTACAAGTCCCTGTATTTTTATGAAACTTGATAGAAAGATGCAGAATCAAATTTGAATAACATTTTTGTTTGATTTTTTTTTAATATTATGTAACTTAACCCGACTTTTTGGTGGTAAATGTAAAAAGAACTTTTTGTAGTTAGCCGCCGACAGTTGTTGCAAAACAATGTCACAATGACTTTTTTGTTATTAAGTATACTAAAAAAATTATGCATAAACTTTATTCAAGAATTTAAAAAAAATCACATTTGCCCCAAACTTTTTTGTGGGCCTCTGTATATGTTTACAATTCCTTGTATTTCTTTTAAAAATTATTACATTTTTGTAATTATCAATCCTCACTTATTTGTAGTTTTTTTTTTATACAAGTATGAAGTAACAGGTAAGAAGTAGTTCAAATGTACTTCACAAAAAAAATTGAGTTTCATCATTTTATTGAACACTTACAACGCTTCTAAATAACAAACACTTACCTTTACTCTTTCTACCAGATTTAGACCCTACTCCACTTAAACAAGCTGCTCTTAAATCCTGGTAATACTCAATAGCAGCTTTTAGTCCCGATATGTCCTCGTTTTCATCTTCCCATGTGGCTTGATCATAAGAAAGTTCTCTCCACTAAAAATATTTTAGTGTTAATAAACAATCTACATGCTTTATGTGTATAACAAGCTTACTTTAAGTAGGTACAATGTCCTACCATCCCTCATTGTACGATGATTGATTACTCTATGCACTACAAGCCACTCTGGTTTCACGCCATATTTATAAAATTTCTCTTCCAGCTCTTCATCTTTATTTTTACCGCCCATTTTAATCAACCGATTGCAACGAGCGTCGGCTTCGTCTAAAAATAAACATTAGACCCAATGAAGTTAGTATTTTACAGTTAAATTTACCCATCGGTTCTTCCAGTTTTGGTGGTTCCTCCATGTCATACTTCCTAGTGTAACTGCGGAACATTAGTGGATGGTACACATCTAATTGCAGTTCCGTAATCCAGCTACAATGCCAGTAGGATAGTTCCGCCCATTTTACAAAGAACTCGCGTCTTTTGTGTTTGGTTATTTCGTCTTTTCCGTCCTAAGTAAAATTAGTTTTAAAGAGAGCGTTTTATGTAAGAGGATTTGTACAGGTTTATTAAAAAAACTGTGTGATTTTCTTTTAATAGACACCTTTTGGGAAATCTAAATTATACAAAAATTCTACAAATGCAGTTTGTCTTGTATTTTGGTACTGAGATAATGCCTATTGCATTAAATATAAATGAAGTTATACAGTCTGTTGACATTTTCACAAAGTGGTGGATCGTGAAAGTAGTTCAAATGCATAATTTTAAGTTACCGTTGTAATGAAACGATTTATATACAAAACAATTATATTTGATACAAAATTATCTCATTTCTGCTATATAATAATAATAATAATAATAATATCTATTTATTTCCAAATTATGTTACAAAAAAAAACATAAAGAGAAATATCGTCAAACATCAAAATAAATATTCCAAAGCATATTACACATATTTTACAAAAATTAGATAAGTCTACTTACATAAACGGGAAAATATATAGAAAAAAAATAAACCTAAAATTTACAATATTGGATATAATTCAACAATATTTCCTTAATCCTAATTAACCATTGAAATTAAAAAATTCTGGCAAGCTATAAGGCTCTATATTTAATAAATAATTTTTTAACTTAAATTTAAATTCGCTTAACTTTCCACAGAGTCTAAGTGTTAAGGGCAGTTCATTATAAAACTTTAAACACATATACAAAGGGCTTTTTTCCGTAATCGCAAGTTTATGAGCGGGATAGTTTAGTAAATTCTTTCTAGTATTGTACTGATGTATTATGTTACTCTCAAAACATTCTCTATTCATGTAAAAATATACTAAACATTCATAAATATATAATGCATATACTGTCATAATTTTTTCACTCTTAAAGATCCCTCTACACGATTCGTTGAAATTCATTTTTCTTACAGTGCGTATTACCCTTTTTTGTGTTACAAACAGTCGTTGTATTTTGCTGTTGCTGCCCCAAAATATTATCCCATAGCTCATGACGGACTGAAAATTGGAATAATACAGTGTTTTTAGTGTTCTCTCATCCATATATTTGCTTATTACCCTAATTGCATAGCACACTGAACCCAGCTTTTTCAAAAGATATTCTATATGATTACTCCAATCTAAATGCTCATCAATTATTATTCCTAAAAATTTCGTGTGGTCAGATATTAATATATTTTTAGTCGAATCATATATAAGTGGTCTATTTGTTCGTGACAATTTTGTTCGAAAAATGATGACATTTGTTTTATCGGAATTCAGAATTAAATTATTTTCATTGAACCATCTAGATACATTATCTAATAAAATTTTGCTCTCGTCAATTAATTCGGGTAGGTGTTTTTTTCCAATTAACAGATTGGTATCATCAGCATAATTAATTATGTTTTGGTTTTGTCCATTTACTGCCAGATTTAAGTCATTTAGGAATAATAAAAACAAAACTGGACCCAATATACTACCCTGAGCTATACCGATGTTATTTGTGCGTATCTGGGATTTATATATTTTACCTTCATTGGTAATAGAAACTTGTTGTTTTCTGTTATTAAGATATGACTGTAGCCACTCGAGAGACTTCCCTCTAAATCCGTATCGTTCCAATTTTCTTAAGAGCAATTCTCGGTCAAGACAGTCGTAGGCTTTAGAGAGATCCAAAAACATCCCTAGTGCCAATTCCCCCACCTCCATGTGTTCCAAAACTCTCCGAACAAATTCAAAAATTGCTGTTTGAGTAGATTTCCCTTTTAAATACCCGTGTTGGTTTTGGCGTATCAAGTTACATTCTTTAATAAAAAACATCATTCTACTTAACATTGCTAACTCAAAGAGCTTTGAAAAACCCGGAAGAAGACTAATTGGCCTGTAATTATCTATTAACTTGGGATCGCCTTTTTTATGTATAGGTTTTATTAGTGCGGTTTTTAGCTCTTGTGGAAATATGCCTGACTTAAAGGAGCTGTTTATTAAATAACACAATACATCTTGACAAGCACCAGTTGACAATTTGATCAAGCTTGTAGGAATTTCATCATTACCACTACTATGTTTATTTTTTATTTTTGCATTTATATCAATTAATTCTTGAGGCGTTATTGGTCTTAAAAACATTGATTTATTATTAATTTCAGTGTTAATGCTATAGCCGCTTGGTAAATTTTGTAGTAGATTGGGAACAATTGATAATAAATGCTCATTAAATGTTTCAACCATTTGTTGTCCATTTTGATTAAGATTATTTGGAGATGCATCTTTATTATTACCAATTATTTCCTTACATATGCTCCACATACACTTCACTTTATTATCTGATTTTTCAACTCTGCCCTGATATGACATAGCTCTACATTGCTTTAATAATATGTCATATTGTTTTTTATATTTTTTATATAGTTCTTTGTAATAATGGTAATGTTTCGAGAGTGGTAGTAAAATATCCATTTTTTTCTTATGTTCTAGAATTAGTGGATTATCATATAAATGTTTCTTTTTGTTCTTTATTGATACTAGCTTTAAAGGAAAATGTTGGTTAAAAATTTCAGAATATATTTTATGAAAAGTACACCACTGTTTATCAGTATCATTATCTTGAACTTCATATACACTGGCCCAGTTTTGTTCGCTCAAAGATTCCAAAAACAATTTTTTATTAGTTTCCGTAAAAGATCGTTTATATACTTTACTATTTTTAATTATTGGTATTATTTTAAACACAATTTTTTGGGCTGTGTGATCAGATATGTGTGATTCAAAAACCATGTTTTTATATAGTTCATATTTGTAAATATATTATCTATGCAGCTAGAGCTATGTTCAGTTATTCGTGTGTTTTCTTTTTATTGTATTTACAAAATTAAAACTATACATAAGAGACATTAGTTCACTTTTATTTTTATTGTCTTTTAATAATTCAATGTTGAAATCACCTGTTATAAGAGCAGTCATATTTTTAGACAGAATATATGTTAAAACATGTTCCATTTTACTAAAAAACTAACTATGTTACCTGATGGTGGTCTGTAAATCACTATCACTACTATGTCCATCCCCGAAATTGACACTGAATAGCGGCACATTCAAATGTTCCCGTCTCTGACAATTTGTTAAACTCTTCGATCACATGCGTTTTGACTGTCTCCTCGACATATATTGCTACTCCTCCGTGTTGTCCAGCTTCTCGGCAGTACTGATTTTGAAGTCGAAAATTATTAATTTTGATTTTCTCCAACTGTTCCATCGATTTCAGTGTTCACAAAAACACAATATTTTGCACTCGGATTGTTTTGCAGCATGTAATTTATTTTATCTACGGAGTTTCCAATAGACTGTATGTTTTGATGTATAATACTGATGTCCTCAACTTTATTATCAACTATATTAGGCTTAATATGTTTTATTAACTGTTTTGTATATTTTGCTGTAAAAATGGTCGTATGTTGTATGATTTATAGTTTTCTTTACTTGAAGTAGAAATGCTGGACATTTTGATCCCTGGCACTATGTTTACGATCAACTAGCCTAAGTCTTTTACAATTAGGACAATCTAAATTGGTTTCTTCCGAGCAATCCTTCGGGTGATGACTTCCTCCACATTTGTGACAACATTCTGGTGATTTGCAGTACTTTGAAACATGCCCAAAATTGCAACATTTAAAACATATTGCTACATTAAAATATTCCGTGACATATGCTTTCATAAAATCAAAACTTAAATTATTCCCTTTCATGATCCATTTAAAAAGCGTCGGTGGTACTTGAAGAACCCAGTTTTCTTTATGGATGTCTCTGCATGGTTTTTTAGTAATATATTTTATCTGTGTCTTTATGTCATTTCCAAAATTATCCTTGATGTCAGAGTTTTGTTCAATTAATTCATTAATAAATTGGTCAGAAGTATAACCTTTATCTATGCCAGTAACCATTATCATTGGAAACGTATTTTCTTTTTCCCTTGAGTTGGAAATTACTGTTCGTACTGAGACTATCTTTAATTTTTCGTTGCTGATCAACATTATGAAATTGCATGACTACTCCGCCACTCTCCAGTTGTTTTACTCGTTTAACTGTTTCTCTTATTTGATTTGCCTTTAAATTTTGTTTAATTTCTTGCACTACTGATTTAGGATTTTTTTCTTTTTCAAATTTAATTAACAATTCATATTTTTCTTCTTTAGTAGGTGTTTTCCATTTAGGATGCATTTGTGTCTCTTCACTGTTGCTTGTATTATTATTCGCTTTGATTATTTCGCTATATGTCCTCTGCTGAGTCTTACTTTTTACTTCATTGCTAATAGTTTGATTACTTTCTAATGGATTTCCTTTCAATTTTTCAACAATTTGTTTCAAACTTGCATTTTCTTTCTCAAGTTGCCCCACATTATATGATAACATGGTAACTAATCTATGTACGTTAAACAGCGCATTTCTCGGATTTGACATATTTGTTTCATTTTTTGTACAAACGCTCACTTCTAAATAGTTGTGTATCACTCCCAAATAATCTAGTAGTCCTTCTAACGCATTTCTTGTGTTATTTTTAGAATTTTGTTCAGTTTCTGTAGAGTCGTTATATTTGTTTGTATTTTGTAAATTGTTTTTCGGAAATTTTTTCCTTATCTTGTTCTGTTCCAAATTACCTGGGCTGGAATCAGACCTAGTTCTTTTCCTACTCTGTTGCTCAGTATCCTGTGATATATCAACACTCGAAATGGAACATGTGGGTGATCTCATTATAGAATGCCGTGGTTTAAAAATATTATTGGTCCCCTCATTTTCTTTTGTTTCCAGAAACACTTCGGTGTCTTTTTTCAGTAATCCCCTGTATATCGACATCACTTAATTTCTTTTGTGCTCGAGTTTTAACGCTATCAGCCTTGCCCTTTTTTGTAAGATCTTGAACGTTTTTCCTATCACTGTTAATCGATGTTGTTCTCTGTTTTTGCAATGGAATATTAGGTTTATCGGATTCATGCGAACTGTTTTTACCGCTGCTACTTGCACTCATCTTATTGATAATTTCTATCAAAATTTAACGCAAACTATTACAAAATTACTAGGTAAATTAAATAGAAATCACGAGAGCTTCACTAAACACGTCCGCACAGTCTGGTATCTATAGAACTAAAAAAAGCTATATAAGGGAAGAAATTCTGCGTTTACAGATATTTTTCATCGGTTGAATCACCTAAAAAATGTATCAAAAAGCTCACAATTTTTAGAAAGCGGTTTAGAATTTATAGTTCTTTATACCACTGTTGGAATGAAACGATTTATATTCAAAACAATGTGATACACAAAATCAAAGTCAAACCAGTATCAAAAAGTCTAAACTAGTTTCGGCTAATCAGCCATCAAGACCTTTATCAAAAACCGCTGTTTGTTTGACTAATGCTTTTATATTGGCATATTATTATATGGAGTGGTCAGAATTAAAATGAATCAAGTCCAATTTCCTATTTTAAGATAATCGTCTTTATACGTTTATAAAATATTGCTTTTTCCAGTAGATAAATGAATGAAGTCATACCTCACGGATTAAGCAGCTATAGCCTGTTTTTGTTTGGTTTCTGAATATTCTGTTGATTTCTTTCAGAAGTGAACTGGATCAAGTCCATAAAATTTAACGCTATCTGTAATTTTAACACACATGCTAAAGTTTAGAACTAAAAATAAATCTTTTTTTTGATAAAACGGACGACAATGAAACAAAGTCTGAACCACTTACACCAAGCGAGTCAGATTTATCAGCCATCTGAAAGGTCTGATTCTACCGATTCTGAAAGTATAGTTTGTATTTATCATTATTTTCACTATTATTACATCAATAAGTTAGGCTGCTGTTCTTACAAATACTTAGATATCTGACATGTTGTTGATCTGAATAAAACTGCACGAGGAAGAAAAATCTTATCATTTCATATAGACGCAACGTAACACACACTCTTTATCCCGCCTATATACCATAATATTTATAAAAAATCGAAGAAGACACTATTAACAGGCAATGTGAAGTCAAGAAATCCCTTAATTACGAAGGAGAATGTACCGATGAACAAATTTATATCTAAAATTTCAAACATTTTCAAAGATAAAATGGTTCAAGTCCAAAAAAATATAAAGAAACTGAAATTCTGAAAAATTACTACAGTATATTTTGAATTACTTTAGTTTGCAATTATACAATTTAAAATATAATAAAGCATTGTGCCAAGTTTTCTTCTCCAGCTTGTTTTATTTTAATTAAGTAACATTAAAAAACTTTGACTCATTTTCTCCATAATTATCTTCTAGGACTTGATCCAGTTCACTTCTGAACTCCTCATATATCAATATAATCGCAATATTAATATAATAATAACAATAATTCTTATTGTAAAGTGTATTGTAATAGCATTAGTTAAACGAACAGCGGTTTTTGACAAAGGTCTGATGATGGCTGAATAGCCAAAACCTGTCACAAATAAAGATTTTTTGATAGTGGTTTGACATTGATTTTGTTTATCACATACTAACTGATTTTGTTTATCACCTAACCTAACCTAACCTAACACCTATGTTGCCATATTATCAAGAAATTATGTTTTTAACTAAAAACTAAAAAAAATTCCAAAAAATTTTGAATTTTCAAATTTTTTTTTCGCAAAAAAAACTCATAGGCGTGTTTCTGGGGTTGAACTATACACCAGTTAAAATACTTGCACTTATTTCTGGGACACCCTGTACAGCAGTAACGAGATAATGTTGTATTAAATATATGTTTTGAATATAAATCGTTTCATTACAACCGTAACTTAAAATTGTGCATTTGAACTACTTTTTATTCTATTAAGAATATCACTTCTAAAACACTTTCAGCTTTTTTAAGCAATGATCTGTGTGTAATAACACGTTTTTAGTTATCCCTGAAAGAGACAAAATTAAAATAAACCGAAAAACAAAATTAAAAAAAAACTTTTTAAATATAAAATGAAAACAAAAATGCTTACTTTATCCTTAGTTACAACATCGACGTCAACCCATCTCCAAGTCAATATCTTAGCTACTTTGCCTTTCAGTGGCGGACAGCTACATCTAGGACATTTCCAATCACCATCCGGTACATCGGTCAAAGGCGGGTTTAGACAATGAGTGTGATAAGCAGAAGGACAAGAGTCGCAACAAAGTAGTTCGCCTCCGTCCTTGCATACACGGCAAAATTCCTAAAAGGTTTCATTAAATTTATGTAGATAGACATCCAAAAACCAAAAGTTTAAAGAAAAAATGGAGTACTGTTTTAGTGTTATAGCGTTGATTGAAAGAATTGAGAAGATACGCAACCTAATGGGTGAATTCGTGGCAAGGCTGGTTTTATTTCCCCTTAAGTCTCAAGTGCTGTACGGTAGCCACCACTCGTTCTGCGGCCAACGCATAAAACACTCATTTTCCCTAATTCGGCCAGCGAAGGCATATCGAAGACGGCGTGGAACTGAAAGCGACAGTGTTGCCATATTAAAATGTGCAATATCTGTAATATGTTTGACAAAAATATCTTCGGATGAAAAATCCGCGTTTATGTATTGAACATTTATTCGTGTTAAACATAAACAACAAAAATAAAATGATTTTATAGGTACTGAATATTTCGTATGATCGAAAAAATTCGTTTAGTTGGCTTGGAAATTACAATTATTGACATTTACCGTAATAGTTTATATATAAAATGCAATCTTCATTTCCAAGTCAACTCTGACGCCCTTCTTTATTTAATCGTATAATATTATATTAAATTGTTTAGTGATAGAAAATCCATATTATTAACGTACTGTACCCAATATCCATAAATCTACGGATTAATCCGTAGTTCTGGCAACACTGTCTCCGGCAATCATCCACTCTGTTGACTAAAAGTAGTACGGTACAGCATTCTTTATCTGCTGCGCTGTAAACGACCATCAGCGCGCAGCGGCGCAGAACAACTAAATCTCGGACACCCTGACAGGAACGCCATCTACATCTCGGACACATTTTGAGCCACGAAATCGCCCATAAGGTTTCGCATCTTCTTGTTTCTTCAATCAACGATATTAATCTGAAATTACCTGATGTTCGTCATCGTCTTGATCAGCAGGCCCCTCACTTTCACAGTGAGGACAGCTCCATTTTCCTTCTGGAGCCTCATCGAGTTCGGGCTCGAGACACACCAAATGGTATGCGCGAGGGCATGTATCGCAAAGAATAATTTCGCCACCCTGTTGACAAACTTCGCAATAATCTTGATGCTAAAAAGAAAATTAAGAAACATTAATAATAATTGATAAAATATCATTTTTAAATGTCAATTTACCTCGTAAGGCTCTTCATCCTTCTGCTTTGTTTTCTTTTTCCTCTTCGTCTTAACGCCAATCTTTGTTTTAGCTTTTCGTTTTGGTTGATTTTCATCGGCAACTTCAGAGGGCGCTTTTGACGATCCCGCATCGTTGTTATCACTAAAATTTAAAAAAAAACATTGAAATAATCGATCTAGGAAACGGTATTTATGCATAAAAGTCTAATTAAAATCTCTGAAGTAACTACTGTGTAAAAAAATCTTTCCTATCAATTTTGTTATTGCGGTTTTTTGGTATTTCTAAAGCATTTTTTGTTATAATATAATATCATCTGCGGTCTGTCACGCAAAAACAATATGACAGCGATAGATATGTTTGTCACTTTAATTCAAAAGTTCACTGTAGTGTTTATACTCCCATTTTTTATGTCTGTCGAAATCATAAATTCCATCGCTGAACAGACTATAATTATGTTACAAAACAATATTGAAAATATTTTTAGTGCCAACTGGACGCCTTTTTTACCATACAGTACCTATAAATTGTTAATTAAAACAGTAAACAATTAGTTTATAGGTTTGTTCCAACCCGCCGCAGAACCGTCACCGAACGATCACGCTCGTGCGCAATAATTCAAATTCAAATGTGTTCCAACCGAGATTTGACGGTTATCGGACGATCCTATATGCGTACCAACCTACCTTGGGATCGTTTAGTTACGATTTCAGACCGATAATTTCGGTACATGGTCCAAATTGAGAACTGTTTGGGTTGACTTGCGCAGTAAAGCATATTGGCAGGGATTATCGATTTTTAACAGCTAATTATGGTCCGGCGTCCGGCTGATGCTTCTGTCTTGGTTATTTTTTGCAAATTCGAATACGTATGCGTTATACTTTTGCTTGTGAATTTGTGTGGAGTAAATCGTCCGGAAATTTTAATTAATTTTTTATTTATAAAATAATGTTCAAAGATTCTACCACTGCAATGAAATAACAGGAAACTAGGCATAACAGAATCATAAAAGAGAGGATAGGTAAGTGAGTTAGTGAGTATACAGTTGAAACAACACTTACCAACAATTACTGGAATCTGATTCTCCATTTCAAAAATAAAGCTTGATTTTCATGCATCCGTTATACGTTGATACCTTTGAATAAGAAGACTAAGGAAGGAGCATAATGCTATCCATGTATTCATGCATGGTGGGCGGAAAAGCCACCATAAAAGCTCTCTAGGGTGCGGATCCTTGACAGTTCTGTTTGACGATTCGTTTGACACATTTGAATTTGATTTGAAATTTTGTGGATTTGTCAGTCTTTACGGAGCTTATTTTATGTTATTTATTATATATTCTACTACTGATAGTTGTATAAAGGTAGTAAATCTAGATGGAAATTGTGGCAGAACTTAAATTAACAGTGACACTATCGCGATTTATCGAAAAAGACTCTAAAATAGTTGGTTGTGTAGCGTGCGATAGATCTCGGCAAAAATTGAGTGAAATAATGGAACAACTTTTCGCTAGTAAGTGACTATATAATATACATACGTGTAGTAAACCGATCATTTATGAAATTCACTTAAATTAACTAAATTATATATTTTTCTTGCATTTTAGCTTTTATTTATTACTTGTCAAAGATTAGATGTCAAAGAATTTAGATACGTTAATTTGACTTACATGCTTCAGTAGCGTATCGGATGTTTGTGTTAATAAATACTTATTATAACTTATCTATCTTTATTAGAATTATATATTTTTATAACAATTTTAATAACTACCAACATTTATTCACAACGTAAAATAAAACAACAAATTATTGAGTCTACCCCACGTCTACCCTACATCATAGTTTTACATTTTTTAAATAAAATTAGAACGACACTGATAAACCGGAATTTAAGTCGGCCATATTTGAGGCCCATCGCGGTGTACCTAAGATTTTTGATATGCTCCTTCCTTAGTCTTCTTATTCAAAGGTTGATACGATGCCGATGGTCCGACGGTGCTCTGATTGGTCATAGTGTTTTCGCGCCACTTTTCATCCGTAAATATTTTACTTCAGCCCGTCAACGGACCCGTTCATACAATAACGGACGTTTTGACACTTTTTTGACAAATTTAAACTGACCTTAATAAAAATATAAGTAAAATAGCAAAATCGTTATGGAAACGAAAATATAAAATGACGCCAACGTATATCCGATAAACGGAGGCATGAAAATGCAATAAATTTAAAAACTGCGTTATTTTCGAACCAATCAAAGTCTTTAAATTCTACCAATAAAATTAATATCGTATCAACGTATCGTCGGATAACGGATGCATGAAAATCAAACTTAATAATTATTATTATTGCAAATTGCAAACAAAAATAATAGGGTTCTGTTATGAAATTCTAAACAAAATCAAAAAACCGATCGATACACGCACGCTCGACACTTTTGACAGTGCCGAAAACAATCCACAAAGCGTTTCAACGTTGATACTTTTTACACCGTCACGAAACTATTCGAAGTCCGCGCATGCTAACAAAGTGCAAGAAAACCGATTCGAGTACGATTTCGAAACGATCCCGAAATGCTGGTTGGAACAAACCTTTATAGGAGATAATCCAAGGTACATTTGAACTATTTTATATACTCTCTTAAGAATCACTCCTAAAACACTTATAAAGTATAATTTTCATTTTAATTATAGAATTCTCTCCCAGTTTCTCTTTATTTAAACACAAATTAAAACACAATAGCCATTGTCAATTTGAAGTTCCACTTTTTATAATGTTAAAGGTGAATTTTCATCCATCTGTCAACGCACTGATTGGTCATAGTGTTTTCTAGCGTTCGGCTAAAAGGAGAAATTGCATTAACAGGTATACTTGTGACCGTGATTTTTATTCGCCGCGAAATTAACCTGTGAACGTGAATTATACCGTTAATGTTAATTTTTAGGTTAGGGTTATGCTGTTGTCATGATTTCGCAGTAAACTTATCTGTGATATTTTATTAACTTCTACTTTTTAACTGCAACTGCGAATTCACTGCTGTTTTTTCGTACGATAACGCATGTTGTTAAGGTGCGTATTCATTATCCGAACGAACGAACGAACGAATGAAAGTGCGGTATATTTAGACGGGGACCGAACGCATGCGGCCGTTCTTTCGTTCGTTCGCTCGACCATCCGTTTCGAGTCGGTACATCAAAGGCGTTCGCCAACAAATGCCTCCGGTCTTCTCGTGCGGTCCTATCGTGCGGTCCCCGTCCATACCACTAGCGTACGTTCGTTCGTTCGTTCGTGCGGATAATGAATACGCACCTTTAGAATCCCCAGAACATCAATGGATATAATACACGTGTGCTAAATGATTGACGTGTTTTTGAAATAAATTTTCTAGAGATAAACGGCATTCTAAACGGTAAGGTGAGGTTCCCAAGTATTTATAAACCAACAAAACCAACGCTAAAAGCCACTTTCCCAGAACAAATTCTGCCTTAGTGTTCAGAACCATGTAGTTCTATGTTCTATATATACCTTTGAATAAGAAGACTAAGGAAGGAGCATAATGCTATCCATGTATTCATGCATGGTGGGCGGAAAAAGGACTCTAGGGTGGGGATCCTTGACAGTTCTGTTTGACGATTCATTTGATACATTTGAATTTGATTTGAAATTTTGTGGATTTGTCAGTCTTTACGGAGCTTATTTTATGTTATTTATTATTTATTCTACTACTGATAGTTGTATAAAGGTAGTAAATCTAGATGGAAATTGTGGCAGAACTTAAATTAACAATGACACTATCGCGATTTATCGAAAAAGACTCTAAAATAGTTAGTTCTGTAGCGTGCGGTAGATCTCGGTAAAAATCGAGTGAAATAATGGAACAACTTTTCGCTAGTAAGTGACTATATAATATATATACGTGTACTAAACCGACCATTTAAGAAATTTACTTAAATTAACTAATTATATATTTTTTCTTGCATTTTTGCTTTTATTTAGTACTTGTCAAAGATTAGACGTCGAAGAATTTAGATACGTCAATTTGACTTACCTGCTTCTTAGAATTTAGAATTTTAGAATTTGCAGTGCCTCACCAATGATTTTTGAAGAATTACACGTATTAATCGATACATCTTTAATCACAATTTTATATTTTTTTCCCTATTTGCATCAATAATAATTGTATTTTTTATCCGTCATTCTACAATAAATTACGTCGATGGTATTCCTTTAAACGCGCTTCCTTTCCCATATGCGACAAACTCGACGATATATATATCCATCTCATTTGTTCTTTAAGAAGTATATGTGCAGAGGTTTGCCTCTCGCCTTTCCTTGTCTAGCGTATTGTGGTATATCGCATTGACGGAGCGACAGCGTTCACTGGAATCTTAAATCTATAGAATGAAAAGAAAAAGCATAGGCAAAACCTTTAGTTGAAGAGAGATAAAATGTATGGAGTAGTAGCGCGTAAAAAGACCGTATTGAGGCAAGCCTCAAATGTAAATTTAAACCTTAAAAGCCGTTCGTTAAAAATATGTATCACTTCCCGATCAGCCCGAGAGATTTTAGGCAACAGGAATTTAAATATCTGGGAATAACCCTGGACAGTAAACTCATGTGGAACAGGCATATTAAGAACACTACCAGCAAAGCCACAAAGGCTCTCATGATATGCAGAAGACTGACCGGAAATAGATGGGGCTGCTCCCCTAACATTTTGCGCTGGATGTATACCATGATAGTAAGACCTATGATTACTTATGGAGCAGTTGCCTGGTACACAAAACTAGAGCAACGGACGGTAAGGCTAAACCTGTGCAAAGTCCAGAGACTAGCATGCGTTTGCATCACAGGAGCCATGAGAACCTGTCCAACAGCAGCAATGGAGGTCATTCTAGATCTAACACCACTGCACATTGTCATTGGTAGATATGCCAATGCGACATTGATTAGAATGGTCACTAACGGAATTAGTACTGGGAGAATTGTCAGATCAGGGGCTTGGAACACCCTCATAAAGGAAATACCACTCCTGCAACTCCCAGTGGACGATATGCTAAGAACGTACAACTTTGAGAAACATCTCCATGTAGTATTGAGCAATAAAAAGGATTGGAAGAGCGAAACGCTTGCCCAGCAGTTAAAAGACCATACCATAACTTGGTATACTGATGCTTCCAAAACCAATACGGGACAGGGATCGGAGTGTTTGGGCCGAGAGCTAAATACTCCGAACCAATGGGCACTTACCCTAGTATCCTACAGGCAGAAATCTACTCTATCGAAAGATGCGTACAACTTATCTTAGATAGGAACTATCGGAAACAAGAAATAGCCATCTTGTCTGATAGTCAAGCAGCGTTAAAAGCGATCAACTCAGTATCAATCAATTCGAAATTGGTCAAAGAATGCATTAGAAGCTGAATAAATTAGGCAAAGAAAACAAAGTCCTCCTATTCTGGGTGCCTGCTCACCAAGGGATAGAAGGCAATGAAAAAGCAAATAATCTAGCTAGGAAAGGAGCGAACACTCCACTAACTGGACCAGAACCGTTCTGCTTTTCAAGTGGTAACCAACTCAAGGCGGAACTCAAGAACTTGGAAGATTCCATCCGCAACCTGGAATGGAAATCTTGCAACGGTCTAAGACACTCGAAGAAGTTTCTGAGGGCTTATGATCAAGAAAATCACAGATCTTCCTGGGTCTGAGTAAGAACAATCTTCGGATTGTCATGGGGTTTTAACAGGACACTGTCTCCTCAATGAACACCTCAGTAGATTGAAACTAAGAAGAAACGGCGAATGCAGATTCTGTGGGGAAGATGGGGAAACACCAGTACACCTCATCACTGAGTGCGCGAGACGACAACCACTCGTGCCATGAATTTTGGTACGACTGATATTGGAGATGGAGAACTACCCTCTATAAAACCGTCCCAGATACTGGCTTTTGTCAAAGCCCTGGGACTGTATGATGAGTTATGATTCAAGAAAGGGGGACACAATGGATCTGTAAGGTCGAAGTGATTAACCCCCCTCCCACTCATTCTAAATTCTAAAAAAAAATTCTACCTGCTTCAGTAGCGTATCGGATGTTTATGGTTATAAATAATTATTATAACTTATCTATTTTTATTAGAATTTTATATTTTTATAACAATTTTAATAACTACCAACATTTATTCACAACGTAAAATAAAAATAAAAATATTGAGTCTACCCCACGTCTACCCTACATCATAGTTTTACATTTTTTAAATAAAATTAGAACGGCACTGATAAACCGGAATTTAAGTCGGCCATATTTGAGGCCCATCGCGGTGGACCTAAGATTTTTGATATGCGCCTTCCTTAGTCTTCTTATTCAAAGATATATACGCATTTATAAATAATGTTTGAACTAAACATTTTATGCAATTCAGTTAAAATTAAAATATACAATAGTTTTTACAAACCTGGACTTTGATTTGGGTTCGTCAGCATCTTGCAGCATCTGTTCGAATTCAGCGTCCGAATCCTTTTCGGATCCCCCATTACTCCCCTCGTCCTCTTCAGAACTCCCTCTCTTCCTCTTACCCAACTTGATTTTCAGGGTCGGAACCTTGGAGGCCTTCTTCGTTTTGGGGCCGGGTTTGCGGCCGCGCTTTTTCTTTTCCCTGAAAGTCGACAAGCTGCACTCTCATTAGTAGAGCAACTAACTACCTTAGAACTATTAATATGTAATAAAAAATAAAATAGGTTTCTAAATACTGTCAAAAGAAGCAATTATTACAAGACGTTTCATAAAACATTATAAAGATTGCTAGTCATTTAATTTGTTTTGAAGGATTATTGTGATAAAAAAATAAAACAAAAACTAAAACTAAAGTAACTTACAAGTTTAACGTAGTTAAAATAGTAAATCATCCTAAACCTATCTAATAATTAATTACCTACCACAATAATCCTTCAAACCAAATGAAAGTATCAAATTCTACTTATATACAGTACAGCTGATAAATCCACAAACGCCATCCGTTCAGGTGATTAAAAAAATTATCTCTTATTTTATCCAATAAAAAAATATTTCACCCTCAATATTATTTTATTTCAACTTTTTGTTTCAAAATAACTATTTTTTACACAATTTAGTAGACAAACATTAGTATTGACTATTTTAACATTGGCACTTGACAAAAACTTAAAAAAATGCAGAAACAGCAAAACGATATAAAGAGAAATAAGAGATGAGTAACGGAAAATAGAGGAAAGCAAAAATAAATAATGTGACACTTTCAAAATTTCAGATTGATTATGTTAGTATATGACATAAATTTGGATTGATTAAAGTATTCAATGGTTAGGTTTGGTTCCCTTCCTGTTTCACTGGAAATGACTACATTTTTTGATTTTTAAATGGCGCCCTCAGTATTTTTTTACTTTATTCAATAGAAAATCACACTCTGAACAGAATAAAATCATATGTCAACTTTTGACATTTTCGCATATGGATTATTTAAAATTGCAACATGCGGTTCATAACGACAATTTGACTCGAAATACGAAGTGTGTGGTACGAAATTATTCCACCTCCATTTCATTTGAAAATATCGAGATTTTATTAAAAATAAGATTTGGACATCTTTTAACCGGCCAGAACAAGACACGAAAAACATTAGACCATCAAATCTATTTTTCCAAGGCTCCTTGATTAAAAATTAGTAATTTTAACATAGCCATGGAACTCTAGATTGAAATTTAAAATACGATTTTCTTTTAAGCGAAAATATCAAAAGTTGACATGTGATATGTCATTCTCTTCAAGTTGTCATTTTCTATTGAATAAAGGAAAAAATACCTAGGATGTCATTTAAAAATCAAAAGTTGTAGACATTTCCGGTGAGACAGGAAGTGACCGAAAACAATTGAATACGTCAATGAATCCTAATTTACTATGTCATATACTAACTTACCAAATCTCGTTTTTTTATCTGAAAAAAATAAAAAAGGTATAGGGGTGAGCCACTTTTAAGAAACACCCGGTATATTGCATATTTTGTGAGTAAGTACTAATTAATAATAGAAACATGCACAAAAATAAAACAGAATAATGCAAAATAGTACCTTCTCTCGTCCTCCTCTTCGTCGTCGTCATCGTCGAAGTCCTCGGCTTCGGCCTCGACGATTTTAGCGGCCGCCTCTTTGGAAGCCCTCGAAGTTCTGGCTGGTTTAGCATAAGTATCATCAGAGGCGGTACTGCTTGCACCACCTGTAGCGCCGCTAGGTCCAGCTTCTTGAATCTCGGACTGAAGATGCGGGTTGATCAATGAGAATTCGCGCCACTTTGCGGCGACCAGCATCATTAGTTTGGACATCGGTACCTGTTGTAGTTAAAAATCAGTGCCAACATTCTTAATAAATTTTATTTAAAATGCTAGAGTCTGATTTATATGATCATCCACCATCTATCTATCTATAAAGCGCTATATGCCACGGCTACACAGCTCGGGATCTCTACTACCAGAAAGAATTAAGTTAATTCTCTCTTCTAATGCCAAGTTAATTCTAGAGAAATTAAGTTAGCATGGAGTACTTATGGAAGAAACTCAATCATATTCAAATCTAAAATAGCACTTTATCTAAAGAAGAGAACATTCGACCAAGGTGTCCAGTCATGTTCGACCAGTCATGTACCAACTGTGTGTGTCGATAGATTTTACACTCTTGCCATGAAGCAAGAGCACTACAGTTTCCAGACAGTCACCCGTCCATCCACTCGCATCGTCTAACGCCCCTTAATTTCGGTTATCTATCTGGAACCAGCGTTTCAAAATACCTAATAGTATTGCATGTAAATGTAATTGAATATTTTCAAATTTTACAACTTAACTAAAATAAAACCCATTTTTTTAATGTTAAGCAAGGTTAAAGTAACTAGTAGTGTTGAGTATTATTTTAATGTGAATGTTACCTTCGGATTTTCTTTCATCAGCAATGGTCTAACATGCTGCTGGAACAATTTGTATGAAGTTAAGTTTTGCATGTCCTGCTCAGAGTATTCAATATCCACATCAGTCAGACCAAATGAAGAACACACTTCTTCAGTAGTAGGCATACCTTAAAAAAAAATAGTAAATTTCGCATCTGCAATTTTTACTAAAAATATTATATGTGAGCCTTTATTGATGATTTTAGTTACTTCGGCTTATGGAAATCGGCAGATTATGTTATTCCCGTAATTCTTGAACGATTTTCTTCAAAATAAAAAAAAAATCACGTTCAAGAATGTCCAAGTCACCTTTTTTGCAATTTTGTAACTGCGAATTTTTTTTACTACCCTGATCAGCTGCCCTACACGCACGACCCTGTATAAAATATTAGAGATGAGCAAAATATTGCAAACTGCGATTCAATCGCAGCGATTTTAAAATTGCAATCACGAACTGCGATTGACTCTCATAGGATCTCTTCGATTGCGATTTCTTCTATTTGTAAGTTTCAATTTAGGCAACCAATATTACTATAGTTGCGATTTGTGATTTTGTTGTGATTGTGATTTTGTAAACTAGGACCGTGATAACCTTATATCTGCGAGTTTGAATTTTTAGGAGTTGCAAATTGCGATATTGCTGCGAATGTAATTTTATGGTCTGTTGAATAATTTTATAGTAAAGAAGAATTTTAGCGCAATCGCAGTTTTGCTCATCTCTATAAAATATTCTTGTGTGGTGGCTCGTGGGGGTCAAGAACAGTTAACCTAATAGGACTGCTCATTCGGCCAAAAATGTCTGCCAGGTGCATGCGAAAACTCCTCGCTTTGTGACGTCATTGTAGTCCTTGTCATGGCTATTAGTCCATTTCCGGCAACCAATAATACACACACGTGCATTATTTGTTGCCGGATGCGAAACGTTCATTATTTAGTTTATTTATTTAAACACCTTATATGTATGGAGTATAGAAAATTAACTGTATAAATCGTATTAAATACTCGGATAATGCATTTTTAAGGACAGCAGTTCTCAGCATCACCTTTTGCAGGCATTCTTTTTAGAGTACTTCCATACTTTGCTTTAAAATAAGTAATAAACAATATCATAGGCACTTAGTAAGCACTTTGCCACAATCCACAATACAAAATGAATGTATTTATACACTCTATAGCTATAGCTCTAAAAACTTTAAAAACGCCTTTTTCACATTTAAAATTGGCAAAATAATTAACTCAAAATTTCTCAGCTGTTATTTTTATAAATTTACCATAGGCAACTAATAATACACACTATCATGACAAGGACTACAATGACGTCACAACTGTCAGCTAAAGCGCGGGAAGAGGCGAACGTACGTCTTATGAGGATGAGCAATCCTATTAGTTTATCGTTCTTGGGTGGGGGTACTGAACAGCATGCAAGATCTCTCCACTTATGTGAGTCTGCCGCGCTTGAGTAAATCCCCAAAATCCCCGCTTGAGCCTCCCTACTATTACACCTCTCAACACACTAAACACACTAAATGATTTGGATATTTTAAATGAGAGTCAAAATTCCAAACTGTATCCAAAAAAATAATGTAGCACATTAAAAGTTTAAGTAAAAATAACGTATATTTTAATTAAAACATCTCTCATAGAGATAGAAAAAATCTATAAATAAGGAAATAAAATTCAAGGTGAACCTTATGTATAACTGCGTAAACCTACCTCCAGTGTTTGAGCTCTCTGCTGAAGGTGTGGCAGACGTAGAAGACACGTGCTTGGAGCCCTTTGACCGTCTTCCAGCTTTCTTGCTGGACGCGTAATCGGACTCGCCACCATTGTCCTCTTCCCCAAATTCGCTTTCCTGTAAAAAATAACATTCATTATTTTTGTTCTGACTATATTTATGATGGTTACCTCTCCACTCTCGTTCTTCTTCTTTTTTTTCTTCTTCCTACCCCTTTTACTACCCTCGCCCTCTCCTCGTCCCTTCCTCTTCTTTCCTTTTTTCTTTTTGCGGAGGTCGTCTGGTTCATAATCGTCATCTTCGTCCTAAAGGTAAAGAAAGACCGTAAAAAATATAATTTAATAATAATAAGATGTAAGTAAGATGGCGCAGAAAAAAAGGTAAGGAAAATTTTTTTTATGTAATAAAGAGGGGGTACCCATTTAAAATATGAAAGCTACTGACAACTTCCGGTATTTCCGGAAGTGCCGCCATATTGATAAGATTTTTAATCGATAGGTCTCTTTGTGAAACAATGATATGCAATTTTTTTTTCCAGATAAAATAGCAAAATTTGGTAAGTATGTATATGATAAAAAATCAGAAGTGACTGACAAATTCAATTATTAGTTTCGGTCACTTCCCGTTTCATCGGAAATGGCTACAACTTTTGATTTTTAAATGATACACTCAGTATATTTTACTTTGTTTTGTAGAAAATGACATTCTAAATAAAATGACATATCCATATGTCAGCTTTCAACATCTCTGCTTAAAAAAATAGTAGTATTTTAAATTTCAATCTAGCTGTTCATAGTACGAGAGCTAGCAACGTCGGAAAAACAAGTATTTTAAGACGTCTGGTTCTTTGATATATCTTTTACTATGCTCTCTAGAACACCATTCGGCCCATCTGGCTACTGGTAAACGTTGCGTTCTCTACTGCGCATTGAAAGAAGATCCTATATTTTTATTAGTCCTTAAAATTCTAGTATTGAATATTAATCGAACATGTCTCCATAGCACAGTGCGTAGAGTTTCCGACCACGAACCGATGATTCAGAGTTCGAATCCGGGTCAGGGCAAAGACTTTTTTATTTTATTTTCGTTTATATTCTGATAGTAAAGTATTAAATATTTGTTTTTGAAACACAATAATTATTTTTTAATACTTTACTATCAGAATATAAAGGAAAATAAAATAAAAAAATCTTTGACCTGACCCGGATTTGAACTCTGAACCTTCGGTTCGTGGTCGGAAACTCTACGCACTGCGCTATGGAGACATGTTTGATTTATATCCAATACTAGAATTTATAGGACTAAATTAATAAAAAATATAGGATCTTCTTTCGATGCGCAGTAGTGAACGCAATGGGTACCGGCAGCCAGACAGGCCGTATGCTGTTCCAGAGAGCATAGTAAAATATATATCAAAGAGCCAGACGTCTTAAAATACTTTCTCGAAAACGTTGCTAGCTCTTGACTATCATGGCTGGGATAAAACCACTCATTTTTAATCAAGGAGACTTGGAAAAATAGATTTGATTTGAAACTTGGCGGCACACAGTGATGCCAACTCGTGGGAAATTTGAAGATCCAGAGGGAAAAGGAAAATTGTAACCCAAAACGCTATATCCGTGGGAAATTCTAAAGTTCATGTATTACTCGCAAAAAAGTATTTCGAATATATATTCGCATCGGTAAAATATTCCATGGGTATAAAAAAACGAATTTTATATGAAAACTTGAAGAGGTAGTAGCCGGAGAGCTGGCGACATATTAGAGAACATATTTTAGGCAAGTTAAAACAACAACAAAATTAAAGTTTATGAACTGGTGAACCCAGAGGTCGGGCTGGAGGTTTGCGGATATTTTGCTACTGCGCAACACCTTATATTTGCAAAATAATAAATCCAAAATATATCCTTTAGGCAAGTTGAAATTTGTTTATTCTTAAATTTTAGCATCTATTTAATCCAGAAATAAGTATGCCAGACTTTTTTTTCGGATTTAAAGTGTAACCCGACCATCCCAAATATGTTTAATTATTAAACCTCGAAAATATACTTTAGGCATTCTAAAAATTTTACAGCGTGTTTATTAGATCATATTAAAAGATATTTGTTAATTGCCAGACGAATTCAACGGTTTTTAATACTTGCCTGACGCGAATAGAGATTTTAAATGAGCTCGACGAAAAAGTCTTATAAGTATCTATAAGCGCGAGGAAGATAGTTTATTGAGACTCGTCGCTGTCGGCAGCAGACGCGGCTGACGTAACAGTATTTTACACTGTTTATATCATCTGTTTCATCAAAGTCGAGTTTAAAAAAAACATTTTCGTCATGATTACAATATTAACATTCATAATCAATTATCTGATAATTTTAATTGTTACTTTAGAAATTATAGTGAAATTATTGATTCACAAAAAAAATCAAATTTAAATTAATAGAAAACTAAAATTTAAACAACTTTTATTTTAATTCTTTTTTTTTGTCACAGTTAACTTTTTAAAAAAAATGTGTCAACAAAATAATGTATAATGAAAGTCTGAAAAATACAGAAGTCAGATAACAAAAAAAGGGTCGCCAAATACAGATCGTTGTTTTCCACACTTCCAGTTTTACTAAAAACTTATAAAATAAGCGTTTTCTATATTATATTTGAAGATGAATGAAGATGTTGATAGTTTAAAAAGTGTATTTGAGGATTTCAATGTCTATTACTTCATAACAACTGAAAAATTCCTGTAGCACTGTGTATGGTACCCTTTTGTCGGGGATACATTTTGTGGTAAAACCACTTATTTGAATTTTAGGCCATGTTGTTGGCCATGTTGTTAAGCCACACTTTTAAAAATCTAGTCTGCCTTCAGAAATAATCACTTTATCACTAGCATAGATTATACAGATTATAATCTTTGTTTTTTCTTTATTGTTTTTCGTGGTTCCAATTTTCGGAATCGGGCACTAGTTAGGTGACTAGTTTGCGCACATAGCACGCCCACTTATGGCCTCTAAAATTGTGCACAGCGCCTGACCGGCACAGTTATTAGAGAGATATCGGAAAACCGAATAGCGTCATCCAGTATTTACGCGTACCTTATTATGTTACGATATGCGCGAGTCAACGCAACACCCGCTAATAACGTTACCGCTTACAGCCTGACGTAATTTAACGATCAATTATACCAAGCGCTCTTTCTAAATAACCTCTGATAACGTTTAAAAATTGCTTAAATGGGCATGTGCGGGTATTTGACAACCGGAGCCGGCCGGGGAGATCTTTTATTTTAGGTTATGTTTGAATTGTTTTGAATTATTGCTTTAGTTTTATTAGGTAATTTGATATTTAAGTAGCTGGGATTAGTTTTAATTAAATAAATATGGCCGAAAATATGGATTCCACCTCTTCCAATACTAAAGAACCTATAAAGAGTCTTAGGTTTACAGCAGATGACGACTTAGCCCTTCTAAGAGAATTTGTTGCTTGTTGCCCTAAACCCACAGGCAGACGTTGAACAATAAAGCACTGGAAATAAGCACTTTAGCCCTTTAGTTTTAAAATACCTAGTAAACAAAACAATTTCAAAGTTTTAAATTCAAAGTTAGGTTAAGTTTAAATAGCGGAGGCGACGCGATCAGAATTCTTTCCGACCGATAACTATAAATCTATGCTATAAATGAAGAGAGTTAATACCACCTCACGTAAAGGAAATAACACCTGGCCTTATTAACGTCCATGCACGCTATTCGGTTTAGCGATATCTCTCTATTACGCTGTTTATTGTTATTTTACGCGAGTTTATTTTTGCGCACAGGAAATTTGACTCGTTTGCACATCGTCATAAAAAACAATTTTCGTATCACGAATTAGGGGCAAGATTTTTATCTGTATACTTATAGGATACCTAATCTGTGTCACTAGTGTATTTTTTTTTACACAACTTAATTTTTTTTATCCATTGTGATTTATTAGTAGGTACATATCCTTAAAATTAATAGTTACTAAAATATTTATTTGCAGTAATTATTCTAAACTATTTACACTATGCACATCAATATTTAGTTTATAAATACATATATATTTATACATGGTAACTTAATTGCAAAAATCTCTGAATTAAAAGCCTGCAAATAATTGAAATAAAACCGAAAAAACATTGTGTTTATAAACATTTTAAGTACTCCAAAATACTGTTACGTCAGCCGCGTCTCCTGCCGACGAGTCTCAATAAACTATCTTTCTCGCGCTTATAGATACTCATAAGACTTTCTTATCGCGCTCATTTAAAATCTTTATTCGCGTCTGGCAAGTATTAAAACCCGTTGAATTCGTCTGGCAATTAACACATATTTTTTAATATTATCTAATAAACACGCTGTAAAAAATTTAGAATGCCTAAAGTATATTTTCTAGGTATAATTATTAAACATATTTGCGATGGTCGGGTTATACTTTAAACCCGAAAAAAAAGTCTGGCATACTTATTTCTGAGTTAAATAGATGCTAAAATTTGAGAATAAACAAATTTCAAGTTGCCTAAAGGATGTTTTTTGGATTTACTTTTTTGCAAATGTAATGGGTTGCGCAGTAGCGAAATATCCGCAACCCCTCTGCCCGACTTAGGATTCTGGGTTCACCAGTTAATAAACCATACATTTTTAGTTATTCTAGCTTGCCTAAAATATGTTCTCTGAATATGTCGTCAGCTCTTAGGCTATAGGTAAAGAATAACATAATACAATTTGATAGACAATTAAATTGTGCACCTGGCTCCCGTAAAATATAAGTGTTCAATATAAACTAAACAAGTTATTGCCGTTTAAAACTGGTAATTATTTAAAATAAATTTTTAGACACTCTGTATAAGATAGTATTATTTTTATTATCGCAACACAAAATTTAGTAAATAGCATCTCTAGCTGCCATGGCTGTGATAAAACCACTAATTTTTAATCAAGGAGCCTGGGAAAAATAGATTTGACTTTGAAACTTGGCGGCACACAGTGATGCCAACTCTTGGGAAATTTCCCGATTTGTAGGAAATTTGGAGATCCAGAGGGCAAACGAAAATTTTAACCTAAAACGCCATATTCGTTGGAAATTCTAAAGTTCATGTATTACTCGCAAAAAAGTATTTTGAATAATACGTACTCATATTGGTAAAATTAAAAAAAAATGCTTTTTCTACGAAAACTTGAAGAGATAGGAAAAAAATGACATAATACAATTTGATAGGTTATTAAATTGTGCATCTGATTCTCGTAAAATATACAGGGTGTTCCCTTTAAATTAAACAAGTTATTGTCGTTTAAAACTAGTAATTATTTAAAATAAATTTTTAGGCACTCTGCATAAGGTAGTATAATTTTTATTAGTGCAACACAAAATTTAGTAAATAGAAAAACTTCAGTACACTATGTTTTTGGTTTTAAAAACAGAAAAAAATGAAATTTAAGAAATAAAGCATTACAATAATTATTACTGTATTTTCACAAAATCGTAAATATTTCAAAAACGGTAAGATTAAAGTGCGGTAAACCTTAATAATTAAATTTACCTTTATTTTAATTCTAGAATCTAAAAAGGTAATAATATACAGGGTATGTAAATAACCCTGAATAATTAATTTTCAATAATTCGTGAGAATGCTTAGAAAAATCGGGAATTTTAACCGTCTTCGTGGGAAATTTTATTTCAGATTGTTGGCAACACTGGCAGCACACAAAAGTGCCGAGGCAAAGTGGTTAGGAGTTACTGACTCTCATTCACCTTTTTATACACACAAAGATACAGGTATATTATGTGATATATGTATATTATACTAACCCCTCCTTTAAGAGCACCTTCATCAGAACCCTCTTCGTTTTCACCGACATCCCCAGCAGTTTCTTCAGCTGCATCTTCTTCACCTCCTACATTAAGGAACCAAAAACTGTGATTAAAACTACTTACATTAATTCTAAATAACTGAATGAATTAGAAACATGTACCGTCATCTTTTTGACAGGGACTATCTATATAGCCTGTCCAACGAGGACCACTGACAGTGACAGTTGTCTGACATTTTAATTCACAGGAAATTGTATTTTCTGTCAATTTTTAAATGTCGTCTGTCGAAATCTTCCCCGTGTCGTTGGACCGACTATAGCTAACATTTTCTTTCTATTTAGAGTTTCCAATCTTTCTTTATTTCTAATGTGCCTATTTAGGTAAAATTTAGTCATTTAAAGCATACACTACTTAAATATTAAATACATTTTAGATGAATTTTGTGAATCTCAATATGAGACAGTTCTGTTGATCCCTAGTTTGATTTATATCAACCCTTTTTAAAGTTGAAATAAAATACTGATAAGTAGAAAATCAATGAAAGATGGTCCTGAATATTTTATTTTATACATGTATATGATGTATTTCATTAATAATTTAGAAATTAATAAGATTATGGTCAGTCTGCGGACACCGGTCAGTGTCATCTAAATGTCATTTTGCTAGAAAATCTAAGAATTTCTAACCCCACAAAGCCAAATCGACAAAAATAAATAAAAATATAATTATTTGCAATCTGCCAATCTCTTTGTTTGATGGCCTCCATTTTGTTAAGGGTCAGGGTATGCCCGCGCTGTCACAAAAATAATGAAAACTTACCTCCCCTCGCCCCGTTTTTATAATTGATTCAAAGATAATAATTATGCAATGTTTTTACCGAAATGAGAAGAGAAACACTGAATAGGACTTTAGGTCACATCACGTTTATCGTGATCTTCAATAACATCAGAATTATACATAAATTCACGAAAATTATGCATAAAAAAAGCATGTATTTAATAGCACCTAACGCTAGTATCAAAACAAACTTACCGGCGAAAGATTCCTCGACTTCTTCGTCTGATGCCATCGTAATGTACTTCACCACCAACCACTAATCACTTATATACTAATAATAAATATGATTTAATTAAGCAAAGTTGGTAATTAAGAATTTTTAAATGGTGAAAAGAAAAGCCTCACAACTTCTTTCAACACTTCACTTTTCTCCCACTCCTTAAATTTGTCTATTAGAAAGACATGCGCTTTCCGTGTGCAAACGTCAACAAGAAATGAAAGGTCAAAAATGTCAAAAAGAAGAGAGATTTGAGATTAGAGGTGGCAACGATATATCGATATATTTTAATTTATCGATACACATTTTTTTACATTTTTTTTCTTTTAGTTTCCTTATAATTGCTTAAAATAGTCAGAGCATTAGAAAACACTCCGTAAACAAAATATGCCCATTTCAGATTAGTTCTAGTTCTAGCAGCAAAAAATAGGCATTATTAACTTAAAATACTTTACTTTTTTACATATTGTATTTTTCAAACCTATTTTTAAAATAAGGGGTGTGATCAAATATAAGCAATAAAACATAAATAAAAACAATTTTGGTTATCAAATATAATCAAATTATTTAAAAAAAGCCGACATTATGTCTGTTTCATGCTTTCTACATATGTCGACTTAGGCAACCAATAAAACGTCATATTAAGTTATTTTATCAAGGACACGATGAAGGACACATCATAGCACTCTAGCAACTTTATAGCTGCCCGTACACGCAAAGACCCAACCTTCAGGCTTGAGGCCAAGTCCGAAGACCGGCCCTTTCCTCAAAAACTCTGTTAGATATTTATATCTAAATATACTGAATAATATCAAATTAATATACTGTAAAATAAATAAATATAACAAATTGTGTAACTAGGTACAAATAAAAATATTCCGTGGTGTTTATAACTAGTAGTTTTTTTTATTCATTTTGTATAGTAATTAATCCTGACGAAAAAAATAAAACAGGTTTAAAATAAATATAAATATTTTATTTAAAAAATCAACAAAACTATACAAAATTAGTAATAAGAATATTAAATTACTAAATTAAGTGCCCATTATAAATATTCAATTTGTTACATATTTTTAACCAAGAGGAAAGTAGGACTGTAAAATACCATCATAAATTTTCTTATCAATATCTAAAAAGAGACAGAATATGATTCTATCAAAATGATCTGCATTTTTTTCTAAATGTGTTCGAATAGTTGAAGCTGCAACGTGGGCAGCAGATTCATTAGGGTAGCCATATATTCCAGTCGAAATGCATGGAAAAGCTACTGATCTAAGATTGTTCTGCATTGCCAATTTTAAACTGTTATCATAACAGTTCTTGAGCAGTCCTGGCTTCTCTCCTACTGGCCCAACAGTATGAATTACATCTAGAAATAAAACGATATAATCATCCCTTCATTTGCTAGGCAGACTTTGGCTCCGTCTTTCATTTTCACTAGTAATTTAACTCACATTTTGAAGGCAGTTTATAGGCACCAGTAATTTTGGCCTCGCCAGTTTCACACCCACCCAAAGTTTTACATTCTTCCTTTAGAAGTTTTCCAGCACCACGATGTATTGAACCGTCTACGCCGCCACCACCAAGAAGTGATTTATTTGCAGCATTTACTATCGCATCAACCTAAAACAAATGTGTAAATACTAATAATTAATTTTGTTCAATTTGTATACTGCTAGATGTGTTATGTCGCCCGCAAATACAGATATTTTCTCGGCTAAGGACTTGTTTAAACCATTATTAATAACCGTTCCATGAGCAACATCGATAGCTGCCGGTAAATTGGCCTTTTGAGCATAATCCTTCCAAGTAGGAATATCTTGCAGTGTAACACAATTACTCCTTTTTTCTGCTCCGCTCAACGCTAAATATTTCTCCTTTTCTACTTGCCAACTCATGTTTATTTCACCGGTAAAAAATAAACGTTGGGAAATCTTTGAAACGCACCGAAATTGTTTGAGTTTGCAAACAGCTGACACACAGAAAAAACCGTCCATTATGTTGTTTGAAGTTTAATTAGAGACATCTGTGGTGAAGAACTTAAAGCCTAGATCATATACTTTTCGTAATTAAGGGGTGATATTATATATGATCTGGATGGGTGTAAATCAGGGATGGGTTTAAAAAAATAAAAAATAGAATACACTAATTTTTAAGTTTTAAAAATGATTTTATACAATGCGAAGTAAAAGATATGTAATTTTCTTTTGTTCTTGTTATGTTTTTTTTACTGTTGTTACCAAATTAACACAAAATATAAAAAAAGAACATAAAAACGCGAAAACCCTCAGGCCATAGATAAACAAATAAAGTATTTTAACACACAAAACAGAAATACACTCTGTGGGGACTAAATTAAAAGGCCGAAGTGAGGTTCAGTTTTGACTTTTGTTTGAACTAGTTTGAAGATTTTGTTTATAACTTTCATAATTAAAATACCTACAATATCTTTTTAAGCATACAAACTCATTAAGTCATAAATAAATCATGAATGATGATGATGATCCTAAAGAATACCGCTGGGAGACGGGTTATGAGAAGACTTGGTATGTTTTATTTGTTATTTCCGTTCAATATCCTTGATTATGGATGATATATAAACAAGGATAATATATTTATGTATTTTATAACTTAGGGAAGCAATCAAAGAAGACGATGAAGGGTTTTTGGAAGCCTCCGTAGCAGATATAATTTTAAGAGCAAAAAGAAAAAGACAGGCTCAAAAACAAAGTAGTCAGAAACTGGGTATGATGAGACATTTGTATTTACTTCTCGATTGTTCAGAATCTATGTCCAGTCAGGATCTAAAACCAACTCGAATGATTTGTACATTAAAAGTAATTTATAAACTGCACCAGGAACTATTCGCAAAATTAACCAAAAATGCTTTTTTCTAGATATTAGAAGGATTTATTGAAGAGTTTTTTGATCAAAACCCTATAAGTCAATTAGGGATAATACTAATGCAGAACAAAAGAGCTGATAAAGTTAGTGAACTTGCTGGAAATTTTCGCAAGCATATTAAATATTTACAGTCATTATCAAAAACCAATTTAGTTGGGGAACCATCTCTACAAAATGGACTGGAAGTTGCTATATCTTCTTTAAAATTACTACCAGCACATGCAAGCCGGGAGATACTAATTATTTTAGGAAGTCTTACTACCTGTGATCCAGGTGATATTAATACAACTATTACTGTAAGTTAAAATTGGAGATTTTCATTTTTCTTTGATATATATTTATATCAGTTATAACATTTAGAAATTAAAACAAGAAGGTATTAGATGTTCAATTATTGGCTTAGCTGCGGAAGTCCATGTATGTAGGCAATTGGCAAATGAAACCAAAGGAACATACAGTGTTATTTTAGACGATTGCCATTTTAAAGATCTGTTGTATCAACAAGTTGAACCGCCTCCAGCTGCTGTTGCACTTGAATCCAGTTTAATTAAAATGGGATTCCCACACCAAATGAATACTGAAGGTACTGATGAACCCCTAACAATGTGTATGTGGTGAGAAATAAAAACCTAATAATTTAAAAAAAATCAACTTCAAAAAAATTTATTTTTAGTCACGTAGATAGCATTGAGGAAGGCAGTAAATTGACCACAGGGGGCTATTACTGTCCTCAATGTTTGAGCAAATATTGTGAACTACCTGTCGAATGTAGAGCTTGCGGTTTGACATTGGTGTCAGCACCGCACTTGGCCAGATCGTACCATCATTTGTTTCCAGCTGCCAATTATACTGAATTGGCAGTATCAAATCAGAACAGATTTTGTTACGCCTGTCAAAAACCATTTGGAGATCAAGATAAACAGATTTATGAGTGTCCAAGTTGCAAGAAAATATTTTGCATAGATTGTGATATTTTCATACATGATATTTTACACACTTGTCCGGGATGTGCTACAGATTTAGCTACATTTCAGATCACACGCAATTAATTTATTTCAGTAACATTCCACTACATTTCTAATTTCTACATACAGAATCTGGCAACAGTGCGTCGGGCGTCTGTAGCTCCTAAAGTAAAAATCTTAGGAATTTTGTTTAAATGCTGATCTAAAGTAGTATGTATTAGGATGTATTTCAGGAAAATTAAGTGTGAATGGATAGGGATGATTTTTTTTTAAATGGAACACCATGTATATTATTTTTTCGGTAGATGGAGAATTAAAAAATGAATATTTTTTGCATTTAAAATTTTTAAAAAACTTTACGGTTGCGCAGATATTCACAATTTTATATTTCATATGGCATTTTCCACAGTGAATTTTTATCTGTCATCAATTATTTTTCTCTTGTATTTTAACGTTGAAAGAGCCATATGAAATAATACTTTTTTTAATAGTTTGGCAGTATATCTGCGAAAACATTAAAAATTTTGAACTACTTTAAATACAAAAAATGGCCATTTTTTAACGCTCCATCTAATTAAAAAATAATAAACAGGGTGTTCCATTAAAAAAAAACAAAGAAAAATTATTTTATATTTTAGAAATTTTGGTGTAGAATTTTGAACACCCTGTATATTTTAAGATTACGATATTTATGGCAAAGTAAGTATAGACCATCTAAAGTAAATACCTAATATAGTTTTGATTTCAGGACAGTTCTTGTAATTGTAATAATTTTTTTAAGGAAAGTTGAAAAATATATATTATTTATTTATTTATTGATATCTCTGAAATTATCGAAATATATTTAGGTACTCATATCTTAGGATTATGTAAAGTGCCTGAAAGGAAGCCAAAAATGAAACAATATACAGGATGTTCCATTAAAAAAAAAAGCATCCCAGTCCACACACACTTTTCTGAGCCACCCTATAGCACAACAAAATTCTTAAATTTTTTATTTTAGGACCTACAGTTGCCCGACGCACTATTGCCGGACCCTGTATAACTTAGATTCAATAAAAAAAACTCATAATTCTCTGTATTTTTATTGCAGGTCATACTTTATTTTGTAAGCATAGAAAAAGAATCACAATATGAAAAGTGTTAACACATATTTGTTAAACATTTTATAAATGTGCATTTTAATATAATTAATAAATAAAAATTCAATTAAATACTAAAGTTTAATTAATAAAATAGAGGATTTAAGCGTATTTACTTTTTCTTCAAAGCTTTGATTCTGGAATCTAAACTAATAACAGTTTGATTGATCTCATTTAGATTTATGGCAAAACTTTCTTGAACACCTTGTAACAGAGTTTTATTGTTTTGCACGTTGCCTTGTATTTCTGACTGGATTACTTCGATTTGTGCCAGTGTTTTTGTAAAATCGGTTGCTAGAATGACAAATTTTAATTGATGAAAAAAGGATGAAAACACACAACAACTTAATTTTTTTTTATTAATAATTTATTATTAATGTATACCTTTATTGTGTAAGGCTTCGAGGGCTTTTAATCTTTGAATTGTTTGGGGTAGTAATTTAGTAATATTTTCACTATCCTTTACAAGCTCGTATAATTCCAGTATCTACGATCACAAATTTAAATATTTTGAATAATCAAATTTACTATAAAACTATTTTTACCATTTTGTCCTTTTCTTCATCCTGCTGTATTTCCTTCTTTTTCTGACTAATTGACTCTAACTTCTGAGCTAAAGCTGATAATCTTCCTTCTATATGATCCAACTGAGAAGAATCCAAGAGGCTGGCAGTAGCACTTAAATATTGTGCTGCTTCTAATAAGCTTTCTAAAAGTTATACAATATATACAAAACGTATCTATAAAAAACACAACTACCTTTATTAGTAGCAACTGTGAGACGGGACAATTTATCACTAGAAGAGCCAAGAACAGACTCCAATCTATGTAACCTGCTCTCCAGCTCAGATATCCTAGCAGTCTGCTGTAATTTTGCATGTTCTGGTCTATATTTAAATTGATAAACTATACCATCATCAATGTTTTTGGGTTTAGTTCCTTCTTTTCCACTGATGTTTTGCTTAAACTGCTCCAATTGGGCTAATAATTTTCTATAAAATTACAAAACAATAATTACATACATTGATATGGTTTACAACTAGAATAAAACATTATGACAAAACCATTACTTAATTTGTGCTCCTTCGGGATCTGTTATTTTAGATACTATTTCTTCTCCTAGAGATTCCTCTAATTTCAGATCAGCTAACAATTTTAGTGATTGCTCTACTTGTTCTGTCGGTACTAAACAATCTTGAGTGGCATCACTTTTATCTTTGCTTAAGTTATTTACTTCCTCCAAAAGTTCTTTCATCTCACACTGAAGTCTCTGATACTTTTGTATAGGAGTCTCTTGTTGACCTAAAGTAAATATTCCACCTTTATTCTACATAAATATTTTAAATAAACTAATTACCCTGTCCAGCCAAATCCCAGTTGCCACTTGTAGCATCGTAACCTGTTCTTATGTGTTTACTGACCCTTTCAGAGAAATCCACGTTGGTGGCATTTAAGAATTTCCCTTTAAACTTACTGTACGCCTCCGCTGAAGATAAATGAATCCTTTCCACTGGATCATTTTCAGTTTCGTAAAAATTATCTGCTTGTTCGGACTCTGGTAGATCGCTAGTTTCGTAAACATCAGGTTCATCCTGGGCCTTAAAAATGTAAATTAACAATGGTTTTTAACGTTATATCGAGCAACTTACTATCCCAGGCAAATCAGCATATTTAGGATCAGCCATTTCTGAATTATGTTTTAAATTTTACGATTTTAATACCGTTATAAAATTAATTCCATAAAACCTTTCCACTCAACAATTTTTATTTAGACAATTGACTCATTGCTCATGCTCAGCTGATAAATGACATTGATATGACATTTCACTAATAGGCAACCAGAAATCTTATGTCTAATGTTATCATTCCATGGTTGTCATCATATATATTTTCATAATTTTAAGGGAAAAGTTAAAAGATACATTACATTTCAATGTATAATCTACAGATATACACAATTTGTGCGTGTTTTCTCAATTCTCATGTATATGTCTATGTAAAGATGACAATGTTTGTGGATGAGGCAGAGGGATGAGGCGATGGAATCTTTAAGGTCATATATTCTAATCTATATTTCTAATATGTTTGACTTCAACATTCTACATTTGTGTATGCTGGACATCCCTGAAAATCTGTCATCAATTAAAACTTGTCATTTTGCTTGTCATATGTCAGAATTTTTTAGAGGCACATGTTCTTTAAATTTCAAATTTAATTTGGAATTATTTTTTAGCATATTGAATAGAATAAGGCAATTGAATAATACTAGTGTCCATAATTTAATATTGGCGAATAATATAACATACATAATTTAAGGATATATTCAATTACAAAGTTATTAATAATATAACCCAAAAGTGTTTCCCTATGAATCGTGCACCATGTCTAAATCAGGAAAAAGTCGAAGTTCCTTAGGAAGTTCTACATCAATTTTAAAGAAAAGTTCCACTTTAAAGAAACGTCTTAGTGAAATTGTACAGCCAGCATCTAAGGTACGATTCCAACTACCTCACAGTAAGAAAGTTCAATCCATACTTGAAGAATTCAACAGAACAAATGAGCCCAAACAGTATCTTAGCTTAGTTTTCTTTATACGAGATGCAGAATTACCTGATAATGATATATCAGAGTTATTGGTTGAAGCTACGGAGTGTATTTCACTCCTCAATCAAAATATGAGACTGTTTGTAGAAGCATTACTTTCAGTTAAATGGATAGATAGGGGTGAAGTAGTAATAAAAGAATATCAGAGTTTTATAGTAAATTTATTGAGTGCTCACAATTATCATGCTAAAATTGTTATTGATAGTTTAGTTAGTCAATTTGTACCTAGTGAGTATTCTTTACTTTATGAATTTTACTTATTTACTAATATTTAACATTCTATTTAGAAGAAATAAGTCAGTCAGAAGATGAATGGGATAAATGTGCAAATGTACACAAATTAATAAATGTTATATTAACAGTAGTTCCAATGTAAGTGAAATCAGATATTTTTTATTCAATTATTTTTGTTATATTTTACTTTTAGGTCAAAAGAAATATTAAAACAATCTATTATAAGATATTATCCCTACTACAATAAACTAGCTCCAGCTCAACATTATTATTTATATAATTTGCTATCAATTATAAAATACCAACCCTCATTTAGACCTGATATTTTTCACCTTATTTTTTCAAAGTAAGTAAATAATTACTTATATTGTGCAATTCTGTGTCATAATCACACTTTTTCTGACATTGAAAAATATATTTTATAGATTAGTAATTATGGATGTAAATGCCCCTAAAGAATTAATTAACCAACAGAAATTTGATGATGAAATGTTTGAAATGGACGATGTAAAATCAGTTAGGACTGTGCAAACAGGGTTTACAGTAGTTGACCGAACGCACCTAGGCACTGCTCTAGATGGTTGCATAGATATGATTTTGAATTATATTTTAAACGAATGTAAAGATGACAAAGACGAGTTCGATTGGATTAAAACAAAAAGCTTATACCATGATTTGATTACCGTTTTTGACAAGGTATTAATATTATTTATTTTAGTCAAACCAATTTTAATATATACTTTATTTTGTAGGTTGTTTTACCTACATATGGCACCCACTATGTGCAATTTATAATTTTTGTTTTATGTAGTTTAAAACCCGTTTTGGCCGAAGCATTTTTGAACCATTTGTGGCAGAAAGTTTGCAATCCTAATATTCCTGTTGTATTAAGACAGTCAGCGGTCAGTTATGTAGCTAGTTTTATAGCTAGGGCGTTATATATACCGCTTTCGTAAGCCAATTATTCCGAATGATATGTATGGATGGTAGTTAATTTTTTCTATATTTTTTAGAATGTTAAAAGGCACTTTGCAACAGATGGCAGAATGGATACATGCTTATGCTGGGCACCAGGATGGTTTGGATTGCATCAATGCTGATGTTAGGGTGCATACTGTCTACTATTGTATATGCCAAGCTTTGTTCTACATCATCGCTTTCCGGCATAAAGATTTAACAGCTAGTAAAAAAAGTAAGTAAAAATGAAATACCTAATGCATGTACAGGGTGGTCGGAATTGGCCTGGTTTAACAGAAAAAAAAACTATTTTCTGACTAGATATAGCAAAACCGACATAGATGTCATGGGCTTGATTTCTGAGTTCTGAGACACGTTTAATGGCATAAACCGCTTTTTGATATTTTCACTGACAACTGAGATACGGGGTCTTTTTGATTTTTTTACCATTTTGAAAATTGTCCATAACTTTTTTAATTTGCGGAATAATAAAATTCTGTAAAGACGTTCTTAAGGCACTTTTTTAAGCACAATTCAGAGGCGTAGTGAGTTTTTTTCTATGCTTGCTGTTTTTGGCAGAAATAATAAAAAATATAATTTTTTAAATGGAAATCATAGTCGGCTATGAACTTAAAAAAAAGCTGACGTTTGACCATTTCGAACGATATAAAGTTATGGTACCTATTTCTAAGAATGAGGGAAATATTAGGTGTTTCGTCTTTGTATTGAAGTGTGCCTTGATTTTGTGTTGACCTAGTTGTCTAATTATTTTTTATCGCAATTTAATATTCTATATTATTATTTATCTGCATAATTAGAGATTTTTGAAAAGGTAAATTATAACATTCTATATTAGTTTTAGTAATTACAATTGAAATCAATACAATAAACAAAGAACAAAGCTAAAAAACGTATTTTTTGAGTGACGAATATGGTTTTCTAAAAAAAATCATCAAAGATGTTCAAACTGAGCACCTCCTTGTTGAATACATAATAAACATCTTTTGCGCACAGAGTTACAGCGATTTATTAGGCGAACTGGTGTAATAAGTCCAAAAGTGCCTAGTAGCGTTCTGCAATTCTTCTCTCGTCTCAATGGTTCTTCCCTTATATATATGGTCTTTTAAATTTCCCCATAAAAAATTCGAAAGAAGTTAAATCACAGGACCTAGCAGGCCACGATATGGGGTCCCTTGTTCCAATTCTCTCTAAATTCTCTCAAAATATAGAATGTTGATTTATCTTTTCAAAAGTCTTTAATTTTGCAGATAAATAATAATATAGAATATTAAATTGTGATAAAAAATAATTAGGCAACTAGGTCAACACAAAATCAAGGCCCGCTTCGATACAAAGATAAAAAACCCTAATATTTCTCTCATTGTTAGAAATAAATACCCATAACTTTATATCGTTGCAAAGGGTTAAACATCAGCATTTTTTTAAGTTCATAGCCAACTATGGTTTTCATTTAAATAATTACATATATTTTTTATTATTTCTGACAAAAAGAGCAAGTATAGAAAAAGACTGACTACGCCACTGGATTGTGCTTAAAAACGTGCCTTAAGAACGTCTTTACAGAATTTTATTATTCCGCGAATTAAAAAAGTTATGGGCAATTTTCAAAATAGTAAAAAATATTAAAAAGACCCCGTATCTCAGATGGCAGTGAAAATATCAACAGGTGGTTTATGCAATTAAACGTGTCTCAGAAATCGAGCCCATGACATCTACGTCGGTTTTGCTCTATCTAGTCAAGAAACAGGTTTTCCCTGTTAAAACAGACCAATTTCGACCACCCTGTACAATTTCAAATTAGTAGATGATTAATGTGAATATAGGCTCTAAATTACATAATATAAGTAAATAAATGTAATAATATTAGGAAATACCCTGTAATCTGTTGTCTCTCCATACAAAGAAAATTAAATGTATTGCTTTCATATAATGAAATCATTTTGGCAGCACTATGTGCGCACATTTCAAGTGAGACTTCTTACTTTCTTCTTCTTTACGTGCCGTCTCTTTCGTGGAGGTTGGCTATCACATTGGCAAAATCTTCACGATTCTCGGCTTTCCTTATAAGTTCCTCAAAAGTTAGGTGAGTCCAGTTTCTGATGTTTCTCAACCAAGATAGTTTCTTCCTGCCGAGACCTCTCTTTCCTTCAATCTTACCCTTAACTATCAATTGTAAGACGTGGTATTTTTCATTTCTCAATATATGCCCTAAGTATGATGTTTTTCTTATTTTTATTATATTGAGCAATTCTCTCTCTCTCTGCCTATTCTGTTGTAGACTTCGGTATTTGTGATATGGGGGAGACTTCTTACTAACAGCTATTAAATTGAATGATTTGAAGGAGAAGTTTGAAAATCTGTAGTTTGAAATGTTGAAAAAGTAATAAATTCAAAATTAATAAATAATTTGATTTCGCTTTTACAAAATGTGTATTGAAATGTCCCTCTGTCCATCTAAGGGTACCTCTATCCAGGTGCTAATTTTCCAAAGAAAAATCCTGATGATTTCGTCCATTTAGAGACATCTGTTCGAAACATCGACGGCGTCATCCTGTTAGCCTAAGAGCTGACGACATATTTAGAGAACATATTTTAGGCAAGCTAGAGTAACTAAAAATGTATAGTTTATTAACTGGCGAACCCAGAATTCTAAGTCTGGCTGGGGGGTTGGGGGTATTTCGCTACTGCGCAACCCATAACATTTGCAAAAAAATAAATCCAAAAAACATTCTTTAGGCAACTTGAAATTTGTTTATTCTTAAATTTTCGCATCTATTTAACCTAGAAATAAGTATGCCAGACTTTTTTTTTGGGTTGAAAGTGTAACCAGACCATTCCAAATATGTTTAATTATTATACCTGGAAAACATACTTTAGGCATTCTAAAATTTTTACAGCGTGTTTATTAGATGATATTAAAAAATGCACGTCAATATTTATATTATAAATACATATTTGTACATAGTAACTTAATTCCAACAAAATAATCTCTGAATTAAAAGCCTGCAAATAATTGAATTGAAACCGAAAAAAAATTGTTTTTATGAAAATTTGAAGTACATATTCCAAAATACTGTTACGTCCGCCGCATCGGCTGCCGACGGGTCTCAATAAACTATCTTTCTCGCGCTTATAGATACTCATAAGACTTTTTTGTCGCGCTCATTTAAAATCTTTATTCGCGTCTGGCAAGTATTAAATCCCATTGAAATAAACACGCTGTAAAAATTTTAGAATGCCTAGAGTATGATTTCCAGGTATAATAATTAAACATATTTGGAATGGCCTGGTTACACTTTAAACCCAAAAAAAAAGTCTGGCACGCTTATTTCTAGGTTAAATAGATGCTAAAATTTAAGAATAAATCAATTTCAAGTTGCCTAAAGAATGTTTTTTGGATTTATTTTTTTGCAAATGTTATGGGTTGCGCAGTAGCGAAATACCCCCAACCTCCCAGCCAGACTTAGGATTCTGGGTTCACAAGTTGTTAAACTTTATTTTTTTGGTTATTCTAACTTGCCTAAAATATGTTCTCTAAATATGTCGCCAGCTCTCCGGCTAAAAGATTTTAAATGAGCGCGACAAAAAAGTCTTATGAGTATCTATAAGCGCGAGGAAGATAGTTTATTGAGACCCGTCGGCAGCCAATGCGGCTGACTTAACAGTATTTTGGAGTACTTCAAATTTTCATAAAAACAATTTTTTTTCGGTTTCGTTTCAATTATTTGCAGGCTTTAATTCAGAGATTATTTTGTTGGAATTAAGTTACCATGTACAAATATGTATTTATAAATTAAATATTGACGTGCATAGTGTAAATAGTTTAGAATAATTACTGCAAACAAATATTTTAGTAACTACTAATTTCGCTACTAACTACTAAATCACAATGGATAAAAAACATTTAAGTTGTGTAGTTTGTAAAAAAGTTACTAGTGACAAAGTTATTGTTTTTCATGAAGGCAGACTACAAAAATGCAAAGAATTTTTAAAAGTGCGCTAACAACATGGTTTAAAATTTAAAGAAGTGGTTTTACCAGAAAACGTAGTCCCGACAAAAGGATACCATGTACAGTGCTAAAAAAATAAGTATTCTGGAATTTTATTAAATTACCATTGTTAATCTTTCTAAATAGATTCAAAAGTAAGTAAAAGTGCTTTACTTTTATGCGTAGGCGTTAAAATGACTTTTTTATATTGTCAATCAGGTCGCAAAAATTAATAATAATATAATATGTCACAAAAGTATAATAATAATTATACTTTTGTGACGTTTGAAAAAAATATATTTTATATTATGCTAATTTTTAAATAATTATTCGTCTTTTTATTCTTTCAGATACAAAATACTTAAATTAAAAAGTCTGTTTATTGAAAGGATTTCAATCATACATACATTATTATTAAAAAATGTTTCTTTTTATTTATTCAATAATAGTTAGTTTTTTTTTAGTTTTTACGACTCCAAAATGCTGTTAGGTCAGCCGCATCGGCTGCCGACCGGGTCTCAATAAACTATCTTTCTCTCTCGCGCTTATAGATAGATACTCATAAGACTTTCTTATCGCGCTCATTTAAAATCTTTATTCGCATCTGGCAAGTATTAAATCCCATTGAATTCGTCTGGCAATTAACACATATTTTTTAATATCATCTAATAAACACGCCGTAAAAATTTTAGAATGCCTAAAGTATGTTTTCCAGGTATAATAATTAAACTTATTTGGAATGGTCTGGTTACACTTTAAACCCGAAAAAAAAGTCTGGCACACTTATTTCTAGTTTAAATAGATGCTAAAATTTAAGAATAAACAAATTTCAAGTTGCCTAAAGAATGTTTTTTGGATTTATTTTTTTTGCAAATGTTATGGGTTGCGCAGTAGCGAAATACCCCCAACCCCCCAGCCAGACTTAGGATTCTGGGTTCACAAGTGGTTAAACTTTATTTTTTTGGTTATTCTAACTTGCCTAAAATATGTTCTCTAAATATGTCGCCAGCTCTCCGGCTAAAAGATTTTATATGAGCGCGACAAAAATGTCTTATGAGTATCTATAAGCGCGAGGAAGATAGTTTATTGAGACCCGTCGGCAGCCGATGCGGCTGACTTAACAGTATTTTGGAGTACTTCAAATTTTCATAAATAGAATTCTTTTTCGGTTTCGTTTTAATTATTTGCAGGCTTTTAATTCAGAGATTATTTTGTTGAAATTAAG